GTTGTGTACTGTTAAAATCATGTTAACGTTTCTACTGACCTTCAAAGTTCCTAATTTTAAAATCACTAATATCTTTCAAGTGCCTGAACCTTCCAAAGAAGTTGTCCCTGAAAAGAAAGTGCCTGTGGCTGTCCCCAAAAAGCCAGAAGCCCCACCTGCTAAAGGTATATAGGTCACTGCTGAAATAACTCTGAAAGAGGGATGGATGTCTTGTCTTCTGCTCTTGAAAATATTCTGATGTGTGAAAATACTAATATCTTTAAAGTGCCAGAAGTACCCCTAGAAGTTATCCCTGAAAAGAAAATATCTGTGGCTGTCCCCAAAAAGCCAGAAGTCCCATCTGCTAAAGGTACAGATCACTGCTGAACTAATTCTGAAAAAGAGATATCTTGTCTTCTGTTTTTGAAACTATTTTGATGTTTCTATTAACCTTCATAGCCCCTATGTATAAAAATACTAATATCTTTAAAGTGCCTGAGGTGCTCCAAGAAATTATTCCTGAAAAGAAAATGCCTATGGTTGTCCCCCAAAAGCCAGAATCCCTACCACCTAAAGGTATATATTGCTACCCTTTAAATTGTGGGAGGAGATAGTGGGAAAACTTTTCTGGCCTACAAAAATTACTTTTTGCTGTATGAATGTGATTTATGTCTGTACTGATCCTGGTAACTCCAAAATGTAAAAAAAAAAAATACTAATATCTTCAAAGTTCCAGAAACTCCCAAAAAGGAAATAGCTGTGTCTGTTCCCCCCAAACCAGAAGCCCCACCTGCTAAAGGTATATGTCACTATTGAGAGGAAAATATTTGTCTTCTGTTATCAAAAATATTTTGATGTTTGTATTGAAATATATAATCCCTAAGTATAAAAACACTAATATCTTTAAAGTGCCTGAAGCTCCCAAAGAAGTTGTTCCAGAAAAGAAGGTGCCTGTGGCCATCCCCAAAAAACCAGAAGTACCACCAGCTAAAGGTATATGTCACCAGTGACCTCATTCTGAAGAAGCAACATCTTTTCTGCTCCTGAAAATGACCATTGGAAACCCCTAAGCATAAAAATACTAATATCTTTAAAGTGACTTTAAAGTCCCAAGGAGTTGTCCCTAAAAAGGAAGTACTTATATGTGTTTCCCCAAAAGCCAACAGTCCTTCCAGCTAAAGGTATTTATTCCCACTGCTCTGATTATGGGGGGATATGTATCAGATTTTAGAGCTGAAATATTATTGAGTCCAACCCTTCACTTTATAGTTGAGAAAAATGGCCTAGAGAGGAAAGGTAATTTTCCTGGGATCACAAAGGTAGTCAATAACAGAGTCAAGATTTGAACTGACTCCAAACCGAATATGCTTTCCACTATATGATGCAGCTGCTAGGTAATGTACATTAATGTTTTTCCATTTGTCTTTACAACTCCTAAATATAAAAATAATATCTTTAAAGTGACTGAACCACTAAAGAGGTTGTCCAGAAAAGAGAGTGCTGTAACTGTTGCCCAGAACCAGAGGCCCACCAGCTAAAGGTATATATTATCAATCTTATTCCTTGGGGGAGTTGGGAAATAGAACCCTCTACCCTTGAGATTTACCTTTGTAAGTGAAAATAGATTCAATGGTTCTCTTCTTAGTTTCTAAATGTAAAAATACTAATATCTTTAAAGTGCCTGAAGCACCCAAAGAGATTGTCCCTGAAAAGAAGGTGCCTGTGGCGTCCCTAAAAAACCAGAGGTGCCACCAGCTAAAGGTGTATATATGGTCATTGTACTAATTCTGAAGAAGCTTATCTCATCTCTTTAAAATATTTTTGGTGTTCCTACTGATTTTCATAGCACCTAATTATAAAATCACTAATATCTTTAAAGTGCCTGAGCCTCCAAAAGAAGTTGTCCCTGAAAAGAAAGTGACTGTTCCCAAAAAACCAGAAGCCCCACCTGCTAAAGGTATATGTCACTATTGAGAGGAAAATATTTGTCTTCTGTTATCAAAAATATTTTGATGTTTGTATTGAAATATATAATCCCTAAGTATAAAAACACTAATATCTTTAAAGTGCCTGAAGCTCCCAAAGAAGTTGTTCCAGAAAAGAAGGTGCCTGTGGCCATCCCCAAAAAACCAGAAGTACCACCAGCTAAAGGTATATGTCACCAGTGACCTCATTCTGAAGAAGCAACATCTTTTCTGCTCCTGAAAATGACCATTGGAAACCCCTAAGCATAAAAATACTAATATCTTTAAAGTGACTTTAAAGTCCCAAGGAGTTGTCCCTAAAAAGAAGTACTTATATGTGTTTCCCCAAAAGCCAACAGTCCTTCCAGCTAAAGGTATTTATTCCCACTGCTCTGATTATGGGGGGATATGTATCAGATTTTAGAGCTGAAATATTATTGAGTCCAACCCCTTCATTTTATAGTTGAGAAAAATGGCCTAGAGAGGAAAGGTAATTTTCCTGGGATCACAAAGGTAGTCAATAACAGAGTCAAGATTTGAACTGACTCCAAACCGAATATGCTTTCCACTATATGATGCAGCTGCTAGGTAATGTACACTAATATTTTTCCATTTGTCTTTACAACTCCTAAATATAAAAAAAACTAATATCTTTAAAGTGACTGAACCACCTAAAGAGGTTGTCCCAGAAAAGAGAGTGCCTGTAACTGTTGCCCCAGAACCAGAGGCCCCACCAGCTAAAGGTATATATTATCAATCTTATTCCTTGGGGGAGTTGGGAAATAGAACCCTCTACCCTTGAGATTTACCTTTGTAGTGAAAATAGATTCAATGGTTCTCTTTCTTAGTTTCTAAATGTAAAAATACTAATATCTTTAAAGTGCCTGAAGCACCCAAAGAGATTGTCCCTGAAAAGAAGGTGCCTGTGGCTGTCCCTAAAAAACCAGAGGTGCCACCAGCTAAAGGTATATATGGTCATTGTACTAATTCTGAAGAAGCTTATCTCATCTCTTTAAAATATTTTTGGTGTTCCTACTGATTTTCATAGCACCTAATTATAAAATCACTAATATCTTTAAAGTGCCTGAGCCTCCAAAAGAAGTTGTCCCTGAAAAGAAAGTGACTGTTCCCAAAAAACCAGAAGCCCCACCTGCTAAAGGTATATGTCACTATTGAGAGGAAAATATTTGTCTTCTGTTATCAAAAATATTTTGATGTTTGTATTGAAATATATAATCCCTAAGTATAAAAACACTAATATCTTTAAAGTGCCTGAAGCTCCCAAAGAAGTTGTTCCAGAAAAGAAGGTGCCTGTGGCCATCCCCAAAAAACCAGAAGTACCACCAGCTAAAGGTATATGTCACCAGTGACCTCATTCTGAAGAAGCAACATCTTTTCTGCTCCTGAAAATGACCATTGGAAACCCCTAAGCATAAAAATACTAATATCTTTAAAGTGACTTTAAAGTCCCAAGGAGTTGTCCCTAAAAAGGAAGTACTTATATGTGTTTCCCCAAAAGCCAACAGTCCTTCCAGCTAAAGTATTTATTCCCACTGCTCTGATTATGGGGGGATATGTATCAGATTTTAGAGCTGAAATATTATTGAGTCCAACCCCTTCATTTTATAGTTGAGAAAAATGGCCTAGAGAGGAAAGGTAATTTTCCTGGGATCACAAAGGTAGTCAATAACAGAGTCAAGATTTGAACTGACTCCAAACCGAATATGCTTTCCACTATATGATGCAGCTGCTAGGTAATGTACACTAATATTTTTCCATTTGTCTTTACAACTCCTAAATATAAAAAAAACTAATATCTTTAAAGTGACTGAACCACCTAAAGAGGTTGTCCCAGAAAAGAGAGTGCCTGTAACTGTTGCCCCAGAACCAGAGGCCCCACCAGCTAAAGGTATATATTATCAATCTTATTCCTTGGGGGAGTTGGGAAATAGAACCCTCTACCCTTGAGATTTACCTTTGTAGTGAAAATAGATTCAATGGTTCTCTTTCTTAGTTTCTAAATGTAAAAATACTAATATCTTTAAAGTGCCTGAAGCACCCAAAGAGATTGTCCCTGAAAAGAAGGTGCCTGTGGCTGTCCCTAAAAAACCAGAGGTGCCACCAGCTAAAGGTATATATGGTCATTGTACTAATTCTGAAGAAGCTTATCTCATCTCTTTAAAATATTTTTGGTGTTCCTACTGATTTTCATAGCACCTAATTATAAAATCACTAATATCTTTAAAGTGCCTGAGCCTCCAAAAGAAGTTGTCCCTGAAAAGAAAGTGACTGTTCCCAAAAAACCAGAAGCCCCACCTGCTAAAGGTATTTATGTACACTTATCTGCTTCAGAAAGATCCACGCTTAAAAACATTTTCATGCTTCACTGTTTGATGTTTTATATTTGTCTTCACCATTTCTAAATGTACAAACGCTAATATCTTCAAAGTGCCTGAACCTCCCAAAGAAGTCATCCCTGAAAAGAAAGTGTCGGTGGCTGTCCCCAAAAAGCCAGAAGCCCCAGCAGTTAAAGGTATCAGTTGCCAATCATTCTGGATGAGGAATGTCTTACCTTCTGATATTTGGGGGAGGAGGGAAATTGTGTGTTTCCAGTGAATGTTGTAACTACTATAAGTATAAAAAGTACTAATATCTTTAAAGTGCCTTAACCTCCCAAAGTAGTCGTCTCTGAACAGAAAGTGCCTTTAGCTAACCCCCAAACACCAGAAGTACCACCTGCTAAACGTACTCATTGCATATGACTGTGCTTCACAGCATCCATTGTCTTCAGTCTTCCTAAACCTAAATATATTAATATCTTTAAAGTACCTGAGGTTCCAAAGGAAACTGTCCCAGCCAAGAAGGTGCCTGTTGCTGTTCCTCCAAAGCCAGAGACTCCACCACCTGAAGGTACATGGCAAAAACAGACCAAATTAGGAAGGAAAGTCTGTCTGTCTACCTGTCTTTTCTTTTTTGTCTAGAGAATAAATTTCTGCCAAAATAGTTTTGTAATTTCTATGTAAATTCTAACAGTAAAATTAGCTAATATCTTTAAAGTGTATGAAGAACCAGAGGAAATTACTCCAGAGGTAACTCCAGAGGAGGTATATGAAGAGCCAGAGCCAGAGCCAGAACCAGAGCCTGAGCCTCTCCCTCCACCACCCAAAGGTACTTGTGAGTCTTGCTCAACTATTTCAAATTCAGTCAGGATTCCTAACTCTTTTTGTGGGTCCTGGACCCCCTTGGCAGTCTAGTGAAGCCTGTGGGTTCTTTTGTCAGAATGTCTTTAAATGCATAAAATAAAACACATAGGATTACCAAAGAAACTACACTGGAATGGTATAGCAAAATATATTGAAAACCACTTCATGTTCAACACCAGGTTAAGAAACCTACCTTCAGAAAATGATGCTTACCACCAGTTTTTAAAAGGCTGTGTATAGTGATTTTATTTTGTTTCCTACCTATCTTACTGCTTCTAAAATATGAAAACACTAATATCTTTAAAGTGCTGAAACCACCCCAGAAAGTGGTCCCAGAAAAGAAAGCCCCTCCACCTGTTGTCAAAAAACCCGAGCGACCACCTGCAAAAGGTACTTATCATGACTAATAATGTTCTTCACATCTTTATGTCCTGTAAATATATCTGGTTTTTTTTCCATTTTTTCTTGAGACACTGATTTTTAAAACTACTAATATCTTTTAAAGTGCCTGAGGTACCAAAGGAAGTAGTACCAGAAAAGAAAATACCCCCACCTGTTTCCAAAAAGATAGAAACCCCACCTGCCAAAGGTATATATAATTCTGTTGGGAAGGTTTTGAGTTTGAGGGGAAGGACATGGGAGGAGGATTCTGTGGGCTTAAAAATTACTTTTTTTTCTTCTGTAAATATGATTCTTTATAAGTCCTAAAATTCAAAATACTAATATCTTTAAGTGCCTGAACCTCCCAAAGAAGTTGTTCCTGAAAAGAAAGTACCAGTGGCTGTCCCCAAAAAGCCAGAAGCCCCGCCTGCTAAAGGTATAGACCATAGATAACTTTGAAGAAAATCGTTCTCTTCTGACCCTGAAATTTATGTGTTTTGTATCAGACCTTCTTTTCTCAGTACTCTTGATACTATGTTTATAATTTTTAATTGGATTTTTAAAAAATTGAATGATATGACCAAAAAACCCTTATTATCCCTTCAGCAACTTTTAATAAGTCCGAATGAAATTTTTTTTTATTCTTTACTATCCACATTCCTTTCTTTTCATTCCCCTTTTTGACCTGATCCAGTGGCAGACTTGTCCCTTTAGTTACGAATTCTTCCTGTCTTTGGATCAGCTACCTAGGCAGCTGTACAAAATCAGAACCCTACTCATGTTAATGTCACATATTTCTCAAGTGCCCCAAAGTAAAATTAACTAATATCTTTAAAGTGCCAGAGGTACCAAAGAAACCTGTGCCTGAAGAAAAACCTGTTCCTGTTCCTGTTCCTGTTCCTGTTCCCGAGAAAGTGGAGTCTCCTCCACCAGAAGGTACATGTGGGCCCACATATCTGTTTACTGCTTCTGAATACTTAGAATTGGAGCTTTATTCCTCTTCTTTTCTCTTGTTTCTGCTTAACGATTTCTTAAAGATTTGTCTCATGTTGGTTCTGTTATTTAGCTCTGGGAATTCCCAGCCCTGTAAGTTTGGTTTTTCTGATCAGAATAATCAGAGTACAGCTTAGGGACCAAAATGAAACCTGATTTCTCTAATATAAACAGTGGTTAATAAAAGAGGAGGGGATGACAGGTATGAATGAGAGGGCAAAACGTGGGTATGAATGAGAAAATGACCTACAAAGAGGGATATTTTTTCATGCAGATAAGAAAAAAGTAAAGTACACACCAACCTGGCTAGCTTTCAATTTTTAATCAAATTAAAAGTAAACCATTGGTAGGAAGGCTATTTTGGCATCTGTATGAAGAATTAGAAAGGGAGACTTGGAAAGCAAGACGATTAGAAGGCTATTAATAGTGGTCTAGTCCAGGTAAGAGTTTATGAAGACCTGAACTTAGGTGACAGCAATAGGGAGCAGAGAGGTGATTATTTGTGCAAAAGATATTTCAGAGAATAACAGGATAGACAATGAATTGGATGTAGGTGAGGAGAGAGAGAGGGACAAAGAGAAAAAGAGAGGAGTCAAAGATAATTCAAGTTTTTGATTGGATCAGTGGTGGTTATTAAAGAAACGGGGAATCCAGTAAAGACAAAATGCTGGTTCAATTTAAAATGTCAGTTCTTCATATGATGTTATTCAGCTTTCAAATGTTAAACTCTTGTATGATGTGATTCTCCCGATATAAAATATGAGATTATGTGTATGTGTGTATATGTATAACTGTATGTTTGACATTGTTACAAACTGTGTGGTTGGCATTTTTGTGTCTATTGCTATAGTATGTTAACTTGAAAAACAGCTAAAGATAAAATTAAAATTAACTAATATCTTTAAAGTATATGAAGAGCCTGAAGAAGTTGTTCCTGAAGTAGAAGAACCTGAAGAGGAAATCCCAGCTCCTGAAGAGGAAGCACCTGCTCCCATTCCTGAAGAGCCAGCCCCACCACCACCACCTAAAGGTATAAGCCAATACTAATTATATTTGGGAAAATCTTTGACTCCATTAGAAAAATACTGCTTATCTTTCTATTAAGAAATAAAAGAGAATTCTGCCTCTTTGCATGGTCAAGTCAACAATCATTTATTAAGCACCAAAGAAAAGCAAAACACAGCCCCTGCTCTGAAGAAACTCCCAGTGTGATGGGGAGAGCAACATGTGAACAACTATGTACAAATAAGATATGCATAGGATGAATTAGAGATAAACTCAGAGGGAGGGCACTAGTATTAAGGCATATCAGGAAGGGCACGAAAACTATTGATTCCTGAACTTTAGATGTTATTGGCTATAAAAAGCTATTCAGTAGCTGTGTGACTCTGGGCAAGTCACTTAATCCCATTGCCTGGCCCCCCAAAAAAGCTATTTAGCCCACTCTGTTCAGCAATTAAATTAATTTAGCCTACATCTGCTAAGCCACCTACAGTGTGCAGAGCCAAGTGGCATTTTCTAAGCGAGATACTACAAATTTAGATAAATTCCTTGCCTTCCTGGAATTTAAAGTTTAAAAAGATAAGGAGGAAAAACTGGTGAAAGTTGTTTCATACTCAAGAATGTAGAGTAAATGATATTACTCATCCATCTTAACCATGAGGCCACTACCCAGACAATGTGCATGTTTGCCGTCCTTCCATTTATCAGCAACTGTCTTGGTTCTCTAAGTCTGATGTTAAGTATAATTTGTGAAGCTTTTAAATATTATTGAATCTAAAAGAAACTCTTGTCTTTAAAGTGCCTGAGGTACCCAAGGTCATCCCAGAAAAGAAAGTGCCTGTTGTCAAAAAACCAGAACCTCCACCTGCTAAAGGTACATTTAGAAAGGGGTTAATGGTGAGGGTGGGAGATAGGAGGGATGGGGAATACTTAGCCCTTCTCGTGATAGTGTCTGTGATTTCATCATTTTCCTTGATTGTGTTACATGCAATGTGTGTTATGATCAATATGTTGTCTAAATTTGTGTCACTTTTTTCAAAATATTTCCCATGTCTTTCAAATTTCAAAAATTAAATGAAACTAATATCTTTAAAGAACCTGAGGCACCAAAGAAAATTGTCCCAGTGAAGAAAGTTCCTGTTCCTAAGGAGCCAGAAGCACCACCCGCTAAAGGTATCTGCATTATTATTGCTATAATGATGAAAAAAACCCATACTCTTCCTCTAATCTTTGCTAGTCTGGTAGAACCTCATAAACTGTGTTTATTGTTATTCTGTATGATTTAATTTCTTTATGTCATTATTTTCTGCTCGTGGCCAATAATACTGTTGGTTTGTCCCAGTTAATATTAACCCTGTCCCAGTAAATCTGATTTTCTTTGTCTTCCTAACACTTTGTAAATTCTTGGAATTCTTTAAAAACAACAACATCAACAAACTAATATCTTTTAAGTGCCTGGATTACTCAAGAAAGTTGTCCCACCAAAGAAGGAACCTGTCAATGTTACCAGAAAACCTGAAGTTCCACCAGCTAAAGGTATATGCCATGAAGAAAAAAAGCTCTCTTTTTCTTTGGCAGTTACAAATCATTTGAGTGTTTATTTATGTTGTATAAATTATGAGTCTGTGTCTGTCAAGTCACCTATCATAAGAACATAATGGCATAATGCAAGGAGTACTTTGATGAATGAGTGAGTGAATGAATGAAGGTGAAAGGTTACTATTGTTGATGTCATATTGGAGGTTGTTCTGTGGAATGTTGTCCTATGATGTCATGTCAGACCGAGAGCTTTCTTTTGTGTTACATCATCTGAACTTTCTAGAATTTTGAGTACTTTTTAAATTCTTAAAAGTAAGAGGAATTAATATCTTTAAAGTGCCTGAAGTACCCAAGATAAGTGTCCCAGAGAAGAAAGTCCCTATTGCTGTTCCTGAAGAACCAGAAGTTCCACCAGTCCAAGGTACCCAGAGCTACTACTTAAGTCATGAATAGATCACCATCAAGTTGCCTTCTTATGTATCTTTGACCACAGAACTGAGTCTTGTGTTTATTCATTGTCTCTTGTTGTACTGAGGTGGACAGTACGTGAATTCTGGGAACCTAAGAGATTCTTTGGGGGGAGGGGCGTTGTTTTGAATGTGAGGTTGCTATTTTGCATCATAACATTAAAAGAATTGTAGCAGATTTGATTTTGGATGCCTTCTAAAGTAAAATCATATTTTTCAAGTGGAAGAGTCTCCTGAAGAGGTTATTTATGAAGAAAAAGCATCCATAACCATTGGTAGGAAGGAGATTCCTCCTGTTGAAGGTATTTTTAAAAAATCTTATGTAAAGTCTTGTGTTAAGAATGTCAAAGTATTTAGAGGGAGGTATATCTTATGATAGTAAATCTCAAAATAGTCCAGTCTTCTCTTTAATTAATCACTTTCTCTTTGAAATACTTATGACCTTATTAGAGTTAGAACAATGAATATGATCATTTGTAGCTAATAATAGTCAGATAGATAAATGATTCCCACAGACCAGAAAAGTATAATCTGTACCACCACTATGGGAAAACTGAAATTGTTGAAAAGCCAAATGTTTAAGGTATCCTTAGTTGTACATTATATTTTCTATCTCCTCAGAACACACAAAATAAATACATCAGTCTTTAAAAGCAGAGAGAATAGGGGCAGGTAGGTAGCACAGTGGATAGAGCACCAGCCTTAACTAAATTCAGAAGGACCTGAGTTCAAATCTGGCCTCAGACACATAACACTTTCTAGCTGTGTGACCCTGGGCAAGTCACTTAACCCCATTGCCTAGCCAAAATAAATAATAAAAGCAGAGAGAAAAGTCTAAAAATATTCTGGAGATTTCTGTCTCAAGGCAAAAAATATTTTACACAGACTTTGCAACTCTACGAGCTTATGGGCATGTGTGTTTATTTATGTGTGATTATCAACTATGGTTTTTGTATCTCAGTGTCTTATACAACTGGTACTTTGTAGGAAGGAAACAATTTTTTCACCCTCTGTCAGTTTGTAGCTAATTTTCTTAATTTAGGGGATAAGGAAGGGTAAGACAAAGTATTGTGAGTATTTATAAAATCATAAGACAATTGTGCTAATACAGTGGTCTTCAGAATTGACAATCCTATATCCCTTGTCAATATTCTTTAAAGAACGTGAAATCACAAAGCAGATTGAGCCTGTGGCACCAGAGCCTGAGCCAGAACCTGAAGAAATACCCGTGAAAGGTATTCAGATCATTAGGCTTAAACCTATGCCATCCCCCATAAATCTTCTTCATCTTGAAACTTTTTCATAGTGTGCCACCATATCGTATGTCTTATTGGATCTGTTCTTGAGATACTGTTGTTTTGAATGTGCACTAAATTCTTATAATTCAGTGTCATTTGTACAGTATATTTCATGTCAAATGTGGCTCATCTAAATGTTTTTTGTGTCATGAAAAGTCTGTTCTATCTCTCATTTTCTGTATAGAAATGTGTTACTTGTTTTATGTTATGCATAAATAAGAAGGAATCTTTTTCTCATCTTGACATGCCTTCATATATACCTGCTAACTCTCCAATAATACTCTTTCAAATAATAGAACCTGAACCAGAAAAGAAGATTCCTGAGAAACCCAAATTCAAACCACCACCCCGGGCTCCTCTTCCACCAAAGGAAGAAATCAAAGAACAAATGGCCCAGCTTAAAGGTACCAAGGCAATTGACTTTCAAAGCACTCTTAACCTGCTTCCAAACTTCTAATTGAATTTAGCAGTGCTTCCAAAACCGTGCACTCTTTTGGAAGTGTATTCTCTCAAGCATTATTACTCATTGCTTATTTAAACCAAATCTGGTGCTTTTCTGCCCTTTCTAATGCTCATGCCTTAATTTCCTTCTGAAAAACAAAACAAAACATTTATAGGCACCTCATAAACCCAATGGACTGTGCTAACTGCTTCATGGGTTGGGAAGATATATTATAATCTAGTAAAGGAATGAGGGAAGTATCAAATAACAGTAATACTAGGTAGACTATTACATACACAATTAAAGTGTTACAGAGATGGGGTCAAGAGAAATAGCATTACATTGGGGAAGTGGGAGGTAGGTATGGTTATGACTTCTGAAGCTCGCTAATCTTGCTGACCTGAAAGCAAATGAAGAAATAGGCATTGTCTAGTGCCCATCAAGAAATATTTGATGCAAAGAGTATTTAGACAAGCTCTTCATTTGTCTTATATGATCTTGATTCTGGAGCTTTCCATCCTAATTTCTTAAAGTCTTTCTTTATTGCCTGATTTCCAAGCCTGTTTGCCTACTTGTTGTGACCTTGAGCATGAGGAATGTGTATGGGAATCTTTGAGGTGTTTCATGCCTTCATAGCAGCACAGCTTTGAGAGATTCATCCCAAAGGCAGAATTTTGTTCTTTAAAGAATGTTACATCCCTCCAAACTTTCATAAGGGAAAAATATTTTTATGGTGCCATAAACCTTTTAAGTATTCATTAGTCACTTCAGAAAGACATGCAAAGGCTCTTGTTATTGAACACAAAACGGTGTTATCCAGCTTTCACTTTAATGCCGTAGTGATAATCTGGCTATCTAAAAGGAGAGATGGTGTAGAGATCATGCAGGACCTCTGGGTTCTAGTCCCAGCTTTTTCATTGATTAATCCGTTAAATGTTCGTTTCTACTTTTTGTTCTTTGATTTCCCTATGAAGTTCTATAATACGTCTCAATTTTATATATATATAGATATATAGATATATATCTATATATATCGATATATATAGATATATAGATATATATCTATATATATCGATATATATAGATATATATATATCAGAATTTTTGAGAGCAATTACATAAAGAGAAAGGATTACTAACCTTCATATTTTAAACATTGAAGCACACTAAACTAGGAATATTGTCTCATGCAGTGTTATGAGATGTTTCAGACTAAATCACTCCAATTATGGAGGGACCTTTCCCTCACCAACTTTAAAGGTATACTTGAAAATATCTGCGCCTCTCTGACAGTCTTAAGTTTTCTCCTGTCTTTGCCTATCTGCAGAAGAGATAGATTTCCAGTGACATTATATAGAATTTTTGTACCCTTCTTGAAATCCAAGTAACTGAACTAAATGAATGAGGATGTAATGAGGAATTAATTGTTCTTGGAACTGTAATGAATAGCAGATTGGCCTTAGAGCAAGGGAAGGGAATGCCAAAGTTTTAATCGAAGTTAAATATGGGGTTTTTTTGCCATTTTCCTGATGACATGAAGCCAAAGAACAGCAAAATAATTACCATAATCTCTTGTCTTCAGCCTAGAATACTAGGAAAAGTTGGGGATAGTAGAGCTTATTTCAATTCTACCTCTGCAATAATGGGAGACTTAAGTTTAATCAGCCAGATTATACAAGTTAAATTGAGGACTTTTAGCTCCATTTAATTCTACAAATATTTGTTATGTGCCTTCTATGTGCAAGGCACTTTGGAAGGGGCATTCATTTGTTCATTAACCATTGCCTCACTAGGCCAAAAGTCTTAACCTGGAATATACAACATACCTAAAGAGAAAATTTTGCCTTCAGACTTTAATACTTTCTACAAGAGATCAAAATAATCTTCCTGAAACAATCTTGAACTTAACCTTCCATTTCTAATTCTGGATAAAGCTAAATATCTTGATGGTTTGAATGCTTTTTGTATCTTCTTTGGCACCTCTTAATGGCTCTTAACATTGAGTGGCTCTTAGCAAAAAAAAGATAAAAATATATTCTTGGGGCTGGGATATTTTTCTTAAATCTCTTCTGAATAAAAGTTTCAAAATGCAACTATTAAAATCCAATTATCTTCTTTAAAGCCGTTGTAAAGAAAAAGCCTCCTGAAAAACCTCCAGAAAAAGTTCCAGAAAAGGTGGAATTTGCTCCTCTAAAAGGTATCTTGTCAGTGCAGAAAATATATTCATATGCATTACAGATACACTGGTATCATGGTTTTAGTCTTCTTATTTTACGTCTCTAGAAGTTGTATGGTCATTATGGAAAATATATTCATATATAGACTCCTCCATCATGCTTTCTGCTCTTCTTGTATCTGTAGAACTCTTGTTTCCACAGCATATTGCTTTGTGTGCCCATAATGATCACGCCAACATCATCCGTTCATTCCTTTTTTTGTGGCATTCCTGTCAAAAAGTCACGGGGGTTACTGACCTGATTTTCCAACAGTTGTATAAGCAATAGACATATACACATCCTCAACTTAATATGCCTCCATTGGATGACTAGACATATATAGTAAGAGGAAAGAAATGTTCCAGGTGAAAATGATGATTTTCAAACTGATAGAAATCGTTACAGTTTTCACCTCTATACCATCATTTTAACAAAAGTTATAGGAACTAATGCAAAAGCGTTCTTTTTGCATAACTGAAGATTATAAATATCTGAGTTGGGGGAGATGGATCTTTTCAACTGTGTTGTGATTTCTCTTAAGAAATATATTTAATTTGCTTCCTCTTCATTCCACAAATATTTCTTAAATGCAACAAACTGAAATGGATTAGTCTTCAGAAAAGGCCAGTGCAATTATAGATCAATAATTTTAAGAGTTTCTTTGTTTGCTCTGCTTTTCATTTTTAGAATTGTATTCATAAATAAAATTAAGACAAGTCTTTTAAAAGAAATGGTAAAAATTATGTCAATAGAGCCATGATTTCATTGGTAGGGGACTTTTCCCTCCATGTCTTAGGTAGTTTCATGCATTGCTATGATTAAAATCTACATCATCTGGTAGCCAGCTTCCTGGTGATAAAGCTCTTTGACTTTTAACTAGGTTTGTCCTCAGATAAGTTATTGTTGCTTTGTAGGGCTTTCCAGAGTCTGTCCCCTGGTAGTCTCTATGCCAAAATGAGGCATCAGAATGGGACTTGAGTAGAGGATTACATTCCCCCATTTAATAGAGGAAATAAAAATAAAGTTACACTTACTTACAGTAAATATAACTAACGGTATTTCTTATGAATGAACATAATTAGGTCTTTAGGGTTGAAGGTTTAGATGTTACTTCTACCACTAAGTCACTTGATGACTTTGGTCAAGTCACTTAAATACTTTGTAACAATACTTTCTTATCTGTAAATTGTGGATAATGATGTTTCACAAAAGGCATTAAAACTGTTTTATAAAATGTTTTAAACTATTTGGGCCACTACGATAGTATATAATGAATCAGATTCCCAGAACTCAGTGATATTTCTACAACAAAATAATCACATAGGAAGAATTTATATTGTATAAAATTCACCTCTCAAAATGTGAATTATAAGAAGCGACAAAATGCATTTTTTCTAAGTCCACTCTATCTTGAATAAAATCATTTTGCTTACCACCATGAAACTGATTAGGTGTTAAAGAGTTACAAATCAAGCTGTATGAAAAGATATTAAACGATAATATGTTTTTATCATAGATAAAAAAATTCATTTTAAGTCTAAAAAATATATACTTATAAGACATTAAGAAAAGTATTTTAATTTTATTATAAATAATTTCTTTTAAAATAATTATTTACATATTGCTTTATGTATATTTAAATTACATTATACTAAAAATGAAGGGAGGTTCTTTTTATCACAAGTATTTTTTAATGAATGGGAAATGTGTCATCTGAAGCTTGAAATAGCAAATATCCAACAGAAATTCAGAATTCATGTCATGGTCAGTGATTCTAATTTCATAACAAAGAACTTTTAGAACACAGAATTTTAGCCATTAGAGGGATGTTATAGTTCATTGCCTGATATTCAACACTTCACTGGTGATGAATCTCCCTATACCTAGCTCTATACCTGGATGGGTCTTTAGTCAGCAAGTAACTTTTGTCCCCTCTACCATACTCGAAGTTTGCTAAGCTTAGTAGAACCTTCACAACTTTCATTCAGCTATCTCAGCCTTGGGGTACAAGTCCAGAGTCACCTCCACCCTAGTTGCAACATAAAAGTAGCCCTTTTAAATGGAAGTTTAATAAAGTTAACAATGACAAATTGTGCGTGGTATTACAGATCCCACCACATTGCGTTATGGTGCATACACATACAATTTTATGTTAAATTCAGAAAGTTAATGTATACCTTTATTCATTTTTTATGTAATTTCCAATTTTTTGTGTGCCTGAAATTTCACAGTAAGGCTAGGTAATGGACATTTTTAGGAGAAAAGTTTAAATGACAATGTAAACTATAATAATATTTATTATACATGTCAATTATATTTGTTTGCCATAATTGCTTCTTGGTGATATATAGCTAAACAATTTATTTAGAGAACTTTTTTTTGTTGAGCATATTTGGGGGTTTTTAATGCTCTAAAATAGTTTCATAATTTGCAATCATATTCTTTTAAGCACCTGGTGAAAAGAAAATTCGAAAATTACTTCCTGAACCTGAACCTAAGCCAAAGGAAGAAGTTATTTTGAAAAGCGGTATAGTATATTCAGCATCATATCAAGTTGGGGAACTCTAATATTGGACTTGAAAGCTTACAAAGATTTTCTGTCCTTTTTTAAAAACAATTTTCTGATATTTCAAATTAATTAGAATTAAATTGACATGAAGGAAATTATTATTACAAAATGTAAACTTTTTAAAATTATTAAGGGAGACAGAATCTTTGTGGACTTTCAAAATATTTTTAAATTTATGATATTAGGATACCTTTTTTTTACTAAAATTAAAGTCTAAATTTATGATAATGTTATGAACTAATAATAATAACAATGAGGAACATATTATTTCTAATGATGGCATCTTATAAGTAAATCCACAGAGCAAAATGTTGCATTCAATTAGAAATGTTTAGCCATTAATTTAATATGTAAGTGTTAAAGTGTGACAGAGGTTCACTAAATCTAGTCTGAATAATACTAGATACTTAACTTTCACTTCATATTTGTAAAATAATTTTGAATTAACAGCACATTGTTAAACACAAGGCCTAAGGGGAATTTTTCATAGTATTGTCCTATGCCTCCTTATTCCAGGGGTTCTTAACTTTTTTTTGTCACGGGTCCAGGAGTTTAAAATTTTTTGGTGTGAGCATTTACACCTTGAAATTGGCAAATGCTACAAATCAGGTTTAGTGATTGTCTCTGGACTTAAGAAAGTGATGGAAAAAATATTAATAATACAGACTAAACTTAAAAGTGTTGTACATATACATGTAAATACACATATGACTATATACATATATATGTGTATGTGTGTATACATATACACACACATATATCCCTCCCCTCCAAGAGCTGGTCTTTAAACATTTATCAGCACACCTCTGCATAGATCCTTTCGACAATCTGATGAAGTCTATATACCCTTCCTCAGAATAATACTTTTAAATACATAAAATGAAATATATAAGATGACAAGGGAAACCAGTGATATTGAAATAGTTACCAAAATATTTTTTTAAAAACACTTTCACGGTCCCAAGTTAAGAACTCCTGTTAGAAAGTTTTTCTCAAGGCATCTATTATAATTGTATCCCTTATACAAACACCACTAGTACCTATTAAGAATCTTTCGGAAATTAATGTTTTAAATATTTTTAGAATGTGGTACCACTTAAATTAATATAGTACTGGAGTCTTTTTATCTCCCCAGTACTTAATTAGATGGATGAAGACTAATGATCATTGGAACTTTTGGGTTGCTTTAAGTTCCCATCTATAGCCAAACATTCCAGGGTGCTAAGTTGCATGCTCTCTGTTTCTGTGTGCTTTATACATTATGTGTGAACTTCAACCTCATCTTCATGATCACGTCATGGTTTACAAATAAACCTTTTTGTCTTTAAAGTTCTTAGGAAGAGGCCTGAAGAAGAAGAACCTAAAGTAGAGCCTAAAAAAGTAGAAAAGATTAAAAAACCTACAGGTAGGAAGAAAAACTATAGTGGCGGTTTGTGAGCCTGGTTTTTTTTTTAACAAAATGAGTATACAAAAGGTTTATCTCGTAAACATAAATTGAATCAAATGTCAACATTATTGTCATCCATTGCTCATTATTTCATCTGTAATGTAGTTCGTGCTTTACCATTACCTGCTTTCTGCTTCCATTTTTTTCTTGTTTATGCCTTTTTTATTTTTAATATTTTGGAATTTGTTATTCTTCCCTATACTGCTTCAGCTTTTTGGGTCTGAATTGGAACAATTAGATTATAGTTCTAATGGTAGCTTCAGAATGCCTAAGTCTCAATGGGTTGGCACCAAGTTTAAACTGGGCAATAGATAAGTTTGCATTTTATTAGATAAACTGTTCCTGGGCAGATTTAAAGAATTTTAGGACTGAGTTGTCATAGAACTAATAGTGTGCTCAGCAGTATCAGGGTAAATTTCATAAATTCAGTGGAAAAAATGCCCAGGTAAATTTTGTCTCAAACCTCATTTTCTAAAGGTTGGTCAGGTTCTGGCTGAGCCCCAGTATTTTGCTCCAAACCAGCTCTTAGAAATACCTATTGTCTAAATAGTCCACAAATAAGAGGTTCAACCCATATTTGGTTTCATTATTTGTTATTAGTTTTTTACCCTGAATGTTGTTTATATTTGTGTTTGTTTTTTCTGAGTAAGAGTTGCCAAAGAGTACTCTTCTGAAGGACCCTCAAAAGACTGATTCAGGGCTAATCAAAGATTTGAACCTGTTGCAAAGTGGTTTAGTTTAGAATTTGTTTGACCACTCTGCAGTCTCTTCATGTCAAACGTGAACTCTCATGTTGACAAAGAACAGACATCTTTCTGGATAGACAACCTTTGTATAAGAAATGATGTGAAGTATAACTGGATTTCCTGCTATAAGCTATTATTAGTAGTATTAGTATAGTTCTACCACTATTATCTAGATTGTGGGATTGGGTCTCATTCGTTGGCACATATTCCTACAGTCATGGTTTGTAAACATGTAAATTACAAGGCACTTGAAAGCTCCCTTTAAAGAAGTATGATCCATTCAACAGTCAACAAGTCTTTATTGCACACTTTACATATATGACAGCATATACATATCCTGTCAGTCCTCTTTTTGCCAGCCCCACTAAATATCAGGATTTAAAGTACCTGGAGATGACAGCCTTGCAATGTAATCCATTGTCTCACTAATCCATGACATTTGGCATGGGGCTGAACACTGAAGTCAAATGCCTTCAGAATAAAAATGATCAAATCTGGACACCCTGAAGAAAAGCCAATTTCAAAACAATACAAAATCAATCAATTCCTTGAATTAATCCTGTTATGGATAAAACTCGGCAAGAAGTTACAAATCTATTTTTTGCCAGTTGCCCTTTTCTTCTAGCTAGAAATACCAGAAAGTATTCTCAGCCTCAGTAAATGGCTTGGAGAACTCGTAGGAAGTTATGGTGGACATTGTTACCAGACTTGACTTTTGATGCTTAGTGTGTAAACTAGTGACAAAAATCCTTGGAAGCAATAATAGACAGAAATGTGGGAAGAAAATAATAGAAACAAAGAACAATAGCCCCAGTTTATTTTTAAAAAACATCAATTGGTTTTCTACCATAGAAACAATGGAATTTTATTTTCAAAATTTCTTTTAATATTTTAATGAAATATTTATTGCTAAATGCTAGCCAAAGAATGAAAATCATGTTAAAAGAGGCATTTACTATTTTAAAGTACCAGAACCACCAAAGAAGGCTGTTGATGAAGTTGAGGCACCTCCGCCTGTCACCAAAAAAGAAAGGAAAATTCCAGAACCAACAAAAGGTACAGATATTGGCATTTTTTTATCACTAGAATGGGATAACATGTTTCATGAAAAGATATAGTCTTTGAAATGCCATTACACCAGGTATAAGTAATTAATATGTAAACTAAGCCTGAGTTTTGAGGTATTGTTTGTTTTTTTTAACCATATTTGCTCCCATTTTTGATTAGCTAATGATTAGCTCTCTGCCACATGTTAATGATTTTAAACTAACATATAGAGATGTACATTTGAGTGAAATAATCCGGATAAGCTAAATTATACCAATAAAGGTCAGCTTGTTATTTGTGGCATTTTCTTTTCCTCTTTACCTTGTTTAAATTAAAGGTAAAATAATTTGTTGCCAGTAATGGTCATGTGCGTAACTAAGATATCCCCCCCCCCCGCTTTTGGGGAGCATCATGGTAACCTTTTTATCTTGTGGTCTCTCTTAAGTGCCTGAAATCAAACCAGCAATACCTCTTCCTGCACCACCCGAACCAAAACCTCCACCAGGTAAGAGCTTCCAGGATATTTAAACTCCATATTCCTACATGTCTTTCTACAATAATGTTAAACAACTCACAGTTGAATAGGACAGGAATCAAAATCATATACCACAGATGGTTTTATTGCTTTGATAAGTGAAATCGAAGTTTTGATTTTCTCCCCTGAGCATCTTAGAAGGCTGCTAGAATATCAGATTAGGTTCATGAGGTAAATACAGATAAAATTAATGGAGTGGAAATCTTTTCACAGAAGTAAAAGTTGCTAAGCCTATCGAACCACCGCCAGCACCAGTACCAGCTCCTACCCCTGTGACCATTCCAGTTGTTGGAAAGAAAGCAGGTATTTATATTGCTTCTATAAAGTGGATTTTGTTGTTTGTTTGTGTTTTTTTTTTTACCAGTAATACATGGACAGACCTTATTATGTTGGAATTTCTTCTACTTTGTCTATAGAAATGTGTGTACCATTTACATTTTTTGTGTCGAGTAAGCACATTTCCATAAAAGTTTTCTGTCTGTGATAATCTTTACATTTAAGTATTAAATAATTGGCTTTTTCAAATTGTCTTTGTTGTGTCTTGGCTAGTATGTACATTATTGTGTTGTGTTGGTTTCTCTGTACGTTCTTTCAAGTAATAATGTGTCCGCTGCTGGTGAAGGTGCCAGAGAAAGGAGTCTTCCTCTTCTTCACATAAAGAGGACAGTAGAGTCCCAGTAAGACCCATTGCTCAGGAAAAGCTCTGAAGGTTCAGTCTTCAAACCCTTAGACATGAGACAATTAATAATTAATAATGACACAATTAATGATTTTTCCATGAGATAATTAATAATGATGACACAATTAATGATTTTTCCATACATAATCACTCAAAATGGTGTGGTAATCTTCAAGTAATAAAATGTTAGAGCTGGAAAGAGCCTCAAAAATCATCTCTTCCAAGCCTCTCATTTTAGAGATGGGCAAACTGAGGCCATAAAAGGAAAGTAGCTTACCCTATATCACAGAGCACACTCGAACACAGGTCTCAGGATTGTTCTTTTCTCTCTATGCCATACTGCCTCTAAAATTAAGATTTGAGAATGCCATATTTATATATGATCTCTTAATCTGTCAACAAGTGATACTTTCAGAATCAAGAAGGCCTTGGTCTAGTTTCTGAAAAGAAAAATTTTCTGAGTCTATCCCCACATCCTTGGAAAAGTCCAGCAGGCTTAAATGTACTTTTGATTGTGGCCAGTGTGATGTTAAAGGGGAAAAGTGTTCTATGTTCTTTCCATTGCAGGCTCTATTTGAAATTTTTATCTTAAGATATTTGTTCCTTATGCTAATGCTTATGGAATATTTTTCTACTTTTGACCTTCTATAATTTAAATGTGACACCTTTATAGGTGCAGAAAAACATGATGCACCATCCATTTTAAAGCAGAAAGGTATAATACAAGTCACCAAAGAGCCCAAATTTGAAATACCTGGAAGGAAAGCGGTGTCCCCTACAGGTGAGAAAAACCTATGCATAAAAGACAAAATGAAACCCAAAGCATCTGAAAGGCTTACAGCAGAAGAAATGCCTGAACAAAGCATGTTACATGAAACACATGAAAGGATATCAGAAGATGAGAAGGGAAAACTTTTTCTTGGAGGATTTTTTTCTGTCTGTAAAGAAGATGAACAGGAAAGAGCTCCTGTTCCTTCAAAAATAACATTAACTGTGCTAAATGCCCTAGAACATGTGGCTAAAAGAAGAGTGCGGGCAATAAAAGGGGAATACAGATCTGTCTGCACACCTATTGCATTTGATGAAAGAATTTCAAAAGAAAGGAATGGGGGAATGAAAATACGCATTTGTAAGGAAGATGAAGAAACCCAGTTGTCCAAGGAGACTGGTCATCCACTAAAAGAAGTGGAAAAGATCCTCCCAAGTGAACAAGTACTGGAGTCTTCTGAAAAGATCAGCATAACCTCCAAATGCGAATCTGATCTCAGTCATAAAGCTGCTGTGCCACAGGAAAAGAGAGAGATTGCAAAACTCCAAGAGAGAGAAGGAATTTCTGAAGAATCACTTCAAATACTTCAGAAAACAAGAGAAAATGTTGGTTTGCTAGAAAAAACAAAGGATGATTCTGTCCAGATGAAATATGACAGCATTCTTAAAGATGATTTAATTAATTATCCAAAAAAGATAAAGGAAATTGACCAGATAGTTGAAGGTAAAGTCCATGTAACAACATTTGATTTGGACAAAGCTAGAGACTTATTCAAAGAGAGTCAAAGTCTTATTGCAGAAGTTAAGGAAACAGAAATCACTTTGCAAGAGAAAAAACCATTTGAACTCAAAGAAAAAGAAGAGGAAGAGAGAAGAGAAGTAGATACAGGACGAATAGAAACCAAGTCAATAATGGAAGCACAAATAAAGAAAGAAGGTGAAAATATAGCGACTACAGAAGTAGAAATAGAAGGGTATGCAGTAACAGCAAAATCAGATGTAAGAGTAGAATATAAACGGGAACCAGAGCCAAAGCAAAGCATAATTTCAAAGAATGAACAAGATGATGAGCCTTTCATAGGAAAGGTTAAAAAATCAGATGATGTAAGTGATGTTATAAGCTCCAAATCTCCAAAGGCAGTTCTTCTCTTTTGGTCCATGGTTACAAGGCAGAAAGTACAGGAAAACATTCAGGCATTTCAAGAAATGCCTGAAAATGAAAAAGAGGGAAGTAAGACTCTTAAAGTGAAGACATTTGAAAATAAATGGACTCCTTTCATTGTAGAAGAACCTGCAGTTTTTAAAAAGGACCCTGATCTCACAAAAGATTTTAATCCTGAAGAGGATATATCGGAGGAGGAAGAAGAGGATATAAATTGGGATTTGGAATTGGCTGAACTTTCTGAAGATTCTGGTGATCTTTCAGAAAATATGTGGGAGTGGGAAGACTATGAACTGCACAAAGCAAAGTCTGATGAAAGGAGAGGTGAGAAAGGTTAACCCAAACTCATGCAAAGAGATCATCCTACATGCTTGGGTTATGGAGAGGATCATCCTTTGATCCATCTGTGTTTGTTTGTCAGTTTTGTCCATGTTTTTCAGCAGTGTCCATCTGTCTATTGAATTGTCTTATTCACATTCAAATATTCTCTATCCTATTTTTGTCCACTTGAGCACTGAGCCATCAAAGCAGACAGGCATTATGCTTTTAGTTAAGTTTGGCATTTTATTTTGCTGCGTGTTAAGTTTTATCCTCTGGCATCTTGCAACTCATTTCTGTTTCATTGCTTGAAAAACTGATGTCCCACATTTCATGTAGCTTGAACGTATATATTTGCACTGAAGATGCATGATGAACAGTCCAACAAAAACCAGAAGCATGAAAAGTAGAAAGTGGAACAGTTATTAATGGAATATAGCAAATTTTGCTAATTCAGTGAAAGCATTTTATTGCTTTCCTTACTGTCATGCATTTTATTTATACAACTTATTTGATTTTCTCCCTTTAAAATATATGATTTTAAGTAGATTTTAAGACTTTAAAAATAGCCAGAAGAGTAGTTACAGGTAATTGAAAGCACCAAACACATTCTAAAGTGCTTGTCTGAGATAAAGATAGTGATAGCTAACTTGGCAGGTTGCCTATCCAGCTGAATGTTACAGCCTTGGAATGACATGCTTTTGATTTCAGAAATATAGAAAAGGTAAAGGATTTGTAATGTGCGACAGAATATGGTGTTAGAGTAGAGTAAAAGAAATCTGTAAGAAGTTGAATGAGTCACGTACTTGCTATTCCAGGGGTCTGCCACTAGGGGGAAAGGAGGGAACTCATCTATTTTAGGCAATTTCTCTCTACCCTCTTCCCCAGACTTCTTAGAAATTTCCAACAATTTAGCGCCTTTCTCAAATAAATCAAACTATTTGTGAAATATAACTGTATAACTAGGTCTTCATAAGTATATTCATAAGATAACATTCAGAACTATTTCCATGCTCAAAATGGGAATCTCTAATTTTTGCTCAAAAATACATTTTTGATTTATTCCAACATGATTCTGTAGCTCATGGTATTTAGAGCTGGAAGAGATCTTTGAGATCATCTCATCTAATCCCTCATTTTTGTAGATGAGGAAAGCAAGGTATAGACTTATTTAGGGTCACACTGGCAAGAAGTGGCAGAGCCAGAGCTCGAACCCCACAGCTATTGTCTTCAAGTCCGGTGCTCTTTCTGCTAAATCATTTTAAGGCACAGTTTTGCCCTGACACCCACCTGCATTTCTAGGAATGATTTTTTTTCTTATAGCCAATTCGACAGATCACAACATAACTTTTCCCACCTAAGGCAAAGATAAAATGTCAAGAATAGCAGAAGAACTATGAGTTCATTGTAAGGTACACTCAATGAGTTACTTTCTTCACCAGTGCAAGTTGGCATCTACAACCCTGAGATGTTAAGTGACTTGCCCAGGGTCACACAACCAATATATGTTGGAGGCAGGACCTGAACCCAGGTCTTCCTGGCTCTGAGGCCAGCTTTTTATCCACCACACCACACTGCCTCTCATATTCCAAAGGAATAGGGAGAAAAATATACTGAGTAAAATAATTATTTTTTTGTTCAAGGTTTTAAATTTTTTTTCTTCCAGTTAATGTATAAATGTTGATATTTTAGCTAGACAGATTGATTCCAGAATATACTTTTTGACAGCATCAAGAATATTCTACCCATAAGTTGTATAAATATTTGGATACGTTCTTTTGTGTGTAAATATATATCATGAAGAACATGCCGCTTGTCATTTTTTTGGTACCAATTTAAAAGAAGTTTAAGATTTTTCTAACTCTTTTTTTTTAAATTTTTTGCTTCAGAAGCCAAAGCACCTAAAGAGGAAGCTGCCAAACCTAAAGGGCCTATCAAAGGTAAAACAAACCAAACAAACAAAAAACCAAAAACTATTATTTATACTTTATAATTCACTGTGATAAAAATTCCCAAGCTTCATACACAAAGACAAGGGTCAACAATTCATATTCATCATTGCTAACATATTCTGCTGAGACCATTTAGGAATCTGAATGTATCAAATTGCAGAATTGTATATAATATATGGGACCAAAACATGTCTTTTGGACAAGGCGAATATACTAGAAAAACCAGCATTAGACATAATCTTGTAAATCTTCAATATAATAAATACATAAAAGCAACTTATGCACATTTTTATTCATGATATTTAAATTTGACAGATAACGTAATTAGACACTTGTATTAGCCTGTGTTTCTTCTTTTAATGTCAAATGACCCTTCCAGCTGGAAGGTAAACAGAATAAATTAAAGGTGAATTTTCAGTTAGCTCTGAATTTTATTTTCTCACCTTTTCACTGCGTTGTCACCATTTTTCTCAAACGGGCAGCTGGGTATCTAATCCCTGCCTTGGTCATGTCTCACTTAACTACCCCAGCCTCTATACACATTTAACTCTTCAAACTAAAGTTATTTTCTTTATATTCCTCTCCATCAGGTGTGGCCAAAAAGACACCTTCTCCAACTGAGATAGAAAAGAGAAAGCTAAGACCAGGAAGCGGGGGCGAGAAACCTCCTGATGAGGCCCCTTTCACCTACCAACTCAAGGCCGTGCCCTTGAAGTTCGTGAAAGAAATCAAAGACATCGTGCTGAAAGAAGCAGAGTCTGTAGGTTCTTCTGCCATCTTTGAATGTCTTGTTTCCCCTTCCACTGCCGTCACAAGCTGGATGAAGGATGGGAACAATATTCGTGAAAGTCCCAAGCACAGGTTCATTGCAGACGGCAAAGACAGAAAGCTGCACATCATCGATGTCCAGCTTTCAGATGCTGGCGAATACACTTGCGTTCTGCGTCTGGGAAATAAAGAAAAGACCTCCACAGCAAAACTGGTTGTTGAAGGTAATCATAAGCATTTCTAATATTGTTTAAATTCAGCTTTTCCTGAAAGTTCTGTGGCAACTTAAGGTGTAGTTATAAACAACATGAGGTTACTATTTTCTAAGGATTTCACATTTTATGTAAATTATATTATACATATAATTAAATGTATAATGTATGTATGTGTGTATCTATATGTGTGTGTATACATACACACATGCATACACACAAATACAAAACTATAATAAATAGCCCTTCCCAGTCCTCCTTTATTATAGTACCTTCCCTCTGAGACTACCCTTAATTTATCAACTCTGTATATCTTGTTTGTACATAATTGTTTGTATCCCTCATTAGACTGTGATTTCCTTGAGAGTAGCTAGGGCCCTGGAGTGCTCAAATCCATCTTCAGACACTTCAGCTATGTGACTTTGAACCAACCACTTAACCTCTGTTTGCCTCAGTTTCCTCATCTCTAGAATGGGAATACTAATAACACCTACTTCCCAGGGTTATTGTGAAGATGAAATGAGAAAATATTTAGCGTAGTATTTGACACACAGTAGGTGCTATATAAATGCTAGTCAGTAGTAGTAGTGGTGGTAGCAATGGTGACAGTTGTGGTAGTAGTAGTAATATTGTTAGTAGTAGTATTAAGTAGTGGTAATAGTAAGTAGTAGTACTGATAGTAGCATTAAGTTGCTATAATAGTAAGTAGTAATAGTAATAGTAAGTAGTGGTAGTAGTAGTAAGAGTAGTAGTGGTAGTAGAAGTAATAATAGTAGGGATAGTAATAGTAGTAGTGATGGTAGTAGCAGTAGTAATGGTGGTGGTAGTAGTAGTAATAATAGTAAAGGTAGTAGTTATAGGACGTGGAGGAAGAGGGGGAGGGGTTTGCTGGTAATTGAAGTATAGTAAGGATTGCTTTTTTCCTTTCTTTGTATCACCAGCACTGACACAAAACAGAAGCTTAATAAAGGCTAGTTAACTGATTGACCATAGAGAGAGATAATACTTATGATCTGGGAAAACTTAATAGAGGATAATACTTAAATTTTCCTCCGCAGAACTGCCTGTCCGTTTTGTAAAAACACTAGAAGAAGAGGTGACTGTGGTTAAAGGACAGCCTCTATACTTGAACTGTGAATTAAACAAAGAGCGAGATGTGGTCTGGAGGAAGGATGGAAAGATCGTCGTGGAGAAACCTGGCAAAATTATACCAGGTGTCATTGGTTTGCTTCGTGCCCTCACGATCAATGATGCCGATGATTTTGATGCTGGAACATACACCGTCACTGTAGAAAATGCCAACAATCTCGAGTGCTCATCTTGTGTAAAAGTAGTAGGTAAGTGATCTCCAGTACAATTTGTTTTTTCTTTCATGCATTATGATGGAGTAAGAGTGTAAGGATGGGGCTGCTAGGGGGTGCCACAGTGCACAGAGCACCAGGGTTAGAATCAGGAAGACTCTTCTTCCTGAGTTCAAATCTGGCCTCAGACATTTACTAGCTCTGTGTCCCTGGGCAAGTCACTTAACCCTGTTTGCCTCAATTTGCTCATCTGCAAAGTGAACTGGAGAAGGAAATGGCCAACCACTCCAGTATCTTTGCCAAGAAAATCCCAAATGAGGTCACAAAGAATTGAACATGACTGAAACAATAAAAGTGAAAGAGAGCACTTTTTGAAGTATTGAAATTTAGGATCAAACATATCTAGAGAAGGATAAATAACAAAATGTGACTCTCTCACACATTCATGTCATATGAATTATGACCACTTTGAGATATTATTTTTTCATTTATTCTTAAATTCATCAAGGGATCAAGAATTAAGACTAAAGATCATATGCACATTTAACTCCTAATAAAGGAGTAAACATCAAGTTAAAATGCCCTTAAAATTAGTTAAAAGTACATTAAAACTTACTTTTCTATCTCAAGCACCTAATTATGCCATAGATCCAGTTATATCACTTATCTAATTATGCCCTGTCTACTCCACCGAGGCAGCTGGTGGCACAGTGGACAAAGCACTAGTCCCGGACTTAGGAAAACCTCAGTTCAAATCCAGCCTGAGATATTTGCTAGCTGGGTGACCCTGGGCAAGTCACTTAACATCTGTTTGCTTGAATTTCCTAAACTTTAAATGGGACAAGAATAGTACCTATCTCCTAGGATTGTTGTGAGGATCAAATAAGATAGTATTATAAAAGCACAGTGCCCGGCACATAGTAGGTATTATGTACATTCTTATTCTCCTTCCTTCACTCTTGCCTAGACATAGCAATGCATTGCTTCCCACTAGTGCAGGTATCCCTGCTCCTACCAACCTTATGATAGTCTTGTACAATATATGAATCTAGAAGATGCTGAAGTCTTTTACTTCACATGGACTTTTTGTTTATTTGCACAATAATTCTAAACTACAGATCAGCTTTCCTAGTGTCTGCATTTGTTTCCTACCACATAAGATCAGGCATTGCGAGCAGAAAAAGTTTAAGAATCCCTGGACTATAAACTAGTAAATCATAATGATGTTAAAGGAGCCAGATAGTTAACCTATTTAAAGTGATTACTAGTGACACTACTTATGTTGGTTGTTTCCATCCTAATTTTTGTTCAACTCCTTTCTAATGCAGAAGTCATAAGGGATTGGTTGGTAAAACCTATAAGAGATCAGCACGTGAAACCCAAGGGTACAGCTGTTTTCACCTGTCACATTGCTAAAGATACACCCAATGTTAAATGGTTCAAAGGATATGATGAAATTCCTATGGAACCAACTGATAAGACTGAGATTCTGAAAGAGGGAAACAAACTTTTCCTCAAAATCAAGAATGCCATGCCAGAAGATATTGATGAATACGCAGTGGAAATTGAAGGGAAAAGATACCCTGCCAAGCTGACACTTGGAGGTATGAATATTTTTTCTGTAATTTTTTTTCTATAAAATATTTTTCTATAAAATGTTCCTTTCTATATTAAATTATAGAATATTATTAAATATCATTAATATCATTACTGATGTTAATATTATTAATTAATATAAATATGTTGTATTGTGTAATTAGCCATTAATAATATTAAATTCTATAATAAAGCAACATTAAATACAATAAAATGCAGAATGTTTTCATCTAAAATATTGTGGGTTTCATCCCTACCCATTTCAGATCGTGAGGTTGAGCTCCTGAAACCAATAGAGGACGTGACAATTTATGAGAAAGAAAGTGCAAGCTTTGATGCAGAAATTTCCGAGGCAGATGTTCCTGGAGCATGGAAGCTGAAAGGAGAAGTTCTGAGACCATCTCCTGTAAGTAATCTCACAATTAAAAGTTTGTATCTGTTAGAGCAGGAGGATAATACATGAGAGTCAGAAGACTTGGGTTTGTAATCTGGCTCTGCCACCCACTAATTGCCCTGCTAGATAACCGGAAGGATGGTGGTCACCTTTGGCAAGTAGCTTAACCTGTGAGCTTCAATTTCCAAATCTTCTAAAAATGGAATGGTAACACCTACCATGTCTGATCTTGTTTCAAAAATTAAATGAGATAAAGGACAAGAAAATGCTTGGCCCCACCATCTCCCAGTTTTCTCGGCCTGCCTTATCTGACTGCTGCTCATTATCCTTTGCTGGTTCATGCCTATTAACTGCGAGGTAACCCAAAGCTTCTGCTCTGGACCTCCTCCTCTTTTCTCTCTTTCCTTTCACTTGGTGACCTCATCAGCTCCCATGGCCTAAATCATCATCACTATGCAGATGACCTGGCCCTTGTCTCTTTCTTGAGCTCTTATATTGCATGATCAGCTGCCTAGATTTCAAACTGGATAGCCCATAGGCACCTCAGACCCAATGAGTCTACAACAGAATTCATTATTTTTCCTTTTAGACTGACCCTACCTCTGAATTCCCCTAAGACTGTCAAGGGCACCACCCTCCTTCTATATTATCTTTGACTTCTCACACTTACTTCATATATCCAATCAGCCACCAGCTCTTGTAATTTTTATCCCCCTATTATCTCTCGCATGTGTACCTATCTCTCACAGTAACCACCCACATTCAGGCCCTCTCTTTTATTGCAGTAGTCTCCTATTTGATTACCCTACCTCAAAGCTCTTCTCACTTTAATACATTCTCCACACAGCTACCAAAGTGATTTTATTATTACTATTGATGATGATTATGATAATAGCTTGCATTTATATAGTGCTTTTTAAAGTTTGCCAAAGCACTTGGCCAATATAATTTCATTTGCTCCTCACAACACTAGACAGTACTATTACTATCCCCACTTTACAGATGAGGAAACTGAAGCAAATAGCATTTAAGTAACTTGACCAGATACATGTAGCCATTAAGTGTCTGAGGCTGGATTTAAACTCAGGTTTTCCTGACTACAGGTCCCATACTCTACCCACTGTGCCACCCAACTGTCTACAGAGGTTTGACTATGTCATTCCTTTATTTCATGAATTCTAGTGGTTCTATATTACCTTTAGGATCAAATATAAACCTTTCTGTTTTGCATTTGGAGCTATTCACAATCCGACCCCTTCCTCTTTTTCCAGTCTTTATATGCATTTCTTCCCTTCCCACACTCTGTGTTCCAGCCACGCCAGCCTATTTACTGTTGCACACAGACTGTGCCACATTTTGCACTGGTACACCTTTGCACCAACTGACTGTCATGCTGAATTGACTTGTTCTTTACCTCTGCATCACAGAATCCCTGGTTTCCTTCCAAGTGGAACTCGTGCTTCACCTTCTACATGAAACCTTTCCTGATCCCCCTTAGTGCCTTCCTTCTCCAAACTACCTGGATTTGTTTTTGAATATATTCTATATACACATAAGTTTACATATAATCTCCTGTGTTGGAATGTAAGCTTTTTGAGAGCAGGAACTATTTTATTTTTGACTTTGTATCAGCAGCACCTAGTACAGTACTTTAAGATAAGAGGCACTTAATATTTGTTGATTGATATAGAAAGGAAGGTATTGATTCAATTCAACAAGACTTTGTTATTTTTTCTACTCCAGGCACTATACAAGGTGCCAGAAATGAAAACAGTTCTTACCCACAAGGAGCTTGCATTCATTATTTATTGCATCCCCATGCTTGTTGGGGATGTCGTTGGGAATGACTTAAACTTTTCGTCTACAGGTTGGACTTGTCCTCTGAGTTCCCTTTCAGCTCCGAGATTCTTTTCTTCTATTATTTAAATATACATTTTTGCATAATAAGATTTTAAATTATGTCACTGCTTCTGCATCAACTTAAAGATTCACCTGAAATATTAATAATTAAGTTACATTGAACCTCTAAAATTTGAGAGAGAAGTAGCCAGTTGATGTAGGGCTTATTATGCATGAACTTATTAAGAAGTGATTTTAATTTGGTTTTCTATTAGGTCCTTTTAAAAGAAAATAGCTGCATCATTTTCATTTGATGCGTTTATCTAGCAATGTCCTACTATTTACCTAGAGTCTAACAAAACTATGCCATTTTTTTCAGACTTGCGAAATCAAAACAGATGGAGGGAAACGTTTCCTAACTTTACACAAAGTCAAATTGGACCAAGCCGGGGAAGTGTCTTATCAGGCATTCAATGCATTTACATCTGCCATTTTGACCGTGAAAGGTACAAAACTTTTAACCTTCTCTTGCGGACTGAGATCAGCTTCATTCTATTTTCCTTTGTATTCCGAAAAACTAATTCTTTACATGGTTTTTTTTTTCAGAAATTGAACTTGACTTTGCTGTGCCCCTGAAGGATGTCACTGTTCCAGAAAGGCGGCAGGCTCGATTTGAATGTGTCCTCACAAGAGAGGCAAATGTTATATGGTCTAAAGGACCTGATATTATCAAAGCCAGCGACAAATTTGATATCATTGCAGATGGAAAGAAACATATCCTTGTCATCAATGATTCTCAATTTGACGATGAAGGAGTCTACACAGCTGAAGTTGATGGCAAGAAGACCTCTGCTAGGTTATTTGTGGAAGGTAAGTTGCTCCTCATATATGAAGTTCACAAAACATGCATAAATGCTCATGAGGATTGAACATCATGAGATCTGTGTCACACAGATTAAAAAGTTATCTAAGTATTTTATATTCATACTCATAATTATACTCATTATCAGACCATACATATTTTTATAAGCTTACCCTCCCCTACATATGAGTAGTAAGATAAAATGCCCCCAAGAAGAAAAATGTATTCATTAAGCAGTATTTGTTGAACACCTATTATGTGCAAGGCATTCTGTTAGACACTAGGCAATCTATCATTCTTTTGTCCTTGCCTTCCGTGGGTACCTGTGCAGTGTAGGTAAAGGGTTGAATTTGTGAGGTATGCAGTCGCTTACTATTCATGTTTACATTTTAGGTGTAAGGTTGAAATTCATGTCACCTCTGGAAGACCAAACCGTCAAAGAAGGAGAAACAGCTACTTTTGTTTGTGAGCTCTCTCATGAAAAGATGCACGTAACCTGGTTTAAAAATGATGTCAAACTCCACACAACCAGAACAGTGCTCATGTCTTCTGAGGGCAAGACCCACAAGTTAGAAATGAGAGAAGTGACACTCGATGACATATCCCAGATAAAGGCTCAAGTCAAGAATCTGAGTTCCACTGCCAATCTAAAGGTCTTAGGTAACGTAAACTGATTGTAACTGTTCAATGACTAAAGACTTGTGCTGGTGAAAATATTGAATATTTAAGAAATTTGGGGACAGATTCTCATCCTCTTGATGAATATTATCTTTTTTCATGCTGATGTGTCTTTCACAGAGGCTGATCCATACTTCACTGTGAAGTTACATGATTACACCGGAACTGAAAAAGATGAGATTGTCCTCAAATGTGAAGTTAGCAAAGATGTGCCTGTAAAATGGTTCAAGGATGGAGAAGAAATTACCCCTTCAACCAAATACTCCATCAAGACAGATGGCCTGCGCCGCATATTAAAAATCAAGAAGACAGAGCTTAAAGATAAGGGAGAATATTCTTGTGATTGTGGGACAGACAAAACAACAGCCAATGTCAATGTTGAGGGTGAGTTACAGAGAAATCTAAATCTCGCACAACTTGCCTCTCCTAGCTGATGTGTTCAGGTTAATGAAACTATGTGTATTTTAATCATTTCAGCTCGATTAATAAAAGTGGAAAAACCTCTCTATGGAGTGGAAGTGTTTGTTGGAGAAACAGCACGCTTTGAAATTGAGCTTTCTGAACCTGACGTTCATGGTCAGTGGAAATTAAAAGGAGAACCTCTGACCGCTTCCCCGGTAAGCCCAGGTTACTTTGAGGGGAGGGAAGATTTTCCAGGTTGTTTAGAAAATAAAAGATATGCTCCGATGAAATTTTCTTCCTATGCTTGAGCATTAACTTATGAAAATTGGCCTTTTCCCTTTCCTCTCCAAATCCCTGCCTTTAACAGAACTGTGAAATCATTGAAGATGGAAAGAAACATGTCCTGGTCCTTTATAACTGCCAATTGGATATGACTGGGGAGGTTTCCTTCCAGGCTGCCAATGCTAAATCTGCAGCTAATCTTAAAGTCAAAGGTATGGTTTACCTACCATCGATGCTTTCTGTTTTCTTTGCAAAATTTTCTTAGTAAGCCCATTGGTAGAATGGGGCCTTTGAATGGAGGTGTATTTGATGACCTCAGATGACTATCTGGATTTTTTCTTGCAGAACTCCCACTCATCTTTATTACACCACTCAGTGATGTCAAAGTCTTTGAGAAAGATGAGGCCAAATTTGAGTGTGAAGTATCCAGGGAGCCCAAAACATTCCGCTGGTTGAAAGGCACCCAGGAAATCACAAGTGATGACAAAGTCGAACTTATAAAGGATGGAACCAGGCACTCAATGGTGATTAAGTCAGCTGCTTTTGAAGATGAGGGAAAATATATGTTTGAGGCTGAAGACAAGCGGACAAGCGGCAAACTAATCATTGAAGGTTTGTCTTTCTTTCTTACCTGGTACTTTTGAAGCTTTTTTTCTTTTGGCTTTTATTTCCTTATAAAGTGTTTCTCCTATAATAAGATATTATGGGAAATGAGGCATTTCCCTATAAGTGTTAGAATGAATGAGGGGTTTTTTTCTTTTCCTCCCAATTTAGGAATTCGTCTTAAATTCCTCACTCCACTCAAGGATGTGACAGCCAAGGAACGGGAAAGTGCTGTGTTTACAGTAGAACTATCCCATGACAATATCCCAGTTAGCTGGTTCAAAAATGATCAACGGCTGCATACCAGCAAGTTGGTTTCAATGCATGACGAAGGCAAGATTCATTCCATCACATTCAAAGACCTCACTATTGATGATACATCCCAAATCAAAGTGGAAGCCATGGGGATAGCTTCTGAAGCTAAACTTACTGTGCTTGGTAAGTGGCTGGTATGAGTCTGTTTTTGTTGCATTTCTTGAATTATCAGTTTGAGAAGGGAAAAGTTTGGGTTTGTTTTTTTATTTTTTACAAAATATTTTTTCATCAAGAAAAATAAAGGTACTTCATAATGAAATATCTTGCCCAAATTGGCAAAATGTCCAATTGAAATCAGAACTGTAACCCAGCAATAATTGTTCTGAGTTATACCACCTTTTAATGAGGGATTAAAATACTCCCAATCTACCAAAATATTTTCAGAGAATTATTTTTTTAGCTTCTAGAAGAAAGACATTATACAGAACATATGCTAATAAACCACACAATTTATTATTTTTCCTTATCCCACCTCTAAGTGTAGTACCAATCAGTGACTACAAAGCAAGTGTTGGAGCACAGAGGCAGACTAGAATACCAGTGAGAGCCTTAAAAAGTAGATTCTTGGTATAATTAGGTCAAATGTAAGTCTATTTAATGTGCTTCAGAGTTACCTGAATAGCTATTGAAACTATCATGAGAATCTGAAACCATGTGATAAGGATCATTTGAAGGTACTATGCCTCAATGGTAGTTACATGCTATAGTGGACAGTGTGACAGACCTGGAGACAGGAAGACCTAAGTTCAAATCCAGCCTCACACACTAGCTCTGTAACTCTGGGCAAGTCACATAAGCTCTGTTTACCCACACTTCTTGAACTGAAAAATGGGGATAATAACAGCACCTACTCTGCAGAGTTGTTATGAGGATTAGATGAGATAACATTTGTAAAGCACTTAATACAGTGTCAGGCACGTAGTAGGTGCTATATGAATGTTTATTCCCTTTCTTCCCCTTCTGGTCAAAATTTAGGGGAAATAGGATTGATCTCTTTAGGTATTTGGAGGACTACCATGTGGAACAAGAATTATATTTGTTCTGCTTGGCCAAAGAGGGCAGAACTAAGGACTAGGTGGGATTTTCAGAGAGGCATATTTCAGGTCAACGTAAGGAAAAATTCTCTAAAAGCTGTAACACTGCAGAAGTGGAATGGGCAGACTTAAGAGGTAGCAGTGGGCTTGCCCTTAGTGGAGGTCCAATGAAGGTCCAAGTAAGAGGATAATCATTTGTAGGGAATGTTAGAGAGGATTAGTACTTAGGTGTTAGATGAGTTTCTAAAATGCCTTCCAACTCTGAGTTTCTATAACAGGTCAACTAAGAAGTTAAAAGCAAAAAGATATCTGGCATTACTTTTCCAAATAGATATTGGTTGGTATAAATCCATTCATATATGAGTTCAATCTCTATACATTCTACTCATTGATTCCCTTTCCAAATTATAAAATCATCCTTTATTTATAAACATTTAACAGAGTTTGGACAGTTTACTATTTCTTTAATTTAAAAAAAAACCCTCACTTTCATGAACTTCATTTGAGATTTTCAAAAGGACACTCATTTCTCTAAATGATTAATAGTAAAATTAATAGTAAAATGTTCCTCCTGTCCTTTATTTGCAGAGGGAGATCCCTATTTTACAGGAAAACTTCAAGATTATACTGGAGTAGAGAAAGATGAAGTAGTTCTCCAGTGTGAAATTAGCAAGGCAGATGCGCCAGTGAAATGGTTTAAGGATGGGAAGGAAATAAAGCCATCTAAAAATGTTGCCATCAAGGCAGATGGCAGGAAGAGAATGTTAATATTAAAGAAAGCCCTGAAGTCAGATATTGGACAATACACCTGTGACTGTGGGACAGATAAGACCTCTGCCAAACTTGACATTGAAGGTAAGATCACCTTCATTGAGTTTCTCTCAAGTTTTCTGTGTGTTTCTTACTGCTAACAGCTAATGGCATCTGTTGACCCTTAACTTTTCTAGATCGGGAAATTAAGTTGGTTCGCCCTCTGTACAGTGTGGAGGTGATAGAAACAGAGACCGCTCGCTTTGAAACAGAAATCTCAGAGGACGATATCCATGCCAACTGGAAACTGAAAGGAGAGCCTTTACTTCAGACACCAGTAAGGATATTTTTGAACTTTTCAACACCATCCTGAGAAGGGAGACGTGTGAAGCGAGGAGGAGACTTGAGAAAAATTATAGAGTAGGGAGTTTAAGATGACAAGAGATTAGTTTCTTGACTAAATCTTGAGCCAAAGAGAATTGACCTGGGTTTATGGGCAAGGGATTGGTATACGTAGTCATGTCAAGTTGGAGATACTTTTTTCACCATATTCTAGCTTACTTTTTCATCTGGAAAATGTAACATTTTCCACAACTAGTGGGAAGTATATTTAATACATGTTAAGTCTCACGGAAAATAACAATGTTTTCTATAAAATAATTTCATGACTTAGTAATCCTAGTCTAAATGATGCTTGTTGAAATAACATTAAGTGGAAAAGATAGTGAAGAATAACCTTCATAACCCAAATCTGTATCGCTATTATATGCAAGAGGCAGCACTGATTTCAACTGATGATGATGATAGGTAGAATTTATATAGCCACTACTATGTGCCAGGCACTGTGCTAAACATTTCACAAATACTATCTCATTTGATCCTCACAAACAACCCAGGGAAGTCAATGTTATTATTATTTCCATTTTACAGCTGAGGAAACTAAAGCAAACAAGGGTTGAGGGACTTGTTCAATGTCTCACAGTTAATAAACTAGCTGAGTCTGTATTTGAACTCAGGTCTGCCTGATTCCAAGCGCAGTGCTCTATCCACTTCATCACCAGACATCCATGGTTCTTTCTTAAAGAAAATAATTCTACACTTAATTTTTAAGCCAACATGATATATGGGTTGGTAATAATATTATACAATGAGTAAATTATTTGCTGATTATTTCATCGTTATGTAAGGCTCAGACAATTGCAATACTCCCAATGTAAAGAATAATCTCAATTCACCTTACCATTTACTAGTAGCATTTATAGATATAAGCCTTGAGAAAATTACAGAGTGAACTAATGACTGTAACAAATTTGAATTTGTTTCCTTTCTTGTAGGATTGTGAAATTAAGGAAGAAGGCAAAATGCACTTCCTCATTCTTCATAATTGCCGCCTGGATCAAACTGGTGGAGTAGATTTTCAAGCTGCCAATGTCAAATCTAGTGCACATCTTCGAGTTAAACGTAAGCGGCCCATATTAATCTCAGTAAATGTCATAACAAAGTGAGCCCCACACTTTAATCTTCTTGAGAGAAATAAGAGCTTTGGTAGAAAATGTAGAATTAGTTGAATCATGAATTTTAGCAGAGGCAATTAAAAGAAGTCATTGATAAATGCACTTCTGTTCTATTTATATGTTCACCATCTTGAGAAGAGTCCAGTTCAAATTCCCCTATCCTTGTTTCTTAGAGGTTTTTTCTTTAAATTAATTGATTCTCAATTATCTCCTCTAGATAGTAAAACAGAATTAATCTATGTCCTCGTCCTTCATAATTCTTTCATGAAGAACCATAAAAGTCAACATAAGATGACCATCCTAACCAACATTCCAAACTTTCGTTATATTTTACATGATAAGTTGAAGTTGAACCTTTACAAAGAATTTTTTTTTTTGCTGTGTTGGCATTTCAGACAAGGGTTGGAGGGGTAGATTAAGTTGACATCTTTGGAAGGTGCCAAGAGTCTGATGGACAAGGACAGGCCAGATGGTTGTGGGCCACTTGTCCTCTCCCAATCCCATTCGTAGTTATTTTGGAAGTCACATACCTTATGTAGCAAGAGGAACGCAGTGCTTGGCAGAGAGACAGATGCATTACAGATTTCTTGCTGACTTTGTTCATCATAAAGAAAGGGCTCCTACAAATAGAGGCTCTCCAGTGACCAGCCTCCCCTCTGCTGAGCCCATGGGCCCCATGTTCACTTAAGAGTGTAAATAGCTGCAGCATTAGAACGGTTTCTCTACTGAAGAAAGGGAGCATGTAGATTAATAACTAAGGAGAAGTGACTAGTTTTTTCCTCATGGAAAGAAAAATGAGTGGTTCAAAGACATTAATATTTTCTTCCAAAGCCCGTGTGATTGGACTACTGAGGCCTCTAAAGGATGTAACAGTGACTGCAGGTGAAACAGCCACCTTTGATTGTGAGCTGTCTTATGAGGATATCCCAGTGGAGTGGTACCTACAGGGAAAGAAGCTAGAGCCTAGTGATAAGGTAAAAATTCTTACTGCTGTCTCCTCTTCCTTTTTGCTTTCCAACATTCTGCTTCTTTCTTTTCCAATATTTTACTACTCTTGAGTTATTGCTCTTTCCTTCCCTCTTTATAGTCTCTTTTATGCCTTTTATTTATGTATTACAACAGATACTCCAATTTGTTACGTTCTGTTCAACTGGTTGCTTTTTACTACAACATTTGCATTAAAAATATTTATAGCAATGTTTTTGAGTATGGAGGGAATTCACAATTTCACAAGTTATAAATTGCTTGGCTTATTAAACAAAGAACAAAAAGACAGTAAGTACTGTTTAGTCAGATAATTTGTTCACTAAAATATACTGGGCTTAGCGATTTCCTAATTCTTTCCATGCCATCTTGTATTCTGCATATAAGGGGACTAAGAGGCCTGAAATTCTATTTCAGGCAATTGATCAAGTAGTAGAGATAACTTCTGGACAGATTTGCTCTGCTAGAATTTCTCGGAAGTTATTTTTAACCCTCAAGTGTGTAGCACTGTGAGGAGCCTGGAATGCAAATCGGGTACTGAAAGATCATTTGATGATAATAGCAAAATTAAATTAGTTTACAGTTTTCCAGATGTGTAAAGAGATCCACTCTGCAGTTGTCAAAATATTAAGATGTTTTGATGAACTTTTGAACCTTTTGAGTATTAGTAGTAACCAGTATTCTCTTTGTATCTGATATCTGCACGTGCAAAGAGAAGCCAGAAATTAAAACAATTGTCCTGACATAGGCCATAGAAGTACTTTCCTTTAAAATTCCTAAACTTTTTGACAAAAAAAAAAGATGATTAAAAAACACAACTTTTCCAAATAATTGCCTCAACCACTTCACTTAGTATAGCTCTTAGAAGGAAGCAATTCACAAAGACATATCCAGGGCAGCTGTGAATAGAGAGCAGTACTCTGTCCACCAAGTTTTCAGTATTTCATAAGTATCATAAAGCATTACTTCAGCTTATACCAGATCTCATTTTGACTGCCTAACACAGTTCAGAGAGAAGTTCCACCTCCCCCCCCAAAAAAAAAAAGATTAAAGGATTAGGAAACAAAACCCAGGAAGAATAGTTTTTTAAAAACCCAGCATTGTTTCTCCAAAGAAGAATAAAGTAAGTATGGAAAGGTCACTTCCATATCAGGGGGACACCAGTTGTTCTCCATTTTCATTGAGGATCATGCAAGATAGAATGAGATACAGTTACAGCACAGGGGGCTTAGGTTGCCTCCAAGCAAAGAATTTCCTGACAGTGAAGTTTATTAAACATTGGAACGGATGATTGTGGAGTTCTTTAAGAAAAATAAGAGAGATTCTTTCGTGTCTGCAGTGGTCTAATTTACAGCCATGCCTGAAAGCAGAAGAGTGGTTTTGATAAAATCTCACGATCCCTGCCAGACTTCTGATTGTCTGATTTGGTTAGGAGAATCCTGCTTTAAGGAAAAATGTCTGTCCTTGGGCTCAGTATCTTTTTGCCAAATGGACAGGACTCTGTGAAGAAAAGCCTAAATCTGTATCATAGAGCCTTGTTAGTGCTATTATTAAGTGACCAAGCTTAATATATATAATATTGAAAACCATAATTATTAAGGTGTCTTTAATTGCACACTTGATTGACTTTGAAGAACATTAACTCATATTAAACAGTGCAGCAACCAGAAGGGGTGTTACCTGACACTAATCCTACTGGGCCCCTTTGTGTCTCCCTCCACGTGGGAATTTTAATCCTTCAATCTGCTTGTCCAGCCTCTGTGGATTTGCTTTTAAATTACTTGATAGATTTTTTTAAAAATAGAAATGTTAATACTATGTCGAACTAAAGAAATTGTAATACATTTCTATGCTTGCTTCCTTTAAATGTAGTCTGCCCACATTTCACTCATCTGACTGTTTGCTTACTAATTTTAATATCTATTATATATACCTTCAGATCTTTTGGACAGATGATCAGCCAAGGGAACGTAGATTGTGGGAAAAGGAACGAGAGAGAAGGATGAATGTGACAAAAAGTCTTTTGGTTTCCTATGGCCCAGAGTTATTGTCAAGCAATGAGATTTAAGTCTGTTTTAGAGAATTTCAAGAATGAATATTAGCATTCATTATGGTTATAATTACCATGTAAAATAGAAGTATAGTACTTAGAGTTAAGCAACAGAATATATGGAATAATTTTTCACTATATCATATACTTAGTTCACTGTAAAATCTGTATTGAGATATATATATAGTATCTATTTTTATACATGTATATAATTTTTAAAGTCTTATATCTTCTGTACTTTTAATGAATGCTTTCCCTATTCCTCAGCCACCCCTCAGAGAAGGATACAGGAATGCATCCTTTAGAATGTACCAGTTTGCTGAGTACATACTATGTACAAGGCAGCATACTCGAGAGTGTAGATACGGGTGGGGAACCTGCAGCCTTGAGGCCACAGATTTCCCACCCCTGATGTAAGGCATTTGTAGAGTGTGGGGATGATACAATCACAATCCTGAAGAAACTTATACCCCAAAGTAAGTTAATGGGAGACATCTACTATCTGTATTTGAATTATAAATGTAGCTCCTTTAAAAATAATCATATATTTTTAAATCATATTCCATACACCAGGTATTATTTTTTTTGAGATTTATGTTGGGTTTGCTACAAAAGTATGTCTAGCCTCAAGCACACAGATACTTCTTTCTCAAGGCAAGTCAAGTAAACTAGCATGTATTAAATGTCTGCTATATGCTAGACATTGTTCTAAGTTCTGAGACAAAGGCAAAAAAAAAAGTTCCTGCTCTTAAGGAGTTCATAGTCTGATGGGAGAGATAGCATTCAAATAACTATGTGTGAACAAGATAGATTCAGGGCAGATTGAAAGTAATCTCAGAGAGAAGGCATTAGCATCAAGGGGACCAAGAGGAGAGGATTCTTTTAAAAGGTGAGATTGCAGCCGAGGCTTGAAGGAAGCCAGAGAAACTAGAAGGCAGAGATAAGGAGGGAGAGCTTTCTAGCGTGAGGGACAGCCAATGAAAATACAGACAGTCCCAAGATGGAATGTCTTGTGCCAGGAAGGGCAAGTGGTCAAGTGTCACTGGATTGTACAATTCATTGAAACAAGTAAAATGCAAAAAAGATAGGAATGATAGGAAAGGTCACAAAGGGCTTTAAAAGCCAAAGCATTTTGCAATTGATCCTAGAGATATATAGGAACTTCCAGAGGGGGTGTGATGGGCAGACCTGTTCTTTGGGAAGGTCACTTTGAAGCTAAGGGGAGGGTGGACTGGAGTGGGAAGATAACTTAAGAGAAGGAGGCTGTTGCATCAGCCCCTGTATGAACTGATTAGAGCCTGCTCCAGGGTGGTGGCAATGTCAGAAGAGAGGAGGAATTACATACAAGAGAAGTTAGAAAGGTAATTTGAACAGAACTTGAGAACTGAGAGGATATGGGGCAATGAGAATAAATGAGGAGTGGAGGGATGGTACTGAGTTGCAGGCCTCAGTGTCTGCGAGGATGATGGTGCCCTCGATAGCAGCAACAAGGAAGTTAGGAACAGGGAAAAGTTTGAGGGAAAAGATAATGTGCTTAGTTTTAGACATGTTGAGTTTAAGATGTCTATGGGACCTTTGTTCTCTGTGCTAATCAAATGTCTTATCTCAGCTTTGTTAAAATGGGTATGTTTAAAAAATAATAATAATTAATTCCTTCCTTGAAGAAGGAGTGAAACCCTCTTTAGATGCAGGTTTTCCCAATTCTTTCCTATATCTCAATGGATTGTAACCTTGACATTATTTTTGACAGTGTATGAACACCTCAACTCATATGACTATACATTTTATATATACATATATACATGCATACATATACATATATATATACATATATATATACATATATATACGTATGTATATATGTATATATATACGTATACATATATATATACATATATATACATATATATATACATATATATACGTATACATATATATACATATATATACGTATATATACGTATATATACATATATATATACATATATATATACATATATATATGTATATATATATATATATATATATATATATATATATTCCTGTGTGACATTGCACATCTGCTTCATAAAATTATAAATCTTGGAACTATAAGAGACTGTAAATCTGCCTCTTGAAAAAGTCACATTTTGGGGCAGCTAGGTGGCTCAGTGCATAGAGCTCTAGCCTTGGAGTCAGGAGGATCTGAGTTCAAATATGACCTCAGACACTTGACTCTTTCTAGCTGTGTGACCCTGGGCAGTAACCCCAATTGCCTCACCAAAAAGCAAAAAAAAAAAAAAAGTCACATTTTGTTTGCTTTCTTATTTCATAATAACCATTAATTTAGCACTATTATTACCCGATTTGTCACTCAATTATATATCCATTTATATATATATATATGCATATACATATACACATATATATGTATATACATAATCAAATTTCTAAACTCAGTCACAGGTATATATAGACTTTTGAAAATCTTAAAACTCTAGCTTTTGAGGGTTTTTTAATTATTGCTATAATTTATAAAAGTTATAAGAATAAATGAAGAAAAAAGAAAAAAAAAGAATAAAAGGAGAAAACCTAGAAATTGATAGGACCACAGTTTGTTAACTTCAGTTTGTGCCTGTGGAAAACAGATTGTTTTCTTTCAGTATATCTGTATCCATCATTTCCCCCTTCATTCTATGATCTGGTATGTTCTGGCTCTTCTTGAAAAGCAACATGTGTAGAGAGTACAACACCAGATCTGCTTCTCAGTACAAGTACTGTTTTTGATACATACTATTGGAAGGTCAATTAACCTCCCAATGTGCCCAAGCTACTTTGTAAAACTCTAGGTCACAGGGGGCACCTAGGTGGCGCGGTGGATAGAGCACTGGCCCTGGATTCAGGAGGTTCTGAGTTCAAATGTGACTTCAGACACATAACACTTGCTAGCTGTGTGACCCTGGGCAAGTCACTTAACCCCAATGCCTAGCCAAAAACAAACAAACAAAACAAAACAAAAAAATCTAAGTCACAGATGAGTTGCTGATGTGCATGGGGGGGGGGGGATTTTCCAAACCAGTACTCTGACATAATCACAGACATAGGCCACCACTGCCAATATCACCACTATCATGCCCCCTCCTCCTTGCCCACCAAAGAACATTTTGTGTACATACAAATTCAGTAGGAAGAAAGAAAATATAGAAATTGAATTGTGAAACATCATAAATGCACAGAGCTGAAATTGTAAAGGTAATCCAATATTGAAAGCTCACCATTTACTTAGCTAAAAATCTTGACTGTTAAATCTGAATAAAGGTCTTAAATCCCTTAAATGATTCTCAGATAATTTGCTACATGACTCTCATATATAACTTGGAAGGTATTTTTTAAGTTATAAACTAATTAAGCACATGTAAATGTTGAATCAATTCCAAATTTAGCATTACTATTTCATTTATTCTTTACCCTTTTAAAAATGCAATTTATTAGGTTGTCCCACGCTCAGAAGGAAGAGTTCACACACTTACCTTGAGGGATGTGAAGTTAACAGATGCTGGGGAAGTCCAACTGACTGCAAAGGATTTCAAAACACAAGCCAATCTCTTTGTAAAAGGTAAACTGATTAATAATTGATACCTATTCCTATACATGCGATGATGTGTGGCCAATTCTATCAGTTATCATTGTTATCTCAAAGCTTACAATGGTAACTAAGATTGTTGATTTTTAGCCATTGATATCCCACCAAACAATTACCAAAGCTTTACGAACTAACTTGTTTCACATCCTCTCTCTGTCTCTCCCTCCCTATGGTTGCTGCTACCTACTCCAGTCAGAGGGCCTAACAAGCAGCAGGAAGATGCATAAAGATGGATAATTGGCTCTAATGAACAAGTTAACTGGGCTTTTTTTTTTAATGTTTCTTATTCATGAAACTATTTTCCTAGTGATAGGAGGTGTCTTAAAAGATAACACCATTGATGGATAAAAAAAATTTGAACAAGTATATCCAAAATGAACTACAAATAAGTAAAGACTTATCTGAACTGACAAAGGCCTCAAGAATATGCTGAAGGGATGGATGTGCAGAGGAGGCAAAGAGAATGTCCACCACTAATTAGTATGATTCTTTCAGAACCCCCAGTTGAATTCACTAAACCTCTTGAGGACCAGACGGTCGAAGAGGAAGCCACTGCAGTATTGGAGTGTGAAGTGTCCAGAGAAAATGCTAAGGTGAAATGGTTCAAAAATGGAACTGAAATCCTTAAAAGCAAGAAGTATGAAATTGTTGCTGATGGTAGAGTCAGAAAACTTATTATACATAACTGTACCCCAGAAGATATTAAAACATACACTTGTGATGCTAAGGATTTCAAGACTTCCTGTAACCTGAATGTAGTGCGTAAGTATTCTTCTCTCTTAAGTGACATTTTTGCATTTTCAACTCTTTGATAATCAAAGCACTTCTTGCATGACCTTCTTGTAGCCTAACTGAATTTATCTGCTTATTCTGGGCCACTGTGATGTTTATCTTTGGTGTGAGAGGTCTTTCTATCTTGATCTGATAAACGGCATTCCCTCTCATTGGACTTACCACTTTTCCTCTCACTGAACACTGATAACAACTGATCTGATTATTCATTGATTATTATGGAGGAAGGCTGTAGGAATGTCCTTGTCAGGATGAAGACAAAAAGAGTAACAAAAGACAAGGGACAGGAAGCTTTTAATAAGAAAGAAAATGAAAGATTCCCAGGGTTGGAAAATGAAATGGCAAGCCAAAGAATGAACAAAGCCAAGATTTGTGAAACTATTAGGAAAGATCTGAAATGAGATATCCATTTGAATAGTTACATCTCAAGTCCTACATGAACTTAATGTATTCTACAGACATAATTATACCTAAAGATCACATATGCTACCCGTGTGTTGTCGATGTCAGGCAAATTGTGACTACCATTTGTAAGAGCCATCACCCTCTGTAACTTTGCTTCTTCACCCAGTCACAAATATAACATCTTTGATGGAAATGAGGAGCACTCTCTCTGATTGCTACACACCATGTTGGTTTGTCCAGTTCAGCTGCTTCCTAGACATCAACAGCTAAAGAATGTTGGCTTGATATTCTGCTTCTGTGTGTCTTGTATCATTTCTTCTTCTTCAAGCCTAGTAGTCAAGCTTGCTTTCAGAATCTTGTTCATCAAGTTAGCTCACCTTCTCCATCTAAATATGTAGCTTTAGGAGGAATGCATGTGGTGTGATGAGGGAAGAAAAAGGGGGCCATCTGCCTAGCCAGCCAGATTAACCAAAACAGTCTTGTCAATCAGTGAATTGATCGATGACACAGCCAAATGAAGCTGACAACTGAAAGGTGACCTTGTCATCCTTTATAATTTTAAATATGACTGCTCTGTGACATTTATGAAGCTTATCAAGAAGCTGAGGTTGTGATGTAGAGAGTGGACCCATTCCATTACTGAGGATTACTGATACTATTTCATTTAGTTTGGTCTTGAGCTACATTGATGTCAGAATCTGCTAATTTTATATGGTATATGTCAGCTTTTTCTTAAATTGCAATCTACTTCTTTTTCCACCTGTGTTTCCTTTGGCAGTGTCAACTCTCAGCATTATAGCCACAACGTAGATTTTTCTTCAAACTAACATTGGCACTTGGCAGGACCATTCTAGCTCTTTGAGGTACTATATAAGTTGTTCCATGTCTTATAGGAACCTACATCAAGCAGTATATGGTTATTCCTGAGGGGCAGTTTCAAGGACAGTTGGACTGTATTGAATTGGAAATATTTTCCAACAGACCCCCTTTCTTTAAAAAAAAACAAAACAAAAAACTCCATAATGTGAACATGGCCAGTTTCTAACAAAGTGATTGTCAATTCTGGTAAACCTTTGCCCTTTCTTACAGCTCCTCATGTTGAATTCTTAAGACCTCTCACTGATCAACAAGTTAAAGAAAAAGAAATGGCTCGGTTTGAATGTGAACTTTCTCGGGAAAATGCCAAGGTCTGTAATTTCATACATATTACGTTGATAATTTTTAAAATAGTCACTATATTCACTTTGCTTCCGGACAAATAATCTAAATTGAATGGGGAAAGGCGGAGGAGAAGCCCATTAAATCTAGTCTTCATAATCATGTTTACTTAATAATCATTCTCTTTATGTGTATGATGGGTCAGTCATCATTGCTCTGTTTTCATTCAATGTAAGCTAGACAATTTAATTCAGCAAACCTTTGTTAAGCAATGAGCAAGTATATGAGGCTCTGAAAGAAACACAAACTCTAGATAATATCCATTCCCTGCCCTCAAGGAGTTTTTAGCATAGTTCTTCATGTAATTTTAATTAACAAAGCAGAAAAAATTCAGAGATCTGGGTTCCAGTCCCAGCGTCATCTGTGCAGTTGAGCTAATGTGATCTCTGAAGCTCAATTTCCTAATTTGTATAATAAAAGAGTTAGATGCTTCCTTGGGAGCTCTTCTAGCTTTAAAAGTCTATAATTCTAGGGTACTAATAATTAGTAACCTTATTCTGTCTTGATTTGTCTTGAATGCAGGTTCACTGGTTCAGAGATGGAGCTGAAATTAAAAAGGGCAAAAAGTATGACATCATTTCCAAAGGTGCTGTGCGCATTCTTGTCATCAACAAATGTCTCTTGGATGATGAGGCAGAATACTCCTGTGAAGTCAGGACAGCTAGAACATCTGGCATGCTGACAGTGTTAGGTAAAGAGGGAGAGTGCAACAAAAATCCATGTGCTCAAAAAATGAAAAGCATTCTTGTTTTAATCCAATGCATCTTTATTTTTTTTTTCTTACAGAGGAGGAAGCTGTCTTTACTAAAAACCTTGCCAACATTGATGCAAGTGAAACTGATACAGTGAAATTTATTTGTGAAGTCTCCAAGCCTGGAGCAGAAGTTACTTGGTATAAAGGTGATGAAGAAATCATCGAAACAGGAAGATATGAAATACTTGCTGATGGGCGAAAGAGGATTCTGATCATTCAGAATGCTCACCTTGAAGATGCTGGTAACTTCAACTGCAGACTCCCAAGCTCCCGCACAGATGGCAAACTCAAAGTACATGGTAAGAAAGACTATCCTGTGAGATACGTTCACAAAATGAAGGATCACTTAATAGTATTTTCTGGGTTCAAATAGCAGGTGTATGACTTTTTAATAAGTTGTCATCTTTTTTCTTCTTTCACTTCAGAACTTGCAGCTGAATTTATATCTAAACCCCAAAATCTGGAAGTCCTAGAGGGAGAAAAGGCTGAGTTTGTATGCTCCATATCAAAAGAGAGCTTTGCAGTGGAGTGGAAAAGGGATGATGAGAAACTTGAATCTGGGGATAAATACGATGTTATTGCTGATGGGAAAAAGAGAATCCTGGTTGTCAAGGATTCCACCCTACAAGATATGGGCACCTATGTAGTCATGGTTGGTGCAGCTAGAGCTGCAGCTCACTTGACAGTCATTGGTAAGCTATGGTTGATTCAATTAATGCATTGATGGGCTGACCCTTCTGCCGTTCATGTTGCAACAAGTTTGTCACTTGTCATTTTCAGAAAAACTCAGGATCATCGTTCCACTTAAGGACAAACGTGTTAAAGAACAACAAGAGGTTGTTTTCAACTGTGAAGTCAACACAGAAGGAGCCAAGGCAAAGTGGTTCAGAAATGATGAGGCCATATTTGACAGCTCAAAATATATTATCCTCCAGAAGGATTTGGTTTACACTCTAAGAATTAGAGATGCACGTTTGGATGACCAGGCCACCTATAGTGTATCACTGACTAATCACAGAGGTGAAAACGTCAAGAGTGCAGCTCAGTTAATCGTAGAAGGTAGGTAATTCATGTGCCCTATGGATACTTGTGAAGAGTTATTAGGGCATTTTCAGGAGTGGTCCCCAAGTTCTATAATTACACTGGGGGAGTGGGGAAAAAGAAGTACAGAAGCTTAGAGAGATGAATCAGTGAGCCCTCCATGTTGGCTAGCTTATCTGCCCTATCTTTAATTCCTAGTTTTATATTCTTTTCCAGACTTTGATATACACAATTATTAGAATTCTTGTTCTTCTATGATAGCAAAGTGTTAATTCTTCTATATTTTTGATATTTTGCTTCGTGCTCTTACCTATTGCCTAGTTGCAGATGCATTTGATTAACATAATTGTTGACTATAAAATTATAGTTCTATTTCCACTAGCCATTAGATAAGTTGAAGGTTCTCTGTTTTCTTTCCTCCCTCTCTGGAACCATGTTATCAACTTTTAAAGAGTTAAATTGTAGCATGGAGGGGCAATAATTAGGATACCAAACTGCAATTTGCCAGATACTAGATGATGTCTACATTCTCTTCTCATGCTAAGATTCTATAATTCTGTAATTTAAGCTTGTTTCTATCAAAGTCCATTATAAAAACTATAAATTCAATGCAATGCAACTTTTTTCTTTCTTACAACAGAGGAAGACCTTAGGATTGTTGAACCTCTAAAAGACATTGAAACAATGGAGAAGAAGTCTGTCACTTTCTGGTGCAAGGTGAATCGACTCAATGTAACTCTGAAATGGTTCAAAAATGGAGAAGAAATTCCTCTTGATAACCGTGTTTTGTACCGAGTAGACAAATATAAGCATTCTCTCATTATTAAAGACTGTGGATTTCCAGATGAAGGAGAATACACAGTCGTTGCTGGACAAGATAAATCCGTTGCTGAGCTTCTAATTATAGAAGCACCTACAGAATTTGTGGAGCACCTAGAGGACCAGACCGTCACTGAATTCGACGATGCTGTCTTCTCTTGTCAGCTTTCCAGAGAGAAAGCAAATGTTAAATGGTACAGAAATGGACGAGAAATCAAAGAAGGCAAAAAGTATGTAAAGTGTTGTACATAAATTATACAGTTTCAATTGTTCTGCACATCCATTTGGCATTTGGTTATTATGAAAGTTAACAAATTTTTCAATATTTTTCCCCTTACAAAGATATACATTTGAAAAAGATGGAAGCATTCACAGACTCATCATAAAGGACTGCAGATTGGATGATGAGTGTGAATATGCTTGTGGGGTAGAAGACAGAAAATCCAGGGCTAGGCTTTTTGTTGAAGGTGAGTATAAATTTGAAGGGATCTTAATCATGTTATTAATTGGAATAAATGCCAACTAGAATATGAATGAAATGATGTCATTCATATTTGCATTTCAGAAATCCCTGTTGAAATCATCAGACCTCCCCAAGATATTCTGGAAGCTCCTGGAGCTGATGTTGTCTTTTTTGCGGAACTCAACAAAGATAAGGTGGAAGTTCAATGGCTGAGAAATAATATGATTGTGGTCCAAGGTGATAAACACCAGATGATGAGTGAAGGAAAGATCCATAGATTACAGATATGTGATATTAGACCTCGTGACCAAGGCGAATATAGATTTGTCGCTAAAGATAAAGAAGCTAGAGCCAAACTTGAACTGGCAGGTAAGTGTCCTTCATTTTAAAATAACCTTCAAAAAAGCTGGGGTAGCAGAAGTCAGTGCAAAAAAAAAAAAACCAGAAAGATGCTTCAGAATCATCTGTCCTAGAAATGATGAAATATACATTCATTTAGGCAGCTAGGTGGTGCCATAGTAGACAGAGTGCTGGGCCTGGATTCAGGAAGACTTCATGAGTTCAAATCTGGCCTCAGACACTTAGTGGCTTTGTGATCCTGGGCAAGTCACTTAACCCAGTTTCCTTATCTATATAATGACCTGGAGAAGGAAAAAGCAAACCACTTTAATACCTTTGCCAGGAAAGCCCCAAATGGAGTCACAAGGAGTTAGACACTACTGAAAATGATTGAACAACAAAAATTCCTTGAGGGCAAGGTCTATTTTGTTTTGATTCTAAGCGCCTAATAGTGCCTGGCACATAATAAGCACATTGTTCTTAATAAGTACTTATTGGTTGATTGAGCTCCCAGGAAGTCCTATGTAGCAGAAGTAAATTCAGACATATAGAGGAGCCTCTCCTCCTGCCCACTGCCTACTGCCAGTACCCAAGGAAGCTAGAAGATTCCTTGGGTTTATTCTAGCCTTGAACCAAAATTCAAAGATATCCTTGGAGATATCATTCCAGAAAACTTCCTTTTGGTCTTAAACTGGTATAGTTTAAACACATTAGTAAAATCTGGGTAGATTAATTCTTAAATAGAATTTACCTAAGCATAGGAGTCACACTCTTTCTAAAATGACTGTTTTGCCATAAAATGCATTTCTGTTTTGGTTTAATTTGTTTCAAGGTACTGTCCAGTTAAGCATAACATATCTACTCACATACCATCATTATCTCCTCATTTTCATGATAATCCAGAATTTGGCCATTCAGGAAATAAAATGTGATATAAATCACTTAGCTCATGTTTTCTACTTGAAGAAAAAAAAGGAAGATTTATTCAAGTATGCTACCAACTTACTGTAAAGAACCTCCCATCTAGCTAACTAAAACAAATAAGCTAAAAATGGTTCCTTGTCTTTTTCTATCACTAGCTGCACCTAAAATCAAGACTGGAGACCAGGATCTTGTAGTTGATGTTGGGAAGCCTTTGACAATGATTGTACCCTATGATGCCTACCCGAAAGCAGAAGCTGAATGGTTTAAAGAAAATGAAGCTTTACCTTCAAAAACAGTTGATACCACAGCTGAACAGACCTCCTTCAGGATCTTGGAAGCCAAGAATTCAGACAAAGGAAGGTACAAGGTTGTGTTACAGAACAAACACGGAAAAGCAGAAGGATTTATCAATGTGAAAGTTATCGGTAAGCTTTTGAGCCATTGAGAATAGAATGGCTAAGCATAAGAAAAGGTGAGCATTCACTAAAAATGTTTCTTTCTCCCCCAATGAATCTCAGATGTGCCAGGGCCAGTCAGAAACTTAGAAGTGACAGAAACATTTGATGGTGAAGTGAGCCTAGCCTGGGAGGAGCCACTAACTGATGGTGGCAGCAAAATCATCGGTTATGTTGTTGAAAGACGAGACGTCAAGAGGAAGACATGGGTGTTAGCCACTGATCGTGCAGATAGTTGTGAATTTACTGTCACTGGACTTCAAAAAGGAGGGGTTGAGTATCTGTTCCGTGTAAGTGCAAGAAACAGAGTTGGGACTGGTGAACCAGTTGAAACAGACAACCCTGTGGAAGCAAGGAGTAAATATGGTAGGTGATTGATTTGGAAGAAGAATATCACTTTATCTTCTTATTCAGTTTCTCCCTGCATAATGAAAAGTTTGTTAATTGCTTCCTCTTTTTTTCCTGGGGAAAAATCTAGATGTTCCAGGTCCTCCTCTGAATGTAGCCATCACTGACGTAAACAGATTTGGTGTCTCACTTACATGGGAACCACCAGAATATGATGGCGGTTGTGAAATTACAAACTATGTCATTGAATTAAGAGACAAGACTTCTATTAGATGGGACACAGCTATGACTGTTAGAGCTGAAGACCTCTCTGCTACTGTCACTGATGTGGTAGAAGGAAATGAATACAGCTTCCGAGTCAGAGCCCAAAATCGCATTGGAGTTGGAAAGCCAAGTGCTGCTACACCCTTCGTGAAAGTTGCAGATCCAATTGGTGAGCACATAGAGAAGTAATTGTTGAATGGAGCCCAGAAATTAAATTTTTTTTCAAATATGATACAGTAATCAAATAAAAATTAAGGATTGAATCAGTTTCCAGAAAAAAAATAAAGATGTAAAAATATAGGGCATGAGTCCATATTTTTAATTATTGTGTTTAGTAAACATGTCATTTTACTTAATATGAGGGTAATAGGACCATTTCAGTTATAAAATATCATAGAATTAAATGGTGCATTTTTATACATGAAGCTTATCTTGGTTCTATTTCAGAGAGGCCAAGCCCTCCTATCAACCTTGGTTATTCTAACCAAACTCAGTCATCTGTTCAGCTTTCATGGGAACCTCCATTAAAAGATGGTGGAAGTCCTATACTGGGCTATATTATTGAGCGCTGTGAGGAAGGAACAGACAATTGGATTCGTTGTAATGTGAAACTTGTCCCTGAGCTAACTTACAAGGTAGGCAATTTAAAACTAAAAAGAAATGTCTAATATATTTCTATGGTTTTGAAGCTTGATTAGTTTTTACAAAGGTGGACTCTTATTTTCAGGTTACTGGATTAAAACAAGGCAATAAGTATTTATATAGGGTCTTTGCAGAAAATGAGGCTGGAATTTCAGATCCAACTGACGTTCTTGGTCCACTAACTGCAGATGATGCATTTGGTAAGTGAAGTCTTGTTTAATTTACTTGAATAGGAATACTGTAATTTTATATAGGATGTGCTTTGGGGTGGCAAGAGAAAATAAATGTTTGCCTTTAAAAAAAAAAAAGCACAAGTGTTTTGTAACATATTAATTTCTCCCCTGGCAGTTGAACCAACAATGGATTTAAGTCAATTCAAAGATGGCCTGGAAGTTATAGTCCCAAACCCAATCAAGATCCTCGTGCCAAGTACTGGTTACCCAAGACCAACTGCAACCTGGTCCTTTGGAGAGCAGGTCTTAGAAGCCAGTGACCGGGTGAAGATGAAGACCCTCTCTGCTTATGCTGAGCTTGTCATTTCTCCAAGTGAACGTCCAGATAAGGGCATTTATACGTTAAGACTGGAAAATCGTGTGAAAGCAATTTCTGGAGAAATCAATGTTAATGTGATCGGTAAGGAACCAAACTTTTAATGAATATTTGTATGTGTATATATACACATATATATATATATGTATATGTGTGTGTATATTATATATATAATATATATATGTATATATTATATATATATGTATATATAATATATACATATGTATACACATAGCAGTTTATAAACCTTAAAGCACTATATAAATATAAGCTGTTATTACTACTAATATCTAAAGTTTTACAGTATTACCAAATGTTAATCTGAAATGTTAATGATCTCAAATTATGAATGCATTCCTCAGCTCGCCCAAGTGCACCAAAAGAACTGAAATATGGAGACATCACCAGGGACTCGGTACATTTGACATGGGAACCACCAGATGATGATGGGGGAAGCCCACTGACTGGATATCTTGTTGAAAAACGAGAAGTCAGTCGTAAAACATGGACCAAAGTGAGTACTTAGCTGAGTTAGATGGTCAGGCTCAGTAGTAAATCCCACAAATCCAACTAGGCAAAGTTTTCTTTAGAAAATATGATTCTCAGGCAGGTTCCTTTTTAGATATTCAACATCCTTCTAAGGTAGTCAAAGAGTAGCTACTGGTTTTGTGGGCCTGATTTAATTTTCAGAGGTATTGGCACAGATGACTTGACCCCTTGTAAGCACACACTATTCACCTCTGTGTGCCATGGAACTTTTTGATGAGAATCCTTTCCTGATTGGAATAATTTTTAGCCCATAAACCTCAAAAGTTCTACACAAATGCAAGTCATTATCATCATCAGGGCCAGCAAGATGGTGCAGTGGAATCGGGCCTCAGATACTTACTAGTTGTGTGACCCTGGGCAAGTCACTTAACCCTATTTGCCCCACTTTCCTCATCTGTAAAAAGAGCTAGAGGAATAAAACCACTCCAGCATCTTTGCCAAGAAAACCCCAAATGGGATCATCAAGAGTCAGACATGACTGAAACAACTCAAACAACAATAACATTATTATCATAATCATCGCTGGTGGTAGTAGTAGTAGTAGTAGAATAATAGTAATCCTCCTCTGTTAGAATAAATTTGGTACCTGGGGCTTGCCATGACTTCCGATTTAACATTGTCCAGGATCAAAATTGTCCTTTCCTTATATTCAAATTGTTTTTCACACTCCAAGTTTAACAGCTTGCAGGAAAATATCTGCAACTTCATTTACTTCTGTGCAGCATATTTAGAGAAAGAGTATAGTGTAAAGAGAGAGCTAGACTTAAAGTCAAGAAGACCTAGGTTCAAATATAGTCTATGACATTTACTATAAGCCTCATTTTTCTCACCTGTAAAATGAGGACAATAATGCCTATAGCACCTAACTTATAATAGGGTTGTCGTAAGACTCAAGGGAAATAACATATATACACAACACTTTGCAGATGTTAAGGTGCTATGGAAATGTGACTATAGTTATTTTAAGGGTTACTTAGCTTCACCTTAGAAGCAGCTAGGAGGGAGAGTGGATAGAGCACTGGACCTGGAGTCAGGAAGACCTGAATTCAAATCCACCCTCAAGTACTTATTAGCTATGTGACCCTTGGCAAGTGATAGCTTCTTTCTGTCTTAGGTTCTATTATTGTGACTATTTTACAGTGAAGGAAACTATCTCCTAGGGTAGCTATAAGGATAAAATGAGATAATATTTGTAAAGCACTTTGCACATCTTTGAAAGCACCACATAAATGCTAGCTATTATTATTCATCATTGCATGTCCTATTTGTGACTTTCCCTATAATTAAAACAAATGGTGATATTTCCTGCTTGAAGCAATTTTTCTAAAGTTAATGTAAAATTACTTTAGAAATGTAAAAGGTTTTGTAGGACTAATTTATTCTGCACCTTTGGTTTTTTCCCAGGTTTTGGACTTTATAACTGACCTAGAATTCACTGTTCCTGATCTTGTCCAAGGAAAAGAATACATATTTAAAGTTTGTGCACGCAACAAGTGTGGTCCTGGAGAACCTGCATATACTGATGAGCCTGTAAATATGTCAGCTCCTGCAAGTGAGTCACTCTGTGATGTTTTATAGCCTTCCTGTTATGCTGATTTTTCTTCAATATATTGATTTTTAACATTGTATTTGTATCATATCGATGGGTACATTCTTTTACTTTTATAGCTGTGCCTGACCCACCAGAAAATCTGAAATGGAGGGATCGAACAGCCAAAAGCATTTTTCTAACATGGGAACCACCGAAACATGATGGTGGTTCACGTATCAAAGGATATATAGTGGAAAAATGTCCTCGTGGTTCTGATAAGTGGGTGGCCTGTGGAGAACCAGTTGCTGAAACCAAGTACGTTCCTTAATTATAGCACACAAAAATACTCATTAACGCTCACTAAAATGCCTTTCATTTGGGAAATGTTAAAGTGCTATAATGTTATTTTTTCATTAAGAACTTTTCTTATTTCTTCTGAATGATTGAAGCAGGTGTAAGTTGTATTTCATTATTCAAAGTTTTGCTTTTGTTTATGTTTTTAAATTTAAAATATTACAATTTAAACTTGATTTTAAAAAATTAATATTGCAAACCTTGACTTATACACTAGTTTTTTGGAAGTTATTTGGAGGAAAAAATACTTAGATTATTGTGGTGCCTATTTTAGATGTGAAAATACAACTACTCAAAATTCTATTTACTTGACAGAATGGAAGTAACAGGTCTTGATGAAGGTCAATGGTATGCCTACCGTGTAAAGGCTCTGAACAAGCTAGGAGCTAGCAAACCAAGCAGACCAACAGAGGACATTCAGGCTGTGGATTCACAGGGTATGTTCTTATTTTTTAAAAATGAATCTGTTATGTCTTCTATTTTAATTCTTCTTTGAATTTACTGATATATTAATTTTCTCTTCAGAGGCCCCAGAAATCTTCTTAGATGTAAAGTTGCTTGCTGGCCTCACGGTGAAAGCTGGCACAAAGATAGAATTGCCTGCTACAGTAACTGGCAAACCTGAACCTAAGATTACCTGGACAAAGGCTGATGTCATTTTGAAACAAGACAAAAGAATTACCATTGAAAATGTTCCCAAAAAATCAACAGTGACCATTGTGGACAGCAAGAGAAGTGACACGGGCACCTACATCATTGAAGCCGTCAATGTCTGTGGACGTGCTACTGCCGTAGTGGAAGTCAATGTTTTAGGTAACAACATTTCCTTTCTTAAGAGCGACAAAGAGGCTCATTCATTAAATCAAATTGGATAAGATTTACTTGTACTTTATGCCATCTGCAGATAAACCTGGACCTCCAGCTGCATTTGACATCTCAGAAGTTACCAGCGAATCATGTCTTCTAACATGGAATCCTCCAAGGGACGATGGTGGTTCCAAGATCACAAACTATATAGTAGAAAGAAGAGCAACAGACAGTGAAGTGTGGCATAAGCTGTCATCAACAGTAAAAGAAACAAAGTTCCAGGCTACTAAATTAATACCTAATAAAGAATATATCTTCAGAGTTGCAGCAGAAAACATGTATGGTATTGGTGAGCCAGTCCAGGCTAGCCCAATAATAGCCAAATATCCATTTGGTGAGTTAATGTACTTGTCATTGAATATTGACCTGACTGATTAGGTCAAACCTAAGTGCAAGTTCAATGTTACATATTATCGTCCTTTTAAAAATAGATCCACCAGGACCTCCAACACGCCTTGAACCTTCTGATATAACTAAAGATGCCGTAACTCTAACGTGGTGTGAGCCAGATGATGATGGTGGAAGCCCAATCACTGGATACTGGGTTGAAAGATTAGATCCTGATACTGATAAGTGGGTTAAATGCAATAAGATGCCAATAAAGGATACAACATACAGGTATACAATGAAAAAAATACGTAAATGATTTAAAATAGTAATAATTCCTCTATTTTTTCGAGAATTGAAAGTTTATTATAAGAACATCAAGGTAGCAGCACACTGATGAGCTGATCACTTGAGCTGCCCTCTAAATATCTTTTAATCATTAGTATCATTTCAGCTTTGCCTGATTTTGTTACAATGTTTTGCTTTAATATTAAAATAATTTCTTACTTGTTTTTGTTTTGCTAAATTGATTCAGTAATTTAAAGTCTGCTCCACTGAGGGGATATGTTTATTGACTAAATAGTGAGCATTGACTTTCTAGAGACTCTGAAGTATTTAGAATTTGATTTATTCTATTACTGCCATTGTTAACCATCATTTGATTACAGCATATTTTGCAAATTACAGATAGCATCTCTGTAGCAATAAATATTTTTTATCACTCAATCTCCAACAATTTTAAGTTTCTAATAAACACACCATAAAACATTTATATACTATGGCAGTATATTATAGCAGGTTAGGCTTGTAAATCTAAAAAGTTGAATGAATTAACCTCGTATATAAAATAAACATATTTCTGATTTAATAAATAATTTATAATTTAAAATAATTTGTTTATATATTCTGTCCTCTATTTACAGGGTGAAAGGTCTCACCAATAAGAAAAAATACAGATTCCGTGTGTTAGCTGAAAATCTTGCTGGACCTGGCAAACCAAGCCGATCAACTGAACCAATCTTAATAAAGGATCCCATTGGTATTATGCATAAAATTACTTGTGCCTCCTTTAACATTTGATATAGATTCCTGTGCCTTTAAAACTAAATAATTATTTCCTCTCTGTGCAGATCCTCCATGGCCCCCTGGCAAGCCAACCGTAAAAGATATAGGCAAAACATCACTCTCGTTGAAATGGACAAAGCCTGAACATGATGGAGGGGCAAAGATTGAATCTTATGTAATTGAAATGCTAAAAACTGGAACAGATGAGTGGGTTCGAGTAGCTGAAGGTGTTCCTACCACTGAACACTTCCTCCGAGGACTCATGGAAGGGCAAGAATATTCATTCCGAGTTAGAGCGGTGAACAAGGCAGGGGAGAGTGAACCCAGTGAACCAAGTGATCCTGTACTTTGCAGGGAAAAACTATGTGAGTAGTTCTTCAATGTAACTTCATCTCATCTTTATTAAACACATTACTTACTAATGTGTATCTGAATGCTGCAAAGGGCCTACAAACTCTTCTAAATTCCAAACCATAAATTATTTTATAACTTCCTAGTTCTTTGGCAAAGCCTAAACATTTGACGATCAAATTAAGTTAAATTTGGGTTTCTATATTTCCCTTCCTATAGATCCCCCATCACCACCTCGGTGGCTGGAGGTCATTAACATCACTAAAAACACAGCAGACCTAAAATGGACAGTTCCTGAGAAAGATGGAGGCTCCCCTATCACCAACTACATTGTTGAAAAGAGAGATGTGAGGCGCAAAGGCTGGCAAACAGTGGATACAACAGTAAAGGATACTAAATGCACAGTTACACCACTGACAGAGGGTTCTTTGTATGTATTTCGGGTTGCTGCAGAAAATGCCATAGGACAGAGTGATTATTGTGAAGTTGAAGACTCTGTCCTAGCCAGAGACACCTTTAGTAAGTGTTCTAACTTATTGTTATTGATTAACAATATTATAAGCAATAATTAATCATAGTATAGAAATATCAATATTATATTAATGTATTTATTATATTTAATAATTATGTGATTATAGACTATTTTGTGTATGATGATTATATAATTAATTGTAATCATAATAACTATATTATATTATGTTGTTATATATTATATATCTGTTAAAAATTAACATCTGAGGTAGATTATTGCTTTTTTCATCACTGTTTTACTTATCATTCACCCTTTTTTTTTTCTCTAGCCACTCCTGGACCACCCTATGCCCTAGCAGTGGTTGGTGTGACCAAAAGATATGTTGACCTAAAATGGGAGCCACCGAAAAATGATGGTGGGAGACCAATTCAGAGGCAAGAATTTGACCAATGTTTAAAATAAAATTTCAAGTGAATTGAACAAGTAAAACATAATCTGTTTCCCTAAGACTCACGAAATGCTTTATTATTTAAACAGATATATTATCGAGAAGAAAGAAAAATTAGGAACTCGTTGGGTCAAGGCTGGAAAGACTTCAGGACCTGACTGTAATTTCAGAGTAACTGATGTTATTGAAGGAACAGAAGTTCAATTCCAAGTGCGTGCAGAAAATGAAGCTGGAATTGGTCATCCAAGTGAACCCACTGAAATCCTCACTATTGAAGATGCAAAAAGTGAGTAGTCATTCATGTTTTTCTGCATGGCCTAGAGCTTTCAAAATGACATTGTATAGAAAGTCAATGTAAACGTTCTCTTTTCTTTCTCTTTAGGTGTTCCTTCACCTCCCCTTGACTTGCATGTAACTGATGCTGGCAGAAAGCACATTGCCATTGCTTGGAAGCCGCCAGAGAAAAATGGGGGAAGTCCTATTATAGGATACCATGTTGAAATGTGCCCGGTTGGCACTGAAAAATGGATGCGAGTCAATTCTCGTCCAGTGAAAGACCTGAAATTCAAAGTAGAAGAAGGTGTTGTTCCTGACAAGGAGTATGTTCTGAGAGTGAGAGCTGTCAATGCTGTTGGAGTCAGTGAACCATCTGAAATCTCTGAGAATGTTGTTGCCAAAGACCCAGATTGTAATTATGATGTTTCTATAATAATTGACATTTGTATTATACAGATTTTCCAGTACTGGAGCCTTTTAACATTATCTCTTCTTTTTCCTTATATTTTCAGGCAGGCCAACCATTGATCTGGAGACTCACGACATTGTTGTCATTGAAGGTGAAAAGCTGCATATTCCTGTTCCCTTCAGAGCAGTGCCAGCCCCAACCATTACTTGGCATAAAGATGGCAAAGAACTCAAAGCAAGTGACAGATTAACAATGAAGAGTGATCACACTTCTGCACACATTGAAGTGCCCAAGAGTGTCCATGCTGATGCTGGCACTTACACCATTACACTTGAAAATAAACTGGGCTCAACAACTGGGTCTATCAACGTCAAAGTCATAGGTAATAACCATTCTTTGAAATAACATCATACATTCTGGACATATTACAAAACAAGTGTGAAGTGTAAATATGAATGACCTCCCTTTTTGATACCGATCAGTCCTTCTGGTCCTTTCCATGTGATAACTAAGTTATCTTGCCAACTATTTCATCCAGAAAGGCTCTCAGGGTCTAAAGAATGAACTTAACAATAAAACTGTGTCAGAAAAATGTAATTTTATTAAGCAATGAATGATAGACTAATTTTAGTTAAATATACAACAAAAATTGATAAAATATTTTTTCCTAGATTTTAGGAATTCACATTTATTCACATAGAAAATATTTCTAATCTTTACCGTGTTGAATTCAGTAATTATTATTAATATTACTTGAAATAGGCCTTCCTGGACCATGCAAAGATATTAAAGCAAGTGATATAACCAAAAGTTCATGCAAGTTAACATGGGAGCCTCCAGAATATGATGGTGGCAGTCCAATTCTTCACTACGTCCTGGAACGTAGAGAAGCTGGTAGAAGAACATATATACCTGTGATGTCTGGTGAAAACAAACTCTCTTGGACTGTAAAGGATCTTATACCAAATGGTGAATACTTCTTCCGAGTGAAGGCTGTGAACAAAATTGGTGGAGGCGAATATATTGAACTGAAAAATCCAGTCATTGCTCAAGATCCAAAGCGTAAGTTTTAGCACAGATGGGTGCCAGAAAAGATTCGATGTATATTTTTTATTTTAACAAAATGGACTTTTTTCTTACATTTACATGATCTTCTGATCCAACAGAGCCCCCAGATCCACCTGTTGATGTTGAGGTTCATAACCCCACGGCAAAGGCAATGACTCTTACGTGGAAACCACCTTTGTATGATGGAGGAAGCAAGATAATGGGTTATATCATAGAGAAAATAGCTAAGGGTGAAGAGACATGGAAGAGATGCAATGACTTTTTGGTCCCCATTTTAACCTACACAGTGAAAGACCTTGAAGAAGGAAAGGAATATCAATTCCGTGTACGGGCAGAAAATGCTGCTGGCATCAGTGAGCCTTCTCGTGCCACTCCTCCAGTCAAAGCTGTGGATCCCATTGGTAAATTTAGTTTGTTGGGTTTATGTCTTCCCTATGGCAAACTAAGTGGCAAAATATTTGTATGATTACGTTGTTAAAACTAAAGGTGAAACCATACTTTTTTTTTTTTTAATTATTGTAGATGCTCCAAAAGTTATCATGAGGACAAGCCTGGAAGTTAAAAGAGGTGATGAAATCGCACTTGATGCAACTGTTTCTGGGTCACCTTATCCAACAATCACATGGTTAAAGGATGAGGAAGTTATTAGACCAGAGGAAATTAAAAAGCGCCCCATGACAGTGGTTAGAAGGAAGAGAGGTGAAGTTCAAGAAGAAGAACCATTCGTCCTGCCTCTGACAGAACGCCTGAGCATTGACAATAGCAGACAAGGAGAATCTCAGCTACGTGTCCGTGATTCTCTTCGACCTGATCATGGCATGTATATGATCAAAGTGGAAAATGACCATGGCATCGCCAAAGCTCCCTGTGCTGTCACTGTGCTAGGTAGGTGTTTCAATCCTATCCTTCTATTGGACATCTCTACCAAAAATGTAGTGAAAACTAAGGCAACCAAGGGAGAAATAATCTTAGAGTCATGTAGTAAGTAATTAAGAGGTGGTTATAAGGAAGGAAAAAATAAATACTTGAAGATATTTTCACAGTCTCATTCTCTGCTAAAATGATTGCAGAAATCAGATTTCACTCTACTCCAGCTTTCCTACCATTTCATCACTAGTCTCTGAAAGCAGACATCAGGGATAGAGGATCTATTACCCAAAGGGCAGGCTAACAATTACAATTGCAATGTCAGTCACTTATACAAACTATCAGAAATCCTTGTTTTCATTTTAAATATTAGATACACCTGGACCTCCAATCAACTTTGTATTTGAAGATGTTAGAAAGAATTCAGTCACCTGTAAATGGGAACCTCCACTTGATGATGGTGGCAGTGAAATCATAAACTACACTTTGGAAAAGAAAGAAAAGACAAAATCAGATGCGGACTGGACAGTAGTTACCTCAACACTCCGGCACTGCAAATATAATGTGCCTAAACTGATTGAAGGAAAGGAATATGTCTTCCGTGTGAGGGCTGAAAATAGATTTGGACCTGGACCACCATGTGTTTCAAAACCACTTTTAGCTAAAGATCCATTTGGTAATATTTTATTAATATTTATCTACTATTCTTACCATGTATTTGGCATTAATATTAACTGATCCAGGTTGTAAAATATCGGTGATATCACAGGTCATTTTTGGTTCATTTTATTTTTCAGAACCACCTGATGCACCTGACAAGCCCCTTGTTGAAGATGTTACCAGTAATAGCATGCTAGTAAAATGGAATGAACCTAAAGATAATGGAAGCCCCATCTTAGGCTACTGGCTTGAAAAACGTGAGGTCAATAGTACTCACTGGTCTCGTGTCAATAGAAGTCTTCTAAATGCTTTGAAAACAAAAGTGGATGGCCTTCTGGAAGGACTAACCTATGTCTTCAGAGTATGTGCTGAAAATGCAGCTGGTCCTGGAAAGTTTAGTCCACCATCTGATCCCCAAACAGCAAGGGATCCAATTTGTAAGTAATTTCTTATACAGCTGGGGAAGAAGGTTAAGGGCTTAGAGTGGGGGATGGGGGTGGGTAGTGAATATACACATATTTACACACATACACACATATATAGATATATTATATAGATATATATATTATATATATATAATAATGTATTATATGATATATTACATACAGATATATGGATTTTAATGTACATTCTATTATATAACATATTATATATGTATGTATTAATGCATATGTATGTTATAGCTGTAGATGTGTGAATAAATATGCATAGAGATAAGCACTTAAAAACAATTAGTGACTTTTGATAACTGTGCCTTTTCTAGCACCACCTGGACCACCTGTTCCAAGAGTGACTGACACAAGTACTACTACTATTGAATTAGAATGGGAACCCCCAGCTTACAATGGCGGTGGGGAAATCATCGGCTATTTTGTTGATAAGCAGTTGGTTGGCACAAATGAATGGTCACGTTGTACAGAGAAAATGATCAAGCTCCGCCAGTACACAGTCAGAGAAATCCGAGAAGGTGCTGACTACAAACTTCGCGTGAGTGCTGTCAATATTGCAGGTGAAGGACCACCTGGGGAAACTGAACCTGTCACAGTAGCCGAACCTCAAGGTATCATTCATCTTCAGGACTTAAAAATTGTCTTCCCCTGTGGGTGGGTGAAATTTCTGTCTTTTCATTTAGCTTCATGTGTCGTTGTTGTTTTCCAACAGAGCCTCCACATGTGGAACTGGATGTTTCTGTCAAGGCTGGAATCCAGATAATGGCTGGGCAAACTCTGAAAATTCCAGCTATTGTCACTGGTCGCCCCGTTCCCACCAGAGTATGGACCGTAGAAGAAGGAGAACTAGATAAAGAGCGTGTTGTCATAGATAATGTGGGAACCAAATCTGAGCTAATTATCAAGAATGCATTGAGAAAAGATCATGGCAGATATGTGATCACTGCTACCAACAGCTGTGGTTCCAAATTTGCAGCAGCCAGGGTTGAAGTTTTCGGTAAAAAATATTTCATGGATTTTTCTGGGAGCATTCTTACATAATACAACATTTTTCCCATTTTTTTTTCTTATGCAACATATTCCCTTTTTCAGATGTTCCTGGTCCAGTTCTTGACCTTAAACCTGTTGTAACAAACAGAAAGATGTGTCTACTTAACTGGTCTGATCCAGCAGATGATGGAGGAAGTGAAATCACAGGCTTCATTATAGAAAGAAAAGATGCCAAAATGCATACTTGGAGACAACCAATAGAGACCGAGCGATCTAAATGTGACATCACAGGTCTTCTTGAAGGACAAGAATATATGTTCCGTGTTATAGCTAAGAACAAGTTTGGTTGTGGCCCACCTGTTGAAATAGGACCAATCCTTGCAGTTGATCCACTAGGTAAAACAATCTTTTCTTTACAAATATAAATCCATTGAATAATCTTTACTTCTATGTGCATTAGTTAGTTTTATATTTTTAAACCTTCCTCCATCAAAATTTCTATAATTGCAGAATACTGTGGGTAATTAAATCATTTGCCATAATTTCAAAGTAACTTTGTCTTAAAGTAAACATAACTCTCACAATCTTATAACATAGCAAAATATATTCTTCTGGTGCCTAGCAGTTCCCTGCGAGCATATTGAGTTCTTTTGGAAACTGCGTTGACTCTTTGAGCCAGTAGGATATACTAGAGTGGTAATTAACTATGTCATTAGGTCTAGTAACCTAAAAGAGTTAACATAATTTTCAAAACGTATCCAGCATATACTCAGGGAGACTGGAGCATATCATGCAACAATGAGGTTTTTTCTCAAGCTCAGATTTTTGATAGTATTGGTTTCTTTCCATCCCATTTTCCATCCAATCAAACCCCTCACTTTAAGAATAGGCTGGGCCACAGATATTGTGGGTGGGGGGTGGGGAATAGGGAACAAAAACAGAGAAAAGAACCGAAGAATGGAAATTAAATCTAAGGAAAAACTTTATAGGGGCTGTTAGATAACAATATAAAATGCAGAAATGAAACATGTTTTTAACACACATATATGCTATGGTCATGTTCCAAGTGAAAAATCCCTCCCTCAAAAGAGCAGCTGGGGCTCCTAGAAAGTGAACAAAAAGGGAATCCAAATCTGTGCCATGACTATTGTGGAAGAAGTCTTCTACAGAGGACTTATACAGAGACATGGTCAGGCACTTCACCTGAAGACCTAGTGGCCTTTCAATTTGTAACAGTGGAGGAAGTACCCGGACCACAGATTCATCCCATTGTTGTATCCCTTCCTAGGTTCTTCAGTGCATCCCAGCATCTGCCAGACAGACTAGAGAATAACCAGCATCTGGCAGTCAGCTACCTTCACACACAGTTTAGCCATGCATACTCTTTCTCCTTCCCTATCAGGCATTCATGGTAGGGCCTGGGACTGAGAAACGGAAAGACCTGAGTTCAAATCCTGCCCTAGATACTTTCTAGCTGTGTGACCCTGGGCAAGTGACTTTATCTGTCTGGGTCTCAATTTCCTCCCTTGTAAAATGGAGGAATTGGATTCAGATGTATCATAGATGGATACTATTCAATTCTATTATATGTCCATACTGAGTGTACTTCAAAACCATGAAAAGTTAGGTAGCTATGCACAGAGCTTATAGGCACATAGTAGTCTCCTAGTAGAATGCAATCTCCTTAAAGTCAGAGACTGTTATATTTTTGCATTTGTAGTGATAATGCCTAGCACAGTACCTTTTATTTTAATCAACAAGCATTTGTTGAGTATGTACTATGTGCCAGGCACTATGCTAATAAGCATGAGAGATATAAAGAAATGTAAAAGACGTAGTAGGAGCTCAATATATGTTTGTTGAAATGAATTATTTGAAAGGGATACTAACTATTCAAAGAAGAACTATACAGACTTGCTACCCTGAATTTTATGAAGACCAAAAGCTTTCTAGGAACAGTAAAAACCCAAGTTACTAAATATAGCAAAACATAAATATCCCAGTGACTCATTCCTTTTTGTTAGTATCCTAAGTTGGCATTTGCAATTTTTAAGAAAATAAAATGCCTATAATTATTACAACCACTTTCGGTCATTGAATCATGAATCTAGTTTATTAATTTTGGACAAACTCAGGAATAAATGGGATACTGAAGAAATTGTATGTTTTAGTATACCAAATTAAAGTGAATTGTTATTTTGTATATATGGGTACATATCTTGTGCTTATCATTTTAACCTACTTGTGGTTCTAGGTCCTCCAACATCACCTGAGAGACTCACCTACACAGAGAGGACTAAGTCTACGATCACCCTTGACTGGAAGCCTCCTCGAACTGATAATGGTAGTCCTATTCAAGGATACATTATTGAAAAGAGACGACATGACAAACCTGATTTTGAAAGAGTTAACCAACGACTCTGCCCAACAACATCTTTCCTGGTGGAAAATCTGGATGAACACCAAATGTATGAATTCCGTGTCAAAGCAGTCAATGGTATTGGAGAAAGTGAACCATCTCTGCCTCTTAATGTAGTCATACAAGATGATGAAGGTATGTTCACTTAATACACTAATATAATTTGGTTCATGGGTATGTTCTTCATAATTATGTGGTTATTTCCCAAGCAAAGCAAAACTCCTTACTATATTCCTGTTTGTGTTTGCTTTCCCAGTTCCTCCAACTATTAAATTGCGTCTCAAGGTCAGAGGAGATACTATCAAAGTGAAGGCTGGAGAGCCTGTTAATATTCCTGCAGATGTAACAGGCCTTCCAATGCCTAATATTGAATGGTCCAAGGATGAAAAAGTAATAGAAAAACCAACAGACGTGCTTCAGATTACCAAGGAAGAAATATCTAGAAGTGAGGCTAAGACAGAACTTAGTATTCCCAAGGCTGCCCGACAAGACAAAGGCACTTATACTGTTACTGCCTCTAATCGTCTGGGCACAGTATTCCGCAATGTTCACGTTGAAGTATATGGTGAGTGCTTATCTTGGGATGTCAAGAGGTAATTCGATGGCCATTTATATAGTGTATTCTCTCTCATGTGACCTGCCATCTCCTATATCTGTGCCTTTGCTCAAATGGGTTCCAATGTCTGGAAAGTATTTCCTCAGAGGCCCTACCTTCCTTCAAAACACAACACATGTACCACCTCCTACAAGAGTGATTCCCTTTTCCACTACCTACCAGTTATTTGAACTCTCTCCAGAGCTTGGAATTAAAATTTGTATTACTTTGTTTACATTTTGCATTTGCTTATATATGTAAGAGTGTGCCCCCTTTAGAATTCAATCAAAATGAAGTTCTAGAGGGAGCAAAAACATAAACAATATAGCATCAGTGGGAAGCCCTTTCCATTATAATGAAAGCATTACATACCTTAGAAAGGATCTAAGGCTTGAGTAGCTCAACTGCCTATGGAAATGCCAGAAATAATAATGAATTTATCCCACCCTAGAGAATGCCTTCAAACTTTTGTCTCTCATCTGCATAAACTCCAGCAGGATTCTGAGCAAGGTAACTCCCCGGTTACCACAAATAAGAGTGGGGTCCTTCCCAAAATGAATCCTCTCTAAAGGATGAAGAGTTATCAGGGCACATATTTACATGTATATGTTATCCCCTTCATTAGAATGTAAGCTTCTAGAGGTCAGGTTTCATTTTTGTCATTATATCCCCAGTACGTAACACTGAGCCTTGCACATAGTAAGTATTCAATAAATGATTGTTGAAATGTGTTTTCTTTCAGATCGTCCATCTCCACCAAGAAACCTTGCTGTGGTTGATATCAAAGCTGAATCTTGCTACTTGACATGGGATACCCCACTAGATAATGGCGGCAGTGAAATCACCCATTATGTGATTGACAAGCGTGATGCAAGTAGGAAGAAAAGTGAATGGGAGGAGGTCACCAATACTGCTGTGGAAAGAAGATATGGGGTAACTTTTTCTGGGCACCATTTTATAATATTAAAATTACTAGTGGCTAAGCAAGTGGCATTCTAGTGTCCCTTAGAATTTAATGACTTGAGGCAGCTAGAAGGCGCAGTGCATAGAACACCAGCCCTGGAGTCAGGAGGACCTGAGTACAAATCTGGCCTCAGACATTTACTAGCTGTGTGACCCTAGGCAAGTCACTTAACCTCATTGCCTAGCCAAAAAAAAAAAAAAAAAGATTCAATGATTAATCCTCCAAATTTTTTTTTTACATTTATTTTGTCATTGAGGTACACAGTACCATTTGTATTTGGCCATTTAAATACTCTTTGATGAGAGAGTTGATACAGGAACTCTGAAATCATCCCTTTTTAGAGATAAGCCAGACAGCATGGAAAATAAAAATATTCTTGTTAAAAGCATGGCTTCCTCTTTTCTGACGCTGCTCCATATAGTTATTTTTGTCATGCATAGTTAGCAACCTAGGTGAAGAATGTAACTTCTGAGCCAAGATCCTAAAACAGTTAGCACTTAGTTCCTGACATTGGTTACAGAATGCAGACCCCTTCCAGGTTCACATTTCCATTCCTAAAGATGAGAGGTCAGCAAACCAATGCTGTAGGGCTAGATTTGGCCTTAGAGCCGAAAAAGATTTTAATATTTTAAAACAAAAATTTAATGTGTTTAAAAATGTAAAACCTTTCTTAATTTTTAGGTCTACAAAAACAGATTGTTGGGGTGGACATGTTGACTCCTGCATAGATAATCAGCTGGCATTTTACTGCAAAGTCATAAAAGTAAAATATGAAAGTGACTGAAATTCAATATAATGCTTAAAAAATTATTTTTCTGTCTTCTAGATCTGGAAGCTTATTCCAAATGGTCAATATGAGTTCAGAGTAAGAGCAGTGAATAAATATGGAACTAGTGACGAATGCAAATCTGATAAAGTGGTCATTCAGGATCCCTATCGCACTCCTGGACCTCCAGGAAAACCCAAAGTCTTAGAGCGCACTAAAGGATCAATGCTAGTGAGCTGGACACCTCCTTTGGACAATGGCGGGTCTCCAATCACTGGCTATTGGCTGGAGAAGAGAGAAGAGGGAGGCTCTTATTGGTCACGTGTTAGCAGAGCTCCAATAACAAAAACAGGATTGAAAAGCGTGGAATTCAATGTTCCACGTTTGATTGAAGGTGTTAAATATCAATTCAGAGCACTGGCGATAAATGCAGCTGGAGTTGGCCCTCCCAGTGAACCATCAGACCCTGCTGTAGCAGGGGATCCTATATGTAAGTATGCCTGGATTTGTGTAAGACAATTGGTGTCTCTATAAGGGGCATAGTCATTTAGTGGGCAGCCTTGTAATTATTTTTCCAAAATATTTACTGAGGTAAAATAATTCATATTTTAAAATAATAACTGAACAGCATTTTCATTTACACATAGTAAAAAATCAGATTTAAAGAATTTTTAATACTATAATACAGAAGTAAAAGACAGAGATAACCAAGTTAAATCTAAATTATTATGGATGAAATGATCAAAGAATATAGAGGCTGAACATTTATCCTTTTTATCAAATGACAGTTCATTATGGGAGAACATAGTCTTTTTTGTTGTGTTCTTCAAGAAAAAGGAAAAGGAAAGGAGATTTTTCTATTGAATAACATTCAACAAAAAACTCCACAAACATTTATTAAGTACCTGCTGTGTGCGCAGAATTGTCCTAGGCTAATGGGGAAGATACAAAATTTAAATTAGTCATAGTCCTTGACATCATGGAGCTTACAATTCCATAAAGGGATAACACATATACACAGATAACTATTATAAATGGTAATGCATGGTGGGTATGTGGATTACTTTACATTTATACTATATATCTTGTATGCACATAGTTATTTACATATGTTCTCCCCCATTAAAATTTGAACTACTTGAAGCTGGGAATGTTTTTGGCTTTCTTTGTATCCCCAGTGCATAGTACAGTGCCTGGCATATAATAAGCACTTAATAAATGCTTATTGATTGAGTGATGGTGAAGGGAAAGTCATTATCAACAGAGGGTATCAGGAAGGACTTATTGAGAAAGCATCAACTTAGCTGGCTTTTAAAGAATAGTTAGGAATTCAACAGGCAAAGGTAACTTTGATTATGGGTGTAACTTTGAATAAGTCACTGCATCTCTAAGGGCCTCGGTTTCCTCATCTATAAAATGAAGGGGTAGGAGCAAATGGCCAGTGTGGCATTGGGCAAGTCACAGTCTCCTCAAGCCTCAGTTACCTCGTCTATAAAATGAGGGGGTTGCACAACATGGCTTCTGAGGTTCCTTCTAGCCCTACATACTATGATCCTATGACCTGTAAAGCCTCTTCCAGCTCTAAATCTGTAACAAACAGGTAAAGTTCAGGGACAGAAAGTGGTCCTATATGCCTAAAGAATAGTGTATGGAGGAGGTGAAAGAATAATAGGAGATAAGGTTGAAAAGTGGTATGGCATCTAATGATGAAGATTTTGAATACCAGGTTAGAATCTGAATTTTATTCAGTGGGTGATAGGAAGCCACTTGAGATTTTTGATAATAGAGAGATGATCAGATTTATAGGTAAGAAAGGTTAGCCAGGTAGCAATAGGAAAGATAACTCAAGTTTGGGACAGGAGTAGGTATAAAACAGTATGAGGAAGGAAGACCTGTTAGGAAACTATCGTTAATATGACTCTAAATATTTCAAACATTTTCAGATTACAACCAAACATGCCACATTTTATCTAGTAGTCTTACCAGCTACTGGACCCAATTGACAATGAAGTATTCTCAACTCTTGACTGAATGCTAAACATATAATTTTGGATAAATTTAAAATATACATAAAGCCCTTTATTATTGAGGTACTATCTCATTTAAGGTACATTACTTTATGACATATTTTCTGAGATTGTTCTTGGGCAAACTCATGCAGTGTGAGAATCTGATTTATAAGATGAAATGTAAAACAGTATTCCAGGCTCTACCAATCAATAAACATTTATTAAGCACCTACTATGTGCCAGGTACTGTGCTAAGTGCTGGAAATACAAAAGGAGGCAAAAGACAGTCTCTGCTCCCAAGGGCAGAGCAAGAAATTGCAATGAGGGATGGTCTAGTCTATGGTTAGGATAGGCATGCTCAAAATATTATCAAGTGGTAATACAATGATCCCTTTTTTTTAAAGTTTATAAGTGGTGTAGTATAGAGAGGACTGACCTGGAAGTAAAGAAGAAAGACCTGGTTTCAAGGTCTGCCTCTGTCACATGTTATATGTGTTATAATGGGCAAGTCACAACCTATCAATGCCAGAAATGACCTTATTAAGATGATAAAATGCAGAGGAGTTATAGATTTGTGTCAATTATGGGGAGATTTCACTCTGGGAGTTCCCTATACTTCTGAAATCAGAGATCTGGAATTTTTTTTAAAATGCAAATGATTAAATGAGATTAAATTTTCAGGGAATATATATACTTACATAGATATATACATACATACATACAGAGAGAGATATATACATACATACATACAGAGAGAGAGAGAGAGAGGGAGAATGAGAATATACTTCTCAGGAGGACCTATAAAATAGAGTAGGTGTTCAATGATCTGAGTAATAGTAGCACTTTAAGGTTTTACAGAATACTTTACCTTCATTATTACATTTTACTCTCACAAGATGCTGTTAGATATGTACTATAGGTATTATTAGGTCCATTTTTCAGGTAAAGAAAGTGATACTCAAAGGAGATAAGTGAGTAGCCCATAATCACATGGCTATTAAGTATCATAAACAGATTCTAACCTAGGTATCTCCTGTCTATATCCAACACTTTCCAGGAGACCACACTGGCTCTTTAAATGTTAACCTTGAGTCAAAGACCTGAAATATGTTAAGGCATTTTAACATTTATTTTTGTTTTTAAACTGTGAATGAAAATGGATTATTGCTTTTATATCTTCTCTAAGAGGTGATTTCTTTTATTATTCTCTCCTTTATTCAGAATACAAAAATGATCTATGAGTATTTATAGGAAAGTCTCATTTGCTGTATACATCTAGCTAACACTCACTATCCAAATTTGATTTGGTTTTCCTTTTTTCGCATTGCTTGTAGTCCCACCTGGTCCACCTTCATGCCCAGAAGTCAAAGACAAAACTAAGTCAAGCATAACCCTAGCATGGAAACCTCCAGCCAAGGATGGTGGTAGTCCAATCAAGGGATATATTGTTGAAATGCAAGAAGAAGGCACTTCTGACTGGAAAAGAGTAAATGAACCAGACAAACTTCTGACTACCTGTGAATGTGTTGTACCTAATTTGAAAGAACTCAGAAAATACCGATTCCGAGTGAAAGCTGTAAATGATGCAGGAGAATCTGAACCCAGTGGAACAACTGGAGAGATACCTGCCAGTGATATTCAAGGTACTGGTGTTAAATTAGCATAAGTAGTTCATGTGATGTTATGAGAATAGATGGCTTTGTTAGTAATATGTAGAAAGTTCTCAAAATGGACTAAGTACCTTTGTATTATTTATGATATTGCAGAGGTTCCAGAGGTTTTCATTGACATTGGAGCCCAAGATAGTTTGATTTGCCTTGCTGGATCACAGATCAAGATTCCAGCTATTATTAAGGGACGCCCAACACCAAAATCATCTTGGGAGTTTGAGGGAAAAGCAAAGAAGACAGTAAAGGTAAAAACAAAAGTTGCATAGTCCAAAAAATTTCATCAAATTGCTGTAAGAAGCACATGTGCTGCATTTCATTATTCTCCTTTTCTAACAGGATGGCATTCACAATATACCTGAAGATGCCCAGGTAAGACAATTGAAAAATTTGCAATACTGATTGACAAATTTGGCACTGCAGGAATTCTGTGAAATGTCTAAATATGTATTATTTTCTTCATATAGCTTGAAACTGCTGAAAACTCTTCAGTGATTATTATTAATAATTGCAAACGAGAACACACAGGAAAATATAGCATTACTGCCAAGAACAAAGCAGGACAAAAAACTGCGAATTGCAGAGTTAAAGTCATGGGTAAGACTTTAAAATTTTAAAGTCATCAAATTAAAATGATTTTCTAGATATCTCTAGATATTTCAGCAAAATCATTTATATTATCATTAACAATCAACAGATGTGCCCGGACCACCCAAAGACCTGAAAGTCAGTGACATTACAAGGAGCAGTTGCAAACTTTCATGGAAGATGCCAGATGATGATGGTGGAGACAGAATCAAAGGCTATGTTATAGAGAAAAGGACTGTTGATGGGAAAGCCTGGACAACAGTTAATCCAAACTGTGGTAGCACCTCATTTGTAGTACCAGACCTCATCTCTGAACAACAGTATTTCTTCCGAGTGCGTGCTGAAAACCGCTTTGGTATTGGTGCACCTGCAGAAACCATCCAAAGGACCACTGCTAGAGATCCAATATGTACGTTTTAATTTAAATTAAATCTTTCAAAGCTTAAATTGAAACTATCTTCTCACAACTAAAATGTATTATTATATTCCTTGTCTCATTTTTCTTTTTAATATTTTAAAGATCCTCCTGATCCCCCCATTAAGCTCAAGATTGGCCTTGTTACCAAGGACACAGTGAGTCTGACATGGAAGCCTCCGAAAAACGATGGTGGTGCCCCTGTCACACACTATATTGTTGAGTGCCTTGCCTGGGATCCTACTGGGAAAAAGAAAGAAGCATGGAAACAATGTAATAAGCGAGATGTAGAAGAAACTAAGTTTACTGTAGAGGACCTCATAGAAGGTGGAGAATATGAATTCCGAGTCAAAGCTGTCAACGAAGCAGGAGTCAGCAAACCTTCAGCTACAGTTGGTCCCATCATTGTGAAAGATCAGACCTGTAAGTAGGGAGGAAGCTATTGGCAGATACCTTCTCATTTAATACCTTTCTAGCTTTTAACAGTTATCCAATGAGTGGCTGACTTCATTGGAAATAATATTAAAGTAGAAGCCAGGGACATACCATTGACTCTTACTAGAATCTGAGCATGTCACTTAATTTTATTTTCCCCAGCTGTTAAATGGTATTGTCATATTTGCTTGTAGAGTCTCTCTTCTTCCATTCAAAAGAAGTTATTCTGGTTTTTGTCTTTAGTATCATTTATTCCTTAGTAGACCATTATGAATGTGAGGATTCATAGGAGCATTACTAAAGACTTGTTAAGAACAGCTAATGTGCAAATATTCAAGATTGCAGAAAGCAAAGAGAAGAATGCTTAATTACTACTCACCTGGACAGAAGGAGATGATATGAGCAATTTACATAAAGAATCTCTTTTTTTTATCCCCCCTAACTCCACCTTCCTATTTTTATTGCTATAATAATTGCTAAAAAAAAAAAGTGGAGAAATTATAGAAACAAACATGGTAATAATACAGGGATTATTAAGGAAAGATTAATTTAATCCATGTCGAGAAGTTTTAAGAAAATAAACTAGCTTCTGTAAGCTTTTTCAGGGGAAAAGTATCAAACCATTCTAACGCTCTAACCATTAATAATACCACAACGTTATAAAGCTTAAAAGTTTACTAAGCATTTTCCTAACCATAACTTTGTGAAGTAGGTAATGGTAATATTATTATCACTGTTCTATGGTGGAGAAAACAGTCTAGTCTGTCAGTGACTTAAGTGATTTACCCAAGGCCATTAGTAAACATCTGAAGTGGGATTTTAAATTAGGCCTCCTTACCCCAAGTCAAGCACTCCATACACTATGCCCTACTGCCTTTCATAACTAATATTACTATAACTGATAGCTATCTGGTGCATCTTCATTATCCTCTTTGAGCCCCAATAGGACCATAGTGTCAATTCACCTTGCTTCTCTCTTTCTACATTTTCTGCTTTATCTGGGCTTACATCTAAGTAAACTGTAAAATTGTTCCAAACCACATTTCTTCAGAAAAGGAATAAATAATCAAAAAATGAGCACAGCAGTTCCTTCTCATAAAGTCACATCCATGTTACAGATTATCAGACTTGCAATGGCAATTGCTGGAACACCAGTGCCTCCTTGTAGCTGCTATGGACCACTTTTGCCAGAACATGGCATGGGTTAGGGATGAAGCCAAATGTGAAATGAGGCCAAATGTCTTCATTTCCAGTAACAATATGTCTTCTTTTCTGATCTAGGCCCACCATCAATCGATCTAAAAGAATTTATGGAAGTTGAAGAAGGAACAGATGTTAGTATTGTGGCTAAAGTTAAGGGAGTGCCCTTCCCTACATTAACATGGTTTAAAGCTCCTCCTAAGAAACCTGCTGACAAAGCTCCTGTTCTGTATGACCAACATATCAACAAGCTCGTGGTTGATGATACTTGCACCTTAGTAATTCCACAGTCTCGCAGGAGTGATACTGCCCTGTACACGCTCACAGCTGTAAATAATCTGGGAACAGCATCAAAAGAGATGAGACTGAATGTTCTTGGTAAATATAAAATAGTTTGTATAAAATGCATATAAATGAGCTACCCATATGATCTTTTGTTTTAAAATGCATTTGGCTAATTAGCTGTTCTTTTTCAAACTTTATTTTAGGTCGCCCTGGACCTCCAGTGGGACCCATAAAATTTGAATCCATTTCAGCTGATCAGATGACTTTATCTTGGCTTCCACCTCTAGATGATGGTGGTTCCAAGATTACAAATTATGTTGTTGAGAAAAGAGAAGCTAATAGGAAAACATGGGTACGTGTTTCCAGTGAACCTAAGGAGTGTACATACACAGTCCCCAAATTACTGGAGGGCCATGAATATGTATTCCGTATAATGGCACAAAATAAATATGGTATTGGGGAGCCTCTTGACAGTGAACCAGAAACAGCAAGAAATCTGTTCTGTAAGTATGGCACTATTTTCAAATGCAAATTCCTTTTTGTGTATTTTTATATATTTTTTTACAAACCCACATAACTCTTCTACAGCTGTCCCTGGGGCCCCTGACAAGCCAACTGTGAGCAGTGTGAAGCGTGACTCCATGACTGTCAACTGGGAGGAACCAGAATATGACGGAGGCTCTCCCGTGACAGGCTACTGGCTAGAAATGAAAGACACCACATCAAAGAGATGGAAGAGAGTCAACCGGGATCCTATCAAAGCTATGACATTAGGTGTTTCTTATAAAGTGACAGGCCTCATTGAAGGTTCAGACTATCAGTTCCGAGTATATGCTATTAATGCTGCTGGAGTTGGCCCTGCAAGCTTGCCATCTGACCCAGTAACAGCTAGAGATCCAATTGGTAAATCTTTAAACATTCGGTTTTTAATTTATCAGATGTTTCACGAAGAAATAAATTAACTAATATAATGGTTTTTCTAGCCCCACCAGGTCCTCCCTTCCCCAAAGTGACCGACTGGACCAAGTCATCTGTAGATTTGGAATGGACTCCCCCATTAAAAGATGGAGGGTCTAAAATTACTGGATATATAGTTGAATACAAAGAAGAAGGAAAAGAAGAATGGGAAAAGGTAGGTAAAATTTAATGTTTTGAAAAGCAAAAACCCTTACTAAAAGAATTATTATAATTTTAAAAATGCTAATGACACTTTTTAAAACTCAGGGTAAAGATAAAGAAGTGAGAGGAACAAAACTTGTAGTACCTGGATTAAAAGAAGGCGCATTCTACAAATTTAGAGTTAGAGCAGTCAACATTGCTGGCATTGGAGAACCTGGAGAAGCTACTGACATCATTGAAATGAAGGACAGAATTGGTAACTATTAGTTTATGATAAACATACCAGAATTTTATTTTAAAATTGAAATACCTTTTCAATGAAAAACACACTTTCCTTTGCCTTTTCTTTTCTCAGTTGCTCCTGATCTTCAGCTGGATGCTAGTGTCAGAGACAGAATTGTGGTCCATGCTGGTGGGGTGATTCGTATTATAGCATATGTCTCTGGAAAGCCACCTCCCACAGTCACCTGGAGCATGAATGAAAGAGCATTACCAGAAGAAGCAAACATTGAAACCACAGCTATTAGCTCCTCTATGGTCATCAAGAACTGCAAGAGGAGTCATCAGGGTGTCTACTCCCTTCTTGCTAAAAATGCAGGCGGAGAAAGAAAGAAGACGATCATTGTTGATGTGTTAGGTAAGTGAGCCCAAATTTATTCGCTGCATAATCTCTTTAAGATTATTTTATTATCATTTTAGCAAGAATGAATCAAATGATACCTACATGTATAAGTGCTTATCAATTCTGAAGCAGGAGATACAACTATTACATGTAGTTCATTTAGCTGGAAAATAGTCACATAATAGTGAAGTAGACTCTTTGTTTAGAAAGTTGGAAATTAAAAGGCTCAATGACCTAGTCTACAACTGTGCTCTGATTAATATAGATAATTTGCTCGAGGCAAGAGAGACAACAGTCTCCACTTCTACTAAAATGGCCTGGTCCAGCAAGTTTGCTGCTACCAAGGAACTGTTTCCAAAAGTATGCCAAAAATAACCCCAAACGATTCTTAGAAATATAGATTAGACTTTAACTTCTTCACAAAAAAAAAATTCATTGCCTTAAAAAAACCCTAAAGTAACAGAGTAATGAGCATACACATTAATCTGAAATTCTCTCTCTTTATGGTAATAATTTTTCTTCTCTTATTTTCAGATGTTCCAGGTCCAGTTGGAATTCCATTCCTTTCAGACAATCTAACCAATGACTCCTGCAAACTGACATGGTTTTCTCCAGAAGATGATGGTGGGTCACCTATCACCAACTATGTCATTGAAAAACGGGAAGCTGACCGCAGAGCTTGGACCCCAGTAACTTATACAGTCACAAGGCAGAATGCTACAGTGCAAGGATTGATTGAAGGAAAAGCCTACTTTTTCCGCATTGCTGCTGAAAATAGCATTGGCATGGGTCCATTTGTTGAAACACAAAATGAACTTGTCATCAGGGACCCAATGAGTAAGTAATATAAGTTTAAAGATTTCTTCAGATATTCAGTGAAAGTTTAAGATAACATAATACCTCTAGCTATACTTTCATTCATTCTACACATACTTTTTAGGCACCCTTGTGTACCTAGATAGAACACATGAGGATATATTCATTGCATATATGTATATGTGCAACTAGTGGCACAGTGGATAGACCTCTGGGCCTGGAGTCAGGAAGACTCACCTTCCTAAGTTCAAATCCAGCCTCAGATACTTACTAGCAATGTGGCCCTGGGCAAGTGACTTAACCCTGTTTGCCTCAGTTTCTTCATGTGTAAAATGAGCTGGAGAAGGAAATGGCAAACCACTCCAGTATCTTTGCAAAGAAAATCTCAAATGGGATCACAGAGCCAGACATGATTGAAACTACTGAACAATAACAACAAAATATATGTATATTTGTGTGCATATTTGTCTGTATATACATATATATATATATATATATATATATATATATATATATATATATATATACAGCCTCAGTAGAGATAAGTGGACTGAGAGGCAGGAAACCTCAGTTTCTTTTCAGTTATGACACTAACTAGCTGTGTGACTGAAAAAGTGACTTACTTAATTTGTCCAAGTTTTGACCTCCTCATTAATTAAATAAGGAGATTTAGACCAGATAATTTCTCTGAGCTCTCTTCTTGCTACAGAAATTATATTCTTTTATTTGAATCAAAGTAAATCATTCAAGTTCAAATGAAATCCTCAGCAAAGGGCAATTTGTCACATTTTTAAAAAGTAATTTCTTTCATTGTTATCTCATATTTTTACTATAGCTGTCCCAGAACGTCCTGAAGACCTTGAAGTCAAAGAAGTTACTAAAGACTCTGTAACTCTGACTTGGAATCCCCCTAAGTATGATGGAGGATCAGAAATAATTAACTACATATTAGAAAGCCGTCTCATTGGAACTGAAAAATTCCACAAAGTTACACAAAACAACTTACTTAGTAGAAAATTCACAGTTAAAGGCTTGAAAGAAGGTGATACTTATGAGTACCGTGTAAGTGCGGTCAATATTATTGGGCAAGGCAAGCCATCGTTCTGCACAAAGCCAATCACTTGCAAAGATGAACTTGGTAAGTATCTCAGATACTTTGAATACCTACTGTGCAATTGTGGATTTGCTATACCATGGCAGTAAAACTGATTTGATTTCAAAATTATTTGTTTAGCTCCTCCAACACTTGACCTGGACTTTAGGGATAAGCTCACTGTTCGGGTTGGTGAAGCTTTTGCCCTGAAGGGACGTTATTCAGGCAAGCCAAAACCAAAGATCACGTGGTTGAAAGATGAAACTGATGTCTTAGAAGATGATCGCACACAGCTCAAGACTACTCCAACAACACTTTCTCTAGAAAAGGTCAAAGCCAAACGTGCAGACTCTGGCAAATACACCGTGATTGTTGAGAATAGTACGGGTTCAAGGAAAGGTTCCTGTCAAGTTGCTGTTGTTGGTAAGGATTAATTAGCACTAGATCTATAGGCATTCTCTTAAATCAAGAGTATAAAGGAAATCTACATTCTGTGGGGTTTTTTTCCTTCCACAGACCGTCCTGGACCTCCAGTGGGACCTGTTATTTTTGATGAAGTACACAAAGATCATTTTATTATCTCTTGGAAGCCTCCTTTAGATGATGGAGGAAGTGAAATTACTAATTACATCATTGAGAAGAAGGAGCTAAGCAAAGATGTTTGGATTCCAGTAACATCAGCAAATGTTAAGACAACATGTAAAGTCCCTAAATTGCTTGAGGGCAAAGACTACCTTGTTCGCATATATGCTGAAAATCTTTATGGCATAAGTGATCCATTAGTATCTGATTCAATGAAAGCCAAGGATCGTTTCAGTATGTATTTTAAAATTTTTCTTTAGTTTTTCACTATTTTGTTATTAGTGATATATTGAATGGATATTGAACACATTATGATAATATTTCTCTAGGTGTTCCTGCTGCACCAGATCAACCAATTGTTACTGAAGTTACTAAAGATTCTGCATTAGTTACCTGGAACAAACCATATGATGGAGGCAAGCCCATCACAACATACATTGTAGAAAAGAAGGAAACCAGATCTAAAAAATGGGTCAGAGTTTCCAGAGAGCCTATTCATCCATATACCAAATTTAGGGTTCCTGATCTTGTGGAAGGATGTCAATATGAATTCCGAGTTTCAGCAGAAAATGAAATTGGTGTTGGTGATCCAAGCCCACCCTCAAAACCAGTATTTGCTAAAGATCCAATTGGTACTATATCAAAACATTTATTCAGTTTTCACATTAATTAACTTTTTAAAGCATTATTTTGACATTCTTTCATTCCCTTGTCTTTTATATAGCTAAACCAAGTCCACCTATTAACCCTGAAGCAGTAGACACAACAAAAAATTCAGTTGATTTGATTTGGCAACCACCACGTCATGATGGTGGAAGCAAGATTCTGGGCTATATTGTGGAATACCAGAAAGTTGGAGATGAAGAATGGAAAAGAGCCAATCATACTCCAGAGGCATGCCCTGAAACAAAATATAAAGTCACAGGTCTTAGGGATGGTCAGACCTATAAATTCAGAGTAATGGCAGTCAATGAAGCAGGGGAATCAGACCCAGCTCATGTTCCTGAGCCAGTGTTAGTAAGAGATAGACTTGGTACGTAAAATATCCCCATGCACATATGTCTTATTTATAAAATATATTCCTTAAATTATGCTCATCAAATAATCCTTTTCCTTTTAGAACCTCCTGAATTGATTCTAGATGCTAACATGGCAAGAGAACAACACATAATGGTTGGAGATACCTTAAGACTTAGTGCTATCATCAAAGGAGTTCCATTCCCAAAAGTAACATGGAAAAAAGAAGATAGAGAAGTTCCTATAAAAGCACAAATCGAAGTTACACCAGTTGGCAGTAAGCTTGAAATTCGTAACTCTGCCCATGAAGATGGTGGAACTTATTCTTTGACAGTGGAGAATCCAGCAGGCTCAAAGACAGTTTCAGTAAAAGTTGTTGTACTAGGTAATAATTCTAATATGAACATTCTTAAATAACGATTTTTTTTAGCATTTAATGTGAGTTCAGTAATTTGAATAATCATACATTTAATATTTCTCAGATAAACCTGGACCACCTAGAGATCTAGAAGTTAGTGAGATTAGGAAGGATTCTTGTTACCTTACCTGGAAAGAACCACTGGATGATGGTGGTTCAGATATTACGAATTACGTAGTGGAAAGAAGAGATGTTGCCGCTGCCCAGTGGTCACCTCTTTCAACTACATCCAAGAAGAAGAGTCATCTTGCTAAACATCTCAATGAAGGCAATCAGTATCTCTTCCGTGTAGCTGCTGAGAATCAGTATGGACGTGGTCCTTTTGTTGAAACTCCTAAACCTATCAAGGCCATGGATCCTCTCCGTAAGTTGCTTTTTGGCATGTAAAAAAAAATTATTCTGATGTTCTTGGTTTCATTTTTTTGGGTACTTTATTCACCACACATTTCTTCCTTTAAAAAGAACCCCCAGGGCCACCCAAGAATTTGCATCATGTGGATGTTGACAAGAATGAAGTCTCTCTGGTTTGGAATAAACCAGATCGTGATGGTGGTTCTCCAATTACTGGATATTTAGTAGAATATCAAGAAGATGGTACAGAAGACTGGATTAAATTTAAGACTGTGACAGATTTAGAGTGTGTTGTTACTGGCCTACAACTAGGGAAGATCTATAAATTCCGTGTAAAAGCTCAGAATATCGTGGGCCTTAGTCTTCCTGACACAACTATTCCAATAGAGTGTCAAGAAAAACTAGGTAATGTTTATTGACATGATTATTCTGTTATTTTTTTAAATCATGTCTGACTCAAAAATCAAATTCTAATTTTGTGTGTTTTATTTTCCAGTACCTCCATCTGTGGAACTTGATGTGAAATTAATTGAAGGCCTTGTGGTAAAGGCTGGAACCACTGTAAGATTCCCCGCCATTATAAGAGGTGTACCTACTCCCTCTGTAAAGTGGTCAACTGATGGGATTGAAATTAAACCAGATGACCACTATAACATTGAAACTGACAGCTTCTCATCAGTACTTACCATTAAAAACTGTCTACGGAAAGACACTGGGGAATACTTGATCACTGTTTCCAATGCAGCTGGTACCAAAACAGCAGCAGTTCATCTTACTGTTCTTGATGTTCCTGGGCCGCCAACAGGTCCTATTGATATACTTGAAGTCACTCCTGAATATATGGTTATTGCATGGCGACCACCCAAGGATGATGGTGGAAGCCCTGTAATAAATTATATTGTTGAGAAACAAGATACTAGGAAAGATACTTGGGGTGTTGTCTCTGCAGGAAGCAGTAAGACGAAGCTAAAGGTCCCCCATCTACAAAAGGGAAATGAATACATTTTCCGTGTTCGAGCAGAGAATAAGATGGGTGTTGGTCCACCTCTTGACTCTATACCTACTGTAGCTAAACATAAGTTTAATCCCCCATCTCCACCTGGCAAACCGGTGGTTACTGACATTACTGAAAATGCTGCAACAGTTTCTTGGACCTTACCAAAATCTGATGGTGGCAGTCCAATAACTGGCTATTACGTGGAACGTCGAGAAACGACTGGTAAATGGGTGAGGGTCAACAAAACACCTGTACCTGACTTGAAGTTTAGAGTCACTGGACTCTATGAAGGAAATACATATGAGTTTAGAGTTTTTGCAGAAAATCTTGCAGGCTTAAGCAATCCATCTCCAAGTTCTGATCCAATAAAAGCTTGTCGACCCATCAAACCACCCGGACCTCCCATTAATCCAAAACTGAAGGACAAGACCAAAGAAACTGCTGATTTAGTCTGGACAAAGCCACTTAGTGATGGTGGCAGTCCTATACTAGGCTATGTCGTGGAATGCCAGAAACCAGGCACTGCACAGTGGAATAGGATCAATAAAGATGAACTCATTAGGCAGTGTGCCTACAGGGTACCTGGACTAATTGAAGGAAATGAATATAGATTCCGTATCAAGGCTGCTAACATTGTGGGAGAAGGAGAGCCACGAGAACTAGCAGAATCTGTTATTGCAAAAGACATTCTCCATCCTCCAGAAGTAGAACTTGATGTGACTTGTCGCGATATCATTACTGTTAGAGTAGGCCAAACCATCCGCATTCTGGCTAGAGTGAAAGGCAGACCTGAACCAGATATAACTTGGTCCAAGGAGGGCAAAGTACTGGTCCGAGAAAAGCGGGTCGACCTAATTCACGATTTGCCTCGTGTTGAGTTACAAATTAAAGAAGCAGTCAGAAGTGATCATGGCAAATACATCATTTCAGCCAAGAACAGCAGTGGGCATGCTCAAGGTTCGGCTATTGTCAATGTCCTTGACAGACCGGGACCCTGCCAGAATTTGAGGATAACTAGTGTCACCAAAGAGAATTGCACAGTTTCCTGGGAAAACCCTCTAGACAATGGAGGCTCAGAAATTACTAATTTTATAGTAGAATGTCGTAAGCCAAACCAGAAAGGATGGTCAATTGTTGCTTCAGATGTTACAAGGCGAATGGTTAAAGCCAACCTCTTGGCCAACAATGAATATTACTTCCGTGTCTGTGCAGAAAATAAAGTGGGTGTTGGGCCAACCATTGAAACTAAAACTCCCATTCTGGCTATTAACCCCATTGACAGGCCAGGTGAACCTGAAAACCTTCATATTGCAGAAAAGGGAAAGACATTTGTCTACCTGAAGTGGAGAAGGCCAGATTATGATGGTGGCAGTCCCAATTTATCCTATCATGTTGAGAGAAGACTGAAGGGCTCTGCTGATTGGGAAAGAGTACATAAGGGAAGCATTAAGGACACACATTATATGGTTGACAAATGTGTTGAGAACCAGATCTATGAGTTCAGAGTTCAAACAAAGAATGAGGGTGGTGAAAGTGACTGGGTGAAGACAGAGGAAGTTGTTGTGAAGGAAGATTTGCAGAAGCCAGTGCTTGAGCTGAAACTGAGTGGAGTGCTTACTGTCAAAGCAGGGGACACTATTAAGCTTGAGGCAGCGGTTAGAGGCAAACCATTCCCAGAAGTTTCATGGACCAAGGACAAAGATGCTACGGATCTATCCAGATCTCCAAGAGCCAAAATTGATACAAGTGCAGAGTCATCTAAATTTACCCTCACAAAAGCAAAGCGAAGTGATGGCGGTAAATATGTGATTACAGCAACAAACACAGCTGGCAGCTTTGTAGCCTATGCAACTGTAAATGTTTTAGACAAACCTGGTCCAGTAAGAAATCTGAAGATCTCTGATGTGTCAAGTGATAGGTGCACAATTCGTTGGGACCCGCCAGAAGATGATGGTGGCTGTGAAATACAAAATTATATTTTAGAAAAATGTGAGACCAAGCGTATGGTGTGGTCTACATATTCTGCTAATGTCCTCACTCCCGGTACAACAGTGACTCGTCTCATTGAAGGAAATGAATACATTTTTAGAGTCCGGGCCGAGAATAAGATAGGCACTGGTCCACCAACAGAGAGCAAACCAGTCATTGCTAAAACTAAATTTGATAGACCTGGTCGCCCTGATCCCCCCGAAGTCACTAAAGTCAGCAAAGAAGAAATGACTGTAGTATGGAATCCACCAGAATATGATGGTGGAAAGTCTATCACAGGATATATTCTGGAGAAAAAAGAAAAGCATTCAGTTCGATGGGTTCCTGTTACCAAGAGTGCTATCCCTGAAAGACGTATGAAAGTTCAAAATCTCCTTCCAGGACATGAATATCAGTTCCGTGTCAAGGCAGAAAATGAAATTGGAATTGGAGAACCAAGCTTGCCATCAAAACCAGTAGTGGCAAAAGACCCAATAGGTATTATGCTCTCCTTTCCTATTAAATTACAGTCAACTCTTAATCTGGAGACAGGCATAACAGGAGTAAATTCAGTCTGTAACAGATTACAAAGACAAATTCAGTCAATCTTTTCACAATAATTTCAACAGAGAAACCAAATCTTTTGATAGAGCTGCTAACAAATGACAAAATTGATTAAGCATTTTATTTCTTTTTTCCTGCCTGCTTGCTCACACACACACACACACACACACACACACACACACACACACACACACAAATAGCTATAGAGCAATGCAGAAAAAGAGGAAGGGGCAAAATGAATAACATACCCTTGAATAATTGAGAGTTGACTGTATAGAAATTATTTACATTAACTTTTCATTTATAGTAGTCACTTATATTACTTATTATTTAGTTATAACATTTATTTTCCAATGTACTTTCAGAACCACCTGGTCCACCAACCAATCTCAAGGTGGTTGATACTACCAAGAGTTCCATCACTCTTGGATGGGGAAAGCCAGTCTATGATGGTGGTGCACCAATAATTGGATATGTTGTGGAAATGAGACCTAAAATCGCAGGTGCATCTCCTGATGAAGGCTGGAAAAGGTGCAATGCAGCTGCACAACTTATTCGTAAAGAATTCACAGTTACCAGTCTGGATGAGAACCAAGAATATGAGTTCAGAGTTTGTGCACAAAACCAAGTTGGCATTGGACGCCCTGCCGAATTAAAAGATGCTATTAAACCTAAAGAAATACTTGGTAACGACTTATTTTATTTGTGCATTTATTTGTTTCATTTATGATATAAATCCATGCATTCCACATTCCAAAAAGTGAATTAACCATCTCAATGCAATTTCCAGAACCCCCTGAGATTGATTTGGATGCCAGTATGAGAAAGTTGGTTGTCGTCAGAGCAGGATGCCCAATTCGACTATTTGCCATTGTCAGAGGGCGGCCTGCCCCGAAAGTCACTTGGCGGAGAGTGGGTATCGATAACGTTGTCAGAAAAGGACAAGTTGATTTGGTTGACACTATGGCCTTCCTGGTCATTCCTGATTCTACACGAGATGACTCAGGCAAATATTCCCTGACACTTGTTAATCCTGCAGGAGAAAAGGCTGTATTTGTGAATGTCAGGGTCCTTGGTAAGTTGCCAGAAAGCATTTTCCTCTTCTTTCCAAAAGAATTTTAAATTACTGATATAGAGGAGAGGCTATATTTTGTTTTGCAATTTTTTACAGATACTCCTGGGCCTGTATCTGACTTAAAAGCATCAGATGCCACTAAAACATCATGCCATCTTTCTTGGGCACCTCCTGAAAATGATGGTGGAAGCCAAGTAACACATTATATTGTCGAGAAACGTGAAGCTGAAAGAAAGACATGGGCAACAGTTACTCCAGAAGTTAAGAAAACTAGTTTCCAAGTATCCAATCTTGTCCCTGGAAATGAATATTTCTTCAGAGTAACTGCTGTCAATGAATATGGTCCTGGGGTCCCAACAGACATTCCCAAGCCAGTGCTTGCATCTGATCCCCTAAGTAAGTATTGTCTTTGTATCCCAATATCAATTCCAATTCCCGAGTATTTTAATGTTCTTTATGTAATGTGAGCATATCTTGCTTTCAAGCTTTCAAGTTAAAAAAATACTAGTTTTACAGATGCTGAAACAATGTAATGAATATCTAGATTCCTTAAAATTAAGAACTATTTGAGTCTGCCCTTTGACGGTTTCTGATTTGCTTTTAAATGAAATTTAAATACTTTCCTCTAGCTCTCAAATTATATACCATATTAAGATGCCATGAAGCAATTGATTTGATCTGGCACTAATGGACACCAATAAAGTACTTTGACTAAGTTATCAACATGTTTCCCTTATTTGTGTTTTTTTTCTAGGTGAACCTGATCCACCAAGAAAGCTTGAGGTTACTGAAATGATGAAGAACAGTGCCACATTAGCCTGGCTGCCTCCACTGCGAGATGGGGGTGCTAAGATCGATGGATATATTATCAGCTACAGGGAAGAGGAACAACCTGCAGATCGCTGGACAGAGTATTCAGTTGTGAAAGATCTCAGCCTTGTGGTCACTGGCCTGAAGGAAGGAAAGAAATATAAATTTAGAGTAGTGGCCAGGAATGCTGTTGGAGTGAGTTTGCCCAGAGAAGCTGATGGTGTTTATGAAGCCAAAGAACAGCTATGTGAGCAGTTATTGCATTTACTAATTTCAACCATTTCATATTTGTGTAACAAAAGCTGATGGAGATTTTAATTCAGTTTATTTTAGTTCAGTTTATTTCAGTTTATTATTTAATTCAGTTTATAGAATCTCTAGATTATAGATTTATATATAATCATAGATCAGAGACAAGACCACAGTACATATCATAAGCTTTACTTTTTTTTTTCAATTGACCAGGATTTGCTTTTTCTCCTTCCTACGTCTACCACGTCCCCTCTCTCAAACACAAAAATCAAAACCCTAGTAACAAATATAGTCAAACAAAACATCCTCACATTGGCCGTGTAGAGCTAGAAAAGAGTTTAGAGGCTGCCTAGCCCAACTTTGCTAATTATATGTGAAGAAAGAGTGATTTCCTCATGGCCACAGGTTATTTAGTGACCAATCCAGGATGATAACTAAGATCTGACTACCAGGCAGATCAGCTGCATGACTCCATCTCTCTCACTTTATGCTTGAGGAAAATCAGGTGCAGAAATATTAAATGATCTATCTTAAATTACACAGTGGCAGGGCAAGGAAGAGGATCCAGGTCTCCTATTTTTTATACACTATCACACAAAATTCCTGTGTTTCCCACATTTGTCTAGAGCATCCCCAGTGAAAAATAACCATGACTTACAATAAATTCATGTCTTTTCCCATTGCATTGTAGTGCCACCCAAGATCCTTATGCCAGAACAAGTTACTATTAAAGCTGGAAAGAAACTCCGAATTGAAGCCCACGTATATGGAAAGCCTCAACCAGTCTGTACCTGGAAAAAAGGAGAAGAACCTGTTGTCACATCTAGCCGCCTGGCAGTCCACAAAGCAGACTCTTCTTCAGTTTTGATCTTGAAAGATGTTACTAGAAAAGACAGTGGTTACTATAATCTCACTGCAGAAAACAGTTCTGGATCAGACACTCAGAAAATCAAAGTTGTGGTCATGGGTGAGTTCAGCTTTTGCTAAAAACAATGCAACCATCAGGAACAAAACTTTTTCTTCCTTCTACCTTCATGTTTTTACATGCCTGTCTTTTGTATTTCTGCAGATGCGCCAGGGCCACCTCAGCCTCCATTTGACATATCTGAGATAGATGCTGATGCCTGTTCCCTGTCATGGCATATCCCTCTTGAGGATGGTGGTAGTAACATCACCAATTATGTGGTGGAGAAGTGTGATGTAAGCCGAGGCGATTGGGTCACAGCTCTGGCCTCTGTCACAAGAACTTCTTGCAGGGTTGGAAAACTTATCCCTGGGCAAGAGTATGTCTTCCGAGTCCGTGCTGAAAATCGATTTGGCATTTCAGAGCCACTCCAATCTCCTAAAATGCTTGCTAAGTTCCCGTTTGGTAGGTTTTTTTTTTCATTGGGGAGTGATGACAAACTGTTCTGTGTTTCCATTCCAATAATAAAGCAAATACTAACATAGCCCGCGTCTTCATCTCCAGATGTTCCTAGTGAACCAAAGAATGCAAGAGTTACAAAAGTCAACAAGGACTGTATTTTTGTGAAATGGGACAGGCCAGATAGTGATGGAGGCAGCCCCATTACTGGTGATGGAGGCAGCCCCATTACTGGCTATCTGATTGAACGCAAAGAAAGGAACAGTCTGCTCTGGGTGAAGGCTAATGATACTCTTGTCCGTTCTACTGAATATCCTTGCGCTGGTCTTGTAGAGGGTCTAGAATATTCATTCCGGATCTATGCTTTGAACAGAGCTGGAAGCAGCTTACCTAGCAAACCAACAGAATATGTAACAGCAAGAATGCCAGTTGGTGAGTAAAAGATTTCCTTGTTTTCTCCATATCTTAAATACTGTGAGTAAAAATTAAACATTTGGTATCTACTTCCAAATTTCTATAGTAGTCCCAGCACTTAGCATAGTAGGCACTTACCTTACCTACCATTTACCTATTAAGCACCTACATGATAGGCACTCAATAAATGCTTACTGACTGACTGACTGACTAGTACCCCCTTGCTTTTACTTAAATTCAATAATATTTCCCTTTTCTTATTTTATGTAAACACAATGTACACTGCACAATACCAAACACATAGTACCCCCAAAATATTTGGTGATTTCTTGATTATTAAAATATTAGTTATTCATATCCTGATGAGCTACATGTAAAGTAGAGGTGTCAAACTTGCAACATGTGGGCCAGCAAAGCTCTGAGATGCTGCCATTGGGAAATGTTTAATAAAATAAATAAAAATGCAGTACAATATAGATAATGTTAATTTGTGGTTTTCTAAGTCGATATGTGGCCAGCAAGGCTTTCTTTTTCTACTTGATTGATACCATTGATGTAAAAAAAATACTTCCTGTGTTCCAAGTGATATGGTTTGACTTTTCTAATTGTCTTTTGGGTTTTAGATCCTCCTGGGAAACCCGAAGTTATTGATGTTTCCAAGAATAGTGCATCCCTTATCTGGGCTCGACCAAAGCATGATGGGGGCAGCAAAATTATTGGATATTTTGTTGAAGCTTGCAAGCTTCCAGGAGATAAGTGGGTACGATGCAATACTACACCACACCAGATTCCTCAAGAAGAATATACAGCTACTGGTTTGGAAGAGAACGCTCAATATCAATTTAGAGCCATTGCCAAGACTGCTGTAAACATCAGCATGCCTTCTGAGCCTTCTGATCCAGTGACCATCCTAGCAGAAAATAGTAAGATTCCATTCCTGAAGATTATGTATATCATTTGTATTTACTTACCCCTCTCGTTATTAATGTGAAGAATGTCAGAGTTAGTTCTATGGGGATTAAGTCCTTTTATTTTTTTCCAGTTCCTCCAAGGATTGAACTGAGTGTGGCAATGAAATCTTTACTTACTGTGAAAGCTGGAACCAATGTTTGCCTGGATGCTACTGTTTTTGGTAAACCCATGCCAACAATTTCATGGAAGAAAGATGGAACACCTGTAACACCATCTGATGTCATAAAAATGGCCACCAAGAGAAATCTTTGCACCTTGGAATTATTCTGTGTAAATAGAAAGGATTCGGGAGACTATACCATTACTGCTGAAAACTCAAGTGGTTCCAAATCAGCCACTATTAAGCTGAAAGTATTAGGTAATTCAATTCAATATTTATTAAGCACTTAATACTATGCAAAGTTCTGGGATACAGTGGCAAAAACACAAGAATCCCTGTTTTACATTCTATTGGGTGGAAGGGAGGATAAAACATGCACGTGGATAAGAAATTTGAGGAGGGAAAGAACATTCACAACTGGGGAGAATAGGAGAAGGTTTAACAAAAGGAATGATCCACGAGCTGAACTTTGAAGGAAGATGAGGATTCTGAGTCAGAGATGAAGAGGGACTGAATTCCAGGCACAATATTTGATTGACTAAGATGATGTAAATATCGGCCAAAAGATGGCCAAAGTATCATAAATAGAAAATGACATATAATAAAAACAAAAAAGAATGCAAATCTATCTCAGTTGCAGAATCATAAAAATTAGAGCTAGAAAGGACCTTCAGGCTCTAAATTTAGCCTGATATTTAGTATGATATGCCCTCATCACACAGATAAAGAACAGAGAAATTAGGTCACTTGCCCCAGGTCACACAGTTAGTTTTTGGTGGGGAAAGTCAGAACCTAGGACCACCAATTCAGTACTCATGCTCTTCTAGGCAGTGCTGACTCATAATTAAAACAAAGATTTGATTCTACCCTTTTATATCTTTCAGATAAACCTGGTCCTCCAGCATCTGTTAAAATCAATCGAATGTATTCAGATCGTGCAATGCTTTCTTGGGAGCCTCCTCTTGAAGATGGAGGCTCAGAAATTACTAACTACATTGTTGACAAGCGTGAGACAAGCAGACCTAACTGGGCACAAGTCTCTCCCAATGTTCCTATCACCAGTTGCAGTGTGGAGAAACTAATAGAAGGTCATGAATACCAGTTCCGTATTTGTGCTGAAAATAAATATGGTGTTGGAGATCCAATTTTCACTGAACCAGCAATTGCTAAAAATCCATTTGGTAATAATACTTTTCCATGTATATTACCTTTTATTTAAGACATTTTAAAAACGTGAAGCTAATTTCTCAAATGAATCTTTACAGACCCACCTGGACGTTGTGATCCTCCTGTGATTAGCAACATAACAAAAGATCACATGACAGTAAGCTGGAAACCACCAGCAGATGATGGCGGTTCACCTATCACTGGCTATTTGCTAGAGAAGCGAGAAACCCTTGCAGTCAATTGGACCAAGGTCAACAGGAAACCTGTTATAGAAAGAACTATAAAAGCAACAGGTCTCCAAGAAGGAACTGAGTATGAATTCCGTGTTACAGCTATAAATAAAGCTGGACCAGGCAAGCCCAGTGATGCCTCTAAAGCAGTATATGCTCTTGATCCTCTATGTAAGTTTCACTAGGAGAATAAAGCATTCCCTCTCCTATGTCTCTTTTGCGTATAAACTATTTCAGGCATACAAGAAGGATGTACTAATCACTACTTCTTTCTTTTCTTTTCTTTTTTAATCCTTAGATCCTCCTGGCCCACCAGCCTTCCCCAAAGTAGTTGATACCACCCGAAGCTCTGTGAGTCTTTCTTGGGGTAAACCAGCATACGATGGTGGAAGTCCTATTATTGGCTATTTAGTTGAGGTGAAGAGAGCTGGTTCTGATAACTGGGTGAGGTGCAACTTGCCAGAGAATCTAAAGAAAACACGCTTTGATGTTACTGGCCTCATGGAAAATACTGAATATCAATTCCGTGTGTACGCCATCAATAAGGTTGGCTACAGTGATCCCAGTGATGTACCTGACAAACATGTACCCAAGGACATCTTAAGTAAGTGCTGAAGGAAGAAAGGAGAAATGGCTAAGTGAACACATTTTTAGAAATAAAGACCTTTAAGGTCTTGATATATGCTGCGGTATTGAAAACTCTATGAATTTGTTTTAAGAGAGCTGTAGTAGTGAGCCAAAGATTTGCAACGTGATTTGTGATTAATAATAATAACTTTTTTTCATGACTATGAGAGAATTCTATAACTTGGACAGAGGATTGGGTTAAGTATGTTTGCCCTAATAAGGAAGAGACTGCTCTTTTTTATTATAGACAGCTCAATTATTCTTTTCATAAATGCTTCCTTTCTGTTTAAGCCAATTACTAGCTTCTTTAGTAACACACTTTCTATCACTTAGTCTTCTTTTCCTAATCTTATATTTCCTCAATCAATTTTCTTCTTTTTTCTCAATTTTTAATAACTTGGTAATATATTATAGTATTTAATCTATCTTTCTGCCTGCAATAATTATAAAGACCAGCAGAGCATAAATTATAATTATAGGTAAATTACAGAATACTATTTTCATTGAAGTTGGGTGGGATGAGAATCATTAAGATTAGGATGAGAACCAGAAATAATACCTATTTTCTTTGAATACAATGGGGGTAATAAGCATACATAGGAAATAAAGAGTGAATATTCCTATAGACAAGAAAAATCCCTGAGTCACAAAAAAATTACTAATTATAGATTAATAGACTATTATGGATACTGGAAGAGTGAAAGTGTGGGGCAATAAGAGCTATGTAAATAATTAGAGGAAGGACAGGAGATGTTTGGTTGGAAAAATAGTGTATGTTAAGGGTCTATAAAGATCAGGTTGTTGAATTTTCATAGTAAATTGAGTTTTTATACATTTAATTTTTTTACAAAAAAAAAAATAAACAGTTCCACCTGAGGGAGAGCTTGATGCTGACTTGAGAAAAACACTCATATTACGTGCTGGAGTTACAATGAGACTTTATGTACCAGTAAGAGGACGTCCACCTCCAAAGATAACCTGGTCTAAGCCAAATGTCAACCTGCGAGAGAGGATAGGATTAGACATCAAGTCAACAGACTTTGACACTTTCTTGCGTTGTGAAAATGTGAATAAGTATGATGCTGGAAAATATATCTTGACACTTGAGAACAGCTGTGGTAAAAAGGAATATACTATTGTCGTGAAAGTACTTGGTAAGTATGGGTGTAAAATAAGAAAAGTAATATGAAATCATTGCATTTTTTTCCCTTTGGAATGATTAAGTACATCTTCATTTTAAATTTATCCAGATACTCCGGGACCACCAGTCAATGTGACCGTTAAGGAAGTATCCAGAGATTCTGCTTATGTTACTTGGGATCCTCCCATTATTGATGGCGGCAGTCCAATCATAAACTATGTTGTTGAAAAACGTGATGCAGAGAGAAAGTCATGGTCCACAGTGACAACTGAGTGTCCCAAAACAAGCTTCCGAGTATCTAATTTGGAAGAAGGAAAATCCTATTTCTTCAGAATTTTTGCTGAAAATGAATATGGCATTGGTGATCCTGGAGAAACACGGGATGCTGTCAAGGCCTCTGGTGAGGAAATGTGATTTTATTCAATATAGTTGTAAAGACAGTATTAATTAATTCATTGGAAGCTTAGACTTATAAGAGTTTTCATGTGTTTTAGAAACCCCTGGACCAGTTGTGGACCTGAAAGTTACATCTGTAACTAAGTCATCATGTAGTATAGGCTGGAAAAAGCCTCACAGTGATGGTGGAAGCCGAATTACTGGATATATAGTGGACTTCATGACTGAAGAAAACAAATGGCAAAGAGTCATGAGATCATTGAACCTTAACTATTCCACAAAAGATCTGACAGAAGGAAAGGAATATACTTTCAGAGTAAGAGCTGAGAATGATAATGGAGAGGGAACTCCAAGTGAAATCATTGTTGTGGCAAAAGATGATGTTGGTAAGCACATTCTCATACATACATTATCTTCCTTATTTTCATCAGCAATATGCTGTTTTAAAAAAAAAAAGTACTCGTTGGTACATATATTTGTTTTTCATTGGTAGATACTTTGTTACTCATTGATAATTCCTTTTAGAACTGTATTAATTAGGGGGAAACAAGCTATCTAAGCTCACAAAATAATTATTATTTGCTGTTTTACAGTGGCTCCTGATCTTGATTTGAAAGAGTTGCCTGATTTGTGCTACTTAGCTAAAGAAAATAGCAATTTCCGTCTCAAGATCCCCATAAAAGGCAAGCCTACACCATCAGTAACCTGGAAGAAAGGTGAAGACCCCTTACCAACTGACACAAGAGTTAGTGTTGAGTCTACTGCAGTTAATACAACTCTTGTGGTATATGATTGCCAAAAGTCTGATGCTGGGACATATACAATCACACTGAAGAACATTGCTGGCACTAAGGAAGGAACTCTGTCCATAAAAGTCGTTGGGAAGCCAGGCATCCCCACCGGACCAATCAATTTTGAGGAAGTCACAGCAGATGCCATTACCTTAAAGTGGAAGCCTCCAAAGGATGATGGTGGTTCTGAAATTACCAACTATATCCTAGAGAAAAGAGATTCTGTAAATAACAAATGGATCACATGTGCCTCTGCTGTCCAGAAAACCACCTTCAGAGTTACAAGACTTCACGAGGGAGTAGAATATACTTTCCGAGTCAGTGCTGAAAATAAATATGGCGTAGGCGAGGGCCTTAAATCTGAGCCCATTGTTGCCAAATATCCATTTGGTATGTATCTGAAAGTCGGAAATCAAAATGCAAAACAGTGGGATTTTTTTTCTTTATTATAACCTTATGTTATTATATGTTTTCCTAGATGTACCAGATGCTCCTCCACCCCCCAATATCGTGGAGGTCAGACATGATTCTGTTTCTTTAACTTGGACAGACCCTAAAAAAACTGGTGGCTCACCAATCACAGGTACCGTATTTGATTTCATTTTATTGTTACCTTCACTTTCATTTTCCCTTCCTCCTATATCCTCCTACAGGGTGTTAAATATAGATCCTTTCCTTTTAGTTCTACTGGCACATAACTTTAACAATTCTCTGATATTTCCCTTTTAGTGCACTGCTTAATACTCAGAATTTGCTAAAGCAACTCACTGACAAAGAACCTTCTTAGTGGGATATAAATATTTTGTGAGTTAAAACTTTCATCAAAAAGTTGTGATTAATCATATCTTAAGAAAAAAAAAATGTTGCCCCAACAAAACCCTCTGTTTAGTGTATAGACAAGCAGAAGTGTAATCCTGGGTAATCATGTCACTATTGAGAGTGATGTGCAATTGCTTGATTAGCGTGTGCATATATAGGGCTTGTAACTGATACCCTGCTTTGAAACTGTTAATCATGAGACTGCATTGATATCTTCCATCTGGATTAAAATGCTATCTTCTTCTTTGGTAGGGTATCATATTGAATTCAAGGACAGGAACAGTCTTATGTGGAAGAGAGCTAATAAGACACCTATTAGAATGAGAGACTTCAAAGTAACAGGACTAACCGAAGGTCTTGAATATGAATTTAGAGTTATGGCGATCAATTTGGCTGGAGTTGGCAAACCAAGTCTGCCATCTGAGCCCGTTGTAGCACTTGATCCAATTGGTAAGCCATTCAGAGAGGGGAAGATGCCTAGCCTCATTTGCTTCATGAAGAAAACATTGACATTTGTTTGACCTTGGCATTATTTGTCTTGTTTTACTTTTATTTTTTCAGATCCCCCTGGAAAACCTGAGGTGATTAATGTCACGAGGAATTCTGTGACTCTCATTTGGACTGAACCTAAATATGATGGTGGTCATAAACTGACTGGATACATAGTGGAGAAACGGGATCTGCCTTCAAAGTCTTGGATGAAGGCAAACCACATTAATGTCCCAGACTGTGTCTATACTGTAACTGATCTTATCGAGGGTGGAAAATATGAATTCAGAATTAGAGCCAAGAACACTGCAGGAGCTATCAGTGCTCCATCAGAAAGCACAGAAACCATTATTTGCAAGGATGAATATGGTATGTCTTAGTTTATTTTCTTTTTCTTTGTTTATATTTGTTTATCTTTTGGTTCATATCTGAGATTTCATCAGTGTAGGGAACTCTTGATTTGGAAACTCCCTCCACTAATACAGATCAACAACTCATATGTAATATATATGCTAGAGATACTTGAGACACTGAGACATTAAGTGACTTGCTCATAGTTTCAAAGCCTATATATGTCTTGGGTGGGCCTTGAAGCCCAGTATTCCTGACTTCAAGACTATCTCTCTATCTTCTACAAACTATCCCTTATTCCTCATTTAAATATATGAAATAATTAAAATAACATAAACATCCTTCTCTCCTTTTTTTCTGACTAAAAAAAATCTTCTTTTACAGAGGCACCATCCATTGTCCTTGATCCTACCATAAAAGATGGCTTAACAGTCAAAGCAGGAGATACCATTGTTTTGAACGCCATCAGCATCCTTGGCAAACCACTACCAAAATCAAGCTGGTCCAAGGCAGGAAAAGACTTTAGGCCATCAGACATTGTCCAGATCAGTTCAACGCCAACGTCTTCCATGCTCAGTGTTAAATATGCCTCCAGAAAAGATGCAGGAGAATATACAATCACTGCCACTAATCCTTTTGGAACAAAGGAGGAGCATGTACGTGTAACAGTTCTGGATGTTCCTGGCCCACCAGGACCTATTGAAATCAGCAATGTCTCAGCTGAAAAAGCTACCCTTACATGGACACCTCCCCTAGAAGATGGAGGTTCTCCAATTAAGTCTTACATTCTTGAAAAGAGAGAAACTAGCCGGCTTTTGTGGACAGCTGTTTCTGAAGATATTCAATCTTGTCGCCACGTGGTGACTAAGCTGATCCAAGGAAATGAATACCTCTTCCGTGTCTCAGCTGTGAATCAGTATGGTAAGGGCGAACCCGTACAATCAGAACCAGTCAAAATGGTGGACAGATTTGGTAAGTAAAACATTTGGGAAGTTAATCACTTGAGACGTTAGAGGTGTTCATATATACCTTTGTTTTTCATAAATTCTTCTTCCTTTTTAGGCCCTCCTGGCCCTCCTGGAAAGCCAGAAGTATCAAATGTGACCAAGAATACTGCTACTGTCAGTTGGAAAAGACCAACTGATGATGGCGGTAGTGAAATCACAGGATACCATGTGGAAAGGAGAGAAAAGAAAGGTCTACGATGGGTGCGAGCAACAAAGACCCCTGTGTCTGACCTCAGATGCAAAGTGACAGGACTTCAGGAAGGAAACACATATGAATTCCGTGTCAGTGCAGAAAATAAAGCAGGAATTGGCCCACCAAGTGATGTTTCAAATTCAGTACTAATGAAGGATGCAGCATGTTAGTATTATTCTTTTCCATATAGTGTTATCTTCAGAGTTTTGAATATTAAGTTATTGATATTAAATTATTAGAATTTTAATGTTAAATTAAAGGTTAAATATAAAATATTTAAGGGTGAACTAATATGTGCTTTTGTTTCCATATTAACTTCACAGATCCACCAGGACCACCTTCAAATGTACGAGTGACTGATACTACAAAGAAATCTGCTTCTTTAGCTTGGGGCAAACCCCATTACGATGGTGGACTTGAAATCACAGGCTATATAGTAGAGCATCAGAAAGAAGGAGATGAGGCCTGGATAAAAGATACAACAGGAACTGCCCTCAGGATCACAGAATTTGTTGTGCCTGATCTTCAAACAAAAGAAAAATACAATTTCAGAATCAGTGCCATCAATGATGCAGGTGTTGGAGAGCCAGCAGTGATTCCAAATGTTGAAATCATAGAACGTGAATTGGCTCCTGATTTTGAATTAGATGCAGAGCTTCGAAGAACACTTGTTGTTAGAGCAGGGCTAAGCATTAGAATATTTGTACCAATTAAAGGTCGTCCAACTCCTGAAGTCACTTGGACAAAAGATGGTGTAAACCTTAAAACCCGTGCCAACATTGAAAACACAGAATCCTTTACTCTTCTGATTATTCCAGAATGTAATAGATATGACACTGGCAAATTTGTGATGACTATAGAAAATGCTGCCGGTAAGAAAAGTGGATTTGTCAATGTTAGAGTCTTGGATACACCTGGGCCTGTGCTCAATCTGAGGCCTACTGAGATCACGAGGGAGAGTGCCACCCTGCACTGGGACCTGCCTCTGATAGATGGGGGCTCTCGCATAACAAACTACATTGTAGAAAAACGTGAAGCCACACGGAAATCGTATTCTACGGCCACAACCAAGTGCCATAAATGTACTTATAAAGTGACTGGCTTATCTGAAGGGTGTGAATATTTCTTCAGAGTGATGGCAGAAAATGAATATGGAATTGGTGAACCAACAGAGACCACAGAGCCCGTAAGGGCCTCAGAGGCACCATCACCACCAGACAGCCTTAATATCATGGATATAACTAAGAACACAGTCAGCCTGGCATGGCCTAAACCAAAGCATGATGGAGGCAGTAAGATCACTGGCTATGTGATTGAAGCCCAGAGAAAAGGCTCTGACCAGTGGACACACATCACAACCGTAAAGGGATTAGAATGTGTTGTAAAGAACTTAACTGAAGGGGAAGAATATACTTTCCAAGTTATGGCAGTGAACAGCGCTGGGAGAAGTGCCCCAAGAGAAAGCAGGCCAGTCATTGTAAAGGAGCAGACGATGCTTCCAGAATTGGACCTTCGTGGCATTTACCAGAAACTGGTCATTGCCAGAGCTGGCGAGAATATCAAAGTGGAGATTCCAGTGCTTGGTCGGCCTAAACCAACCGTCACATGGAAAAAAGGAGATCAAGTTCTGAAACAAACCCAAAGAGTTAATTTTGAGAATACTGCCACTTCAACCATTCTAAATATCCATGAATGTACAAGAAGTGATAGTGGACCTTACCCACTATCAGCAAAGAATATTGTAGGAGAAGTTGGAGATGTCATCACCATCCAGGTGCATGACATCCCAGGCCCACCGACTGGTCCAATCAAGTTTGATGAAGTTTCATCTGATTTTGTTACCTTTTCTTGGGAACCTCCAGAGAATGATGGAGGAGTACCCATCAGCAACTATGTTGTTGAAATGCGTCAAACTGACAGTACCACATGGGTTGAACTGGCAACCACTGTAATACGTACTACCTATAAAGCAACTCGCCTTACTACTGGGGTGGAGTATCAATTCCGGGTAAAAGCTCAAAACAGATATGGAGTTGGACCAGGTATCACCTCAGCATCTGTCGTTGCCAACTATCCATTTAAAGTTCCTGGGCCTCCTGGTACTCCACAAGTGACTGCAGTCACCAAAGAATCAATAACCATCAGCTGGCATGAGCCTCTAACTGATGGTGGAAGTCCCATTTTAGGATATCATGTTGAAAGAAAAGAAAGAAATGGTATTCTCTGGCAGACTGTGAGTAAAGCATTAGTGCCAGGGAACATTTTTAAATCAAGTGGCCTAACAGACGGCATTGCTTATGAGTTCCGAGTGATTGCAGAAAATATGGCTGGCAAAAGCAAGCCAAGCAAGCCATCTGAACCTACACTTGCCTTGGACCCCATTGATCCACCCGGGAAACCAATTCCTCTCCATATTACTAGGCATACAGTAACACTTAAATGGGCTAAGCCTGAGTATACTGGAGGATTCAAGATCACTAGCTACATTGTTGAAAAGAGAGACCTTCCCAATGGTCGTTGGCTGAAGGCCAACTTCAGCAATATTTTGGAGAATGAATTCACAGTCAGTGGCTTAACTGAGGATGCTGCATATGAATTCCGTGTGATTGCCAAAAATGCTGCTGGTGCTGTAAGTCCGCCCTCCGAGCCTTCAGATGCCATAACATGCAGAGATGACATCGAAGCACCAAGGATCATGGTGGATGTTAAATACAAAGACACGCTCGTATTAAAAGCAGGCGAAGTTTTTAAGCTTGAAGCAGATGTTTCTGGTCGGCCACCACCAACAATGGAATGGACCAAAGATGGAAAGGAGCTTGAAGGCACAGCAAAATTAGAAATAAAAACAGCAGATTTCTCTACAAATCTAGTTAACAAAGATTCATCAAGAAAGGACAGTGGGGCATATGTACTTACAGCTACTAATCCTGGTGGTTTTGCCAAACACATTTTCAATGTTAAAGTTCTTGATAGACCAGGTCCACCTGAAGGACCTTTGGCTGTGACTGAAGTTACTGCAGAAAAGTGTGTATTATCATGGTTACCTCCACTAGATGATGGAGGTGCCAGCATTGACCACTATGTAGTACAAAAACGTGAAACCAGCAGATTGGCATGGACAAATGTAGCCTCTGAAGTACAGCTAACAAAACTAAAGGTCACCAAATTACTGAAAGGCAATGAATATGTGTTCCGTGTTATGGCTGTTAATAAATATGGGGTAGGAGAGCCCCTTGAATCAGAACCTATCCTTGCAGTAAATCCATACAGACCCCCAGATCCTCCCAAAAATCCTGAAGTTACAGCTATTACTAAGGACTCTATGGTTGTCTGTTGGGGACATCCTGATTCTGATGGAGGAAGTGAAATTATCAATTACATTGTGGAACGCCGAGATAAAACTGGCCAACGATGGGTGAAATGTAATAAAAAAGCTGTCACTGACTTAAGGTACAAGGTATCTGGACTGACAGAAGGACATGAATATGAGTACAGGATCATGGCTGAAAATGCTGCTGGAATTAGTGCACCAAGTGCTACGAGTCCATTTTATAAAGCTTGTGACACTGTCTTTAAGCCTGGCCCACCAGGAAATCCACGTGTTCTAGACACAAGCAGATCATCAATTTCAATTGCTTGGAATAAACCAATCTATGATGGTGGCTCAGAAATCACAGGGTATATGGTTGAGATAGCACTGCCTGAAGAAGATGAGTGGAAGATTGTCACACCTCCAGCAGGACTCAAGGCAACCTCTTATACTATCACCAACCTCAAAGAAAATCAAGAATACAAAATCCGTATCTATGCCATGAATTCTGAAGGAATTGGTGAACCTGCACTTGTTCCTGGAACTCCAAAGGCTGAGGAAAGGATGCTGCCTCCAGAGATTGAATTGGATGCTGACCTACGTAAAGTTGTCACCATAAGGGCTTGCTGTACCCTAAGACTATTTGTTCCGATCAAAGGAAGACCAGCACCAGAAGTGAAATGGACAAGAGAACATGGAGAATCTTTAGATAAAGCTAGCATTGAATCAACAAGCTCTTATACGTTGCTTATTGTTGGAAATGTCAACAGATTTGATAGTGGCAAGTATATACTAACTATAGAAAACAGTTCAGGTAGCAAATCGGCATTTGTCAATGTCAGGGTTCTTGATACACCGGGACCACCCCAGGATTTGAAAATCAAAGAAGTCACTAAATCATCTGTCACACTGACTTGGGAACCTCCTCTCCTAGATGGAGGCTCCAAGATAAAGAACTACATTGTTGAAAAGCGTGAATCCACAAGAAAAGCTTACTCAACTGTTGCAACAAATTGCCATAAGACTTCCTGGAAAGTAGACCAACTACAAGAAGGTTGCAATTATTATTTTAGAGTTCTGGCAGAAAATGAGTATGGAATTGGCCTCCCAGCTGAAACTGCAGAGTCTGTTAAAGTATCAGAAAGACCACTTCCTCCAGGAAAGATAACTCTACTAGATGTCACAAGAAATAGTGTGTCACTCTCTTGGGAGAAACCAGAACATGATGGAGGAAGTAGAATTCTAGGCTACATCGTGGAGATGCAGAGCAAAGGCAGTGATAAGTGGGCAACATGTGCCACAGTCAAAGTCACCGAAGCCACAATTACTGGATTGATTCAGGGTGAAGAGTATTCATTCCGTGTTTCAGCCCAGAATGAAAAAGGAATCAGCGATCCTCGACAGCTTAGCGTACCAGTCATTGCCAAAGACCTTGTCATTCCACCAGCCTTCAAACTGTTATTTAACACTTTCACAGTGCTAGCAGGTGAAGATCTAAAAGTTGATGTCCCATTTATTGGACGTCCAACTCCAACCGTGACCTGGCACAAAGATGATGTGCCTCTGAAACAGACTACTAGAATAAATGCAGAAAGCACAGAAAATAACACACTGTTGACAATAAAGGAAGCATGCCGGGAAGATGTTGGCCACTATGTAGTTAAACTTGTAAACTCAGTAGGTGAAGCCACTGAAACCCTTAATATTATTGTTCTTGACAAACCAGGGCCTCCTACTGGACCCGTTAAAATGGATGAAGTGACTGCAGATAGTATTACTCTGTCCTGGGAACCACCAAAATATGATGGTGGAAGTTCTATCAATAATTATATTGTGGAGAAAAGGGACACTTCTACAACTACCTGGCATATTGTGTCAGCTACTGTTGCAAGAACAACAATAAAAGCCTGCCGACTGAAGACTGGATGTGAATATCAGTTCAGAATTGCAGCTGAAAATAGATATGGAAAAAGTACTTATCTCACATCAGAGCCTATTGTAGCCCAATATCCATTCAAAGTTCCTGGACCTCCAGGAACACCTTTCGTGACAGCTTCGTCCAAAGACAGTATGGAGGTCCAATGGAATGAGCCAGTCAATGATGGTGGTAGCAGAGTTATTGGTTATCATTTAGAACGTAAAGAGAGAAATAGCATCCTCTGGGTAAAATTGAACAAAACACCTATTCCACAAACCAAATTTAAAACAACTGGCCTTGAAGAAGGAATTGAGTATGAATTTAGAGTCTGTGCAGAAAACATTGTGGGCATTGGCAAGCCTAGTAAAGTGTCTGAATGTTACGTAGCTCGTGACCCATGTGATCCACCAGGTCGACCAGAAGCAATAATTGTCACAAGGAACTCTGTGACTCTTCAGTGGAAGAAACCCACCTACGATGGTGGAAGCAAGATCACTGGCTATATTGTTGAGAAGAAAGAATTACCAGATGGCCGCTGGATGAAAGCCAGCTTTACTAATGTCATTGAAACTCAATTTGAAGTAACCGGCCTAGTTGAAAATCAGAGATATGAGTTCCGGGTTATAGCACGAAATGCTGCAGGAGTATTTAGTGAGCCATCTGAAAGCACAGGAGCAATCACAGCAAGAGATGAAGTAGACCCTCCACGGATAAGTATGGATCCAAAGTATAAAGACACAATTGTAGTCCACGCTGGTGAGTCATTCAAGATTGAAGCTGATGTTTATGGCAAACCCATACCAACCATACAGTGGACAAAAGGTGATCAAGAACTTTCAAACACAGCTCATTTAGAAATAAAAAGTACTGATTTTGCCACCTGCCTCAATGTAAAGGAAGCAGGTCGTGGTGATAGTGGTAATTATGTACTGAAAGCAAAAAATGTTGCTGGAGAGAGATCAGTTACTGTAAATGTCAAAGTTCTTGATAGGCCAGGACCACCTGAAGGACCTATTGCTGTGTCTGGAGTTACTGCTGAAAAATGTACATTAGCATGGAAACCCCCACTCCAAGATGGTGGTAGTGATATCATAAACTACATTGTGGAAAGAAGAGAAACCAGCCGTTTAGTCTGGACTGTGGTTGATGCCAATGTGCAAACACTTAGTTGCAAGGTTACCAAACTCCTAGAAGGAAATGAATATACCTTCCGCATAATGGCTGTAAACAAATATGGTGTTGGTGAACCTCTTGAATCTGAGCCAGTCATTGCCAAGAACCCATTTGTTGTGCCAGATGCACCAAAGGCACCAGAAGTTACTACAGTGACCAAAGACTCAATGACTGTTGTATGGGAAAGACCAGCATCTGATGGTGGCAGCGAAATTCTTGGTTATGTCCTTGAAAAACGGGATAAGGAAGGCATCCGATGGACAAGATGCCACAAGGGTTTGGTTGGGGAATTGCGTTTAAGAGCAACTGGACTCATAGAAAACCATCATTATGAATTTAGAGTCTCAGCTGAAAATGCTGCTGGTCTCAGTGAACCAAGTCTTCCTTCTACTTACCAAAAAGCTTGTGATCCTATTTATAAGCCAGGACCACCAAATAACCCCAAAGTCACAGATATTACAAGGTCTTCAGTTTTCCTCTCATGGAGCAAACCCGTTTATGATGGTGGCAGTGAAATCCAGGGATACATAGTTGAAAAATGTGATGTCAGTGTTGGGGAATGGACAATGTGTACTCCACCAACCGGAATCAAGAAAACAAATATAGAAGTAGAAAAGTTGTTGGAAAAGCATGAATACAATTTCCGTATCTGTGCTGTTAATAAAGCTGGAGTTGGAGAACATGCTGATGTACCTGGGCCTATTATAGTTGAAGAAAAATTGGAAGCTCCAGACATTGAGCTTGATCTAGAATTAAGGAAAGTAATAAATATAAGAGCAGGTGGTTCCTTGAGGTTGTTTGTTCCCATTAGAGGTCGCCCTACACCAGAAGTTAAGTGGGGAAAGATGGATGGTGAAATCCGGGATGCAGCTCTAATTGATGTCACATCCAGCTTTACGTCTCTTGTCCTTGAAAATGTGAACAGATATGACAGTGGAAAATATACTCTCACCTTAGAAAACAGTAGTGGAACAAAGTCTGCCTTTGTTACTGTGAGAGTCTTGGATACACCAAGTCCACCTGTTAACCTTAAAATAACAGAAATCACCAAAGACTCAGTATCAATCACATGGGAACCACCTCTGTTGGATGGAGGATCCAAAATAAAAAATTATATTGTTGAGAAACGTGAAGCTACAAGAAAATCTTATGCTGCTGTTGTAACAAACTGCCATAAGCACTCATGGAAAATAGATCAACTTCAAGAGGGCTGCAGTTACTACTTTAGAGTTACAGCTGAAAATGAATATGGTATTGGCCTTCCTGCCCACACTGCTGACCCAATTAAGGTTGCTGAAGTTCCACAACCACCAGGAAAAATAACAGTGGATGATGTCACGAGAAACAGTGTTTCCCTAAGCTGGACAAAGCCAGAACATGATGGTGGCAGCAAAATTATACAATATATTGTTGAAATGCAAGCTAAGCACAGTGACAAATGGTCAGAGTGTGCCCGTGTTAAGAACTTGGAAGCAGTAATTACGAACTTAACCCAAGGAGAAGAATATCTATTTAGAGTTGTTGCTGTAAATGAAAAGGGAAAGAGTGATCCTAGGTCCCTTGCTGTTCCAGTAATTGCCAAAGATCTAGTTATTGAGCCAGATGTAAGACCTGCATTCAACAGTTATAGCATCCAAGTTGGTCAGGATTTAAAAATAGAAGTTCCAATTTCTGGACGTCCTAAGCCTACCATTACCTGGACAAAAGATGGCCAACCACTAAAACAGACAACAAGATTCAATGTTACTGATCTGCCTGACCTTACTGTGCTTACCATTAAAGAAACCCACAAGGAAGATGGTGGAACGTATGGAATCACAGTTGCCAATATTGTTGGACAAAAATCTGCTTCCATTGAAATTATAACTCTAGACAAGCCTGATCCACCAAAAGGCCCTGTGAAATTTGATGAGGTCAGTGCTGAGAGTATTACATTATCTTGGAATCCTCCACTATATACAGGTGGTTGCCAAATCACTAACTACATTGTTCAAAAGAGAGATACGACCACTACCGTATGGGAAGTTGTTTCTGGTACTGTTGCAAGAACAACCTTAAAAGTGACTAAGCTGAAAACTGGCACAGAATACCAATTCAGAATATTTGCTGAAAACAGATATGGACAAAGTTTTGCCTTAGAATCTGATCCTGTTGTAGCCCAATATCCCTACAAAGAACCAGGCCCTCCTGGCACACCATTTGTTAATACCATTTCTAAAGATTCTATGGTTGTACTGTGGCATGAACCAATTAATAATGGTGGAAGTCCAGTCATTGGTTACCACCTTGAGAGAAAGGAAAGAAACAGTATTTTGTGGACAAAGGTCAACAAAACTATTATCCATGACACCCAGTTTAAAGTACTTAACCTTGAAGAAGGTATTGAATATGAATTCAGAGTTTATGCTGAAAATATTGTTGGCATAGGCAAAGCAAGCAAAACTTCAGAATGTTATGTGGCCCGTGATCCCTGTGACCCGCCAGGAACTCCAGAAGCAATCATGGTCAAGAGAAGTGAAATTACTCTACAATGGACCAAGCCTGTATATGATGGTGGAAGCATGATCACTGGCTATATTGTTGAGAAACGGGATTTGCCTGAGGGCCGCTGGATGAAAGCCAGTTTCACAAATGTCATTGAAACACAATTCACTGTCACTGGCCTTACTGAAAATGAAAGGTATGAATTCAGAGTGATTGCAAAGAATGCTGCAGGTGCAGTAAGTAAACCCTCTGACAGTACTGGACCTATAACAGCCAAGGATGAAGTTGAACTTCCAAGAATCTCAATGGATCCAAAATACAGAGACACAATTGTGGTCAATGCTGGAGAAACATTCAGACTTGAGGCTGATGTCTATGGAAAGCCCCTACCTACCATTGAGTGGTTAAAAGGAGATAAAGAAGTTGAAGAATCTGCTAGATGTGAAATAAAGAATACAGATTTCAAAGCACTGATCATTGTAAAAGATGCCATAAGAATTGATGGTGGACAATATATTTTAAGAGCTTCTAATGTTGCAGGTTCTAAGTCATTCCCAGTAAATGTAAAAGTGTTAGACAGACCAGGGCCTCCAGAAGGTCCTATTCAGGTAACTGGAGTCACTTCTGAAAAATGCTCATTAACTTGGTCTCCACCCCTTCAAGATGGTGGCAGTAACATTTCCCACTATGTTGTTGAAAAAAGAGAAACCAGCCGACTTGCATGGACTGTTGTTGCTCCAGAAGTTGTAACCAATACATTGAAAGTAACCAAACTTTTAGAAGGAAACGAATATATTTTCCGTGTAATGGCTGTTAACAAATATGGAGTTGGTGAGCCTTTGGAATCTGCACCAGTACTAATGAAAAATCCATTTGTGCTTCCTGGTCCACCAAAGAACTTAGAAGTAACAAATATTGCCAAGGACTCCATGACAGTCTGCTGGAATCGTCCAGACAGTGATGGTGGAAGCGAGATTATTGGCTATATTGTAGAAAAGAGGGACAGAAGTGGCATTAGATGGATCAAGTGCAATAAGCGGCGAATTACAGATTTGCGATTAAGAGTTACAGGATTGACAGAAGATCATGAATATGAATTTAGAGTATCTGCAGAAAATGCTGCTGGAGTTGGAGAACCAAGTCAGGCTACAGTTTATTATAAGGCTTGTGACCCTGTATTCAAACCTGGCCCACCCACCAATGCCCACCTTGTAGACACCACCAAAAATTCAATTACACTTGCATGGAGCAAGCCCATTTATGACGGTGGCAGTGAAATCCTGGGATACTTAGTAGAGATCTGTAAAGCAGATGAAGATGACTGGAAAGTAGTGACACCACAGACTGGCTTGAAAGTCACTCGATTTGAGATTTCAAAGCTTATCGAACATCAGGAATATAAGATACGGGTTTGTGCTCTCAATAAAGTTGGTTTAGGTGAGCCTGCATCAGTACCTGGTACTGTGAAACCAGAAGATAAACTTGAACCTCCTGAACTTGACCTTGATTCAGAATTAAGGAAAGGAATAGTAGTCAGAGCTGGTGGATCTGCCAGAATTCACATTCCATTCAAAGGCCGACCAACACCTGATATTATTTGGTCTCGAGAGGAAGGTGAATTTACTGATAAAGTTCAAATTGAAAAAGGCTTAAACTATACCCAATTATCAATAGAAAACTGTGATAGAAATGACGCTGGAAAATACATCCTCAAACTGGAAAATAGCAGCGGCTCCAAATCTGCATTTGTTACTGTGAAAGTCCTAGATACTCCAGGACCTCCACAAAACTTGGCAGTTAAAGAAGTGAGGAAAGATTCTGTCACACTGGTCTGGGAACCACCTATCATTGATGGTGGTGCAAAGATTAAGAACTATGTAATTGACAAGCGAGAATCCACCCGAAAGGCATATGCTAATGTGAGTGCCAAATGCAACAAAACAAGTTTCAAAGTTGAAAATCTTACTGAAGGAGCCATTTATTACTTCAGAGTTATGGCAGAAAATGAATTTGGAGTTGGGGCTCCAGTGGAAACTCTTGATGCAGTGAAAGCAGCTGAGCCTCCTTCACCACCTGGGAAGGTTACACTAACTGACGTGTCTCAAACCAGTGCCTCACTTATGTGGGAGAAACCTGAACATGATGGAGGTAGCAGAGTTTTGGGCTATGTGGTTGAAATGCAACCGAAAGGAACGGAAAAATGGAGTGTTGTTGCTGAATCCAAAGTTTGCAATGCAGTTATTTCTGGTCTAAGTTCTGGGCAGGAATATCAGTTCCGAGTCAAGGCTTACAATGAAAAAGGAAAAAGTGATCCAAGAGTCCTTGGTGTTCCAGTCATAGCTAGAGATTTGACTATTCAACCAAGTTTCAAGTTGCCATTTAACACATATAGTGTCCAGGCTGGAGAAGATCTCAAGATAGAAATACCAGTTATAGGTCGACCTAGGCCTAAAATTTCTTGGGTAAAAGATGGTGAGGCTCTTAAACAGACAACCAGAGTCAATGTTGAAGAAACAGCCACATCAACTATTTTACACATTAAAGAAAGCAACAAAGATGACTTTGGAAAATATAAAATAACAGCGACAAACACTGCAGGCACGGCAACAGAAGATCTTAGCATAATAGTTTTGGAAAAACCTGGGCCACCAGCTGGACCGGTTCGCTTCGATGAAGTTAGTGCAGACTTTGTGGTCATATCCTGGGAACCACCAATATACACTGGTGGCTGTCAAATAAGCAATTATATTGTAGAGAAACGTGATACAACCACTACCACCTGGCAAATGGTATCAGCAACAGTAGCAAGGACAACAATTAAAATAACCAAACTTAAAACAGGCAGTGAATACCAATTCAGGATTTTTGCTGAAAACAGATATGGAATGAGTCCCTCACTAGATTCCAAACCAGTTGTTGTACAATATCCATTTAAAGAACCTGGGCCACCTGGAACTCCTTTTGTGACATCCATATCAAAAGATCAAATGCTTGTAGAGTGGCATGAGCCTGTCAATGATGGCGGGAGCAAAGTTATTGGTTACCATCTTGAACAGAAAGAAAAGAATAGCATTCTTTGGATGAAGTTAAACAAAATCCCCATTCAAGACACCAAGTTTAAAACTACTGGACTTGATGAAGGCCTTGAGTATGAATTCAAAGTTTCTGCTGAAAATATTGTTGGCATTGGAAAACCTAGCAAAGTATCTGAGTGCTTTGTTGCTCGTGATCCATGTGACCCACCTGGCCGCCCCGAAGCCATTGTTATAACAAGAAACTATGTCACGTTGAAATGGAAAAAACCTGCCTATGATGGTGGTAGCAAAATAACAGGCTATACTGTAGAAAAGAAAGATCTACCTGATGGTCGTTGGATGAAAGCCAGCTTTACCAATGTGCTAGAAACAGAATTTACAGTGAGTGGGCTTGTAGAAGACCAAAGATATGAATTCAGAGTAATAGCAAGAAATGCAGCTGGAAACGTTAGTGAGCCATCAGAAAGCACTGGTGCAATTACTGCTAGAGATGAAATTGATGCACCCAATGCTTCCTTGGACCCAAAATACAAAGACATGATTGTTGTTCATGCAGGAGAGACCTTTGTTCTGGAAGCTGACATCCGTGGTAAGCCTATACCTGACATCGTGTGGATAAAAGATGGGAAAGAGCTTGAGGAAACAGCAGCCAGAATGGAAATTAAATCTACTATACAAAAAACAACTCTTGTTGTCAAAGACTGCATAAGAACTGATGGGGGACAGTATATCTTGAAGCTCAGCAACGTTGGTGGTACAAAGTCTATACCAATAACTGTAAAAGTTCTTGATAGGCCAGGACCTCCTGGACCACCTCTGAAAGTTTCAGGAGTTACTGCAGAAAAATGTTACTTGGCATGGAACCCACCTCTGCAAGATGGTGGTGCTGGTATTTCTCATTACATCATTGAGAAGAGAGAAACAAGCAGACTCTCGTGGACCCAGGTTTCAACTGAAGTACAGGCACTGAACTACAAAGTTACTAAACTTCTTCCAGGCAATGAGTATATATTCCGTGTCATGGCTGTGAACAAATATGGAATTGGAGAGCCACTGGAATCTGAGCCTGTCATAGCCTGTAATCCATATAAGCCACCAGGTCCTCCTTCAACACCTGAAGCCTCAGCAATCACTAAAGATTCAATGGTAGTAACATGGGCACGTCCGGTAGACGATGGTGGAGCTGAAATTGAGGGCTATATACTTGAAAAGCATGATAAAGATGGCATCAGATGGACTAAATGCAATAAGAAAACACTAACAGATCTACGACTCAGAGTGACTGGACTTACAGAAGGCCACTCCTATGAATTCAGAGTTGCAGCCGAGAATGCAGCCGGCATGGGTGAATTTAGTGAGCCTTCTGTTTTCTATCGTGCGTGTGATGCTTTGTATCCACCAGGCCCCCCAAGCAATCCTAAAGTAACAGACACGTCTAGATCTTCAGTATCTCTGGCATGGAATAAGCCCATCTACGATGGTGGTGCTCCTGTTAAAGGCTATGTTGTGGAATTCAAAGAGGCTGCTGCTGATGAATGGACAACCTGTACACCACCAACAGGTCTACAAGGAAAGCAGTTCACTGTTACTAAACTTAAAGAAAATGGTGAATATAACTTCCGCATATGTGCCATCAACTCAGAAGGTGTTGGTGAACCTGCAACCATACCTGGATCAGTTGTTGCTGCTGAAAGGATTGAGCCTCCTGAAATTGAACTTGATGCTGATCTAAGGAAGGTTGTCATTCTTCGTGCAAGTGCCACCTTGAGATTATTTGTTACCATCAAAGGTAGACCAGAACCCGAAGTCAAATGGGAAAAAGCAGAAGGCACTCTCACTGAGAGAGCCCAGATTGAGGTAACCAGCTCATATACGATGTTGGTTATTGATAATGTTACCAGATTTGACAGTGGTAGATATAACCTGACTCTAGAAAATAACAGTGGCTCTAAAACAGCTTTTGTTAATGTCAGAGTTCTTGATTCACCAAGTGCACCTGTGAATTTGATTGTGAAAGAAGTGAAGAAAGATTCAGTAACATTGTCTTGGGAACCACCACTTATTGATGGTGGAGCTAAAATTACAAATTACATTGTTGAAAAACGAGAATCTACAAGAAAAGCATATGCCACTATTACAAACAATTGCACTAAGACCACTTTCAAAATCGACAATCTCCAAGAAGGGTGTACTTACTTCTTCCGTGTCTTGGCTTCAAATGAATATGGGATTGGTTTGCCAGCTGAAACAACAGAACCAGTTAAAGTGTCTGAACCACCCCTGCCACCTGGAAGAGTTACTCTTGTGGATGTGACACGTAACACTGCCACCATTAAATGGGAGAAACCAGAAAGTGATGGTGGCAGTAAAATTACTGGTTATGTAGTAGAAATGCAGACTAAAGGAAGTGAGAAATGGAGCACTTGCACACATGTAAAGACACTAGAAGCCACTGTGTCTGGTCTGACTACTGGAGAAGAGTATACCTTTAGGGTATCTGCAGTTAATGAAAAAGGGAAAAGTGACCCTAGACAACTTGGAGTACCAGTAGTTGCAAAAGATATTGAAATTAAACCCTCAGTTGAGCTTCCTTTCAACACTTTCAATGTTAAAGCTGGAGACCAACTCAAGATTGATGTGCCATTTAGTGGGAGACCCGTGCCTACCGTAAGCTGGAAAAAAGATGGACAAACCTTAAAAGAGACAACTAGAGTAAATGTTCAGTCATCAAAGACAGTAACATCGTTAATTATCAAGGAAGCTTCAAGAGAAGATGTTGGAAAGTATGAATTATCCATTTCAAACAGTGCTGGAGTTACAACCGTTTCCATTACCGTAATTGTCCTTGACAGACCAGGACCTCCAGGACCTATACATATTGACGAAGTTAGCTCTGACAATGTAACAATATCTTGGAATCCTCCAGAATATGACGGTGGCTGCCAAATTAGCAATTATATTGTTGAGAAAAGAGATACTACTACTACAACATGGCAAGTAGTATCACAAGCAGTTGCAAGGACATCCATTAAGATAGTTCGCCTGACAACAGGAAGTGAATATCAGTTCCGTGTTTGTGCAGAGAACCGTTACGGTAGGAGTACTTACAGTGAATCATCAGCTGTCGTTGCAGAATACCCGTTCAGTCCGCCAGGTCCTCCTGGAACACCTAAAGTTGTACATGCCACAAAATCCACCATGATCGTAAGTTGGCAAGTACCAGTTAATGATGGAGGAAGTCAAGTAATTGGCTATCACCTTGAGCATAAAGAAAGAAGTAGTATTCTTTGGACAAAAGTAAACAAAACTCTCATTACTGATACACAAATGAAAGTTTCTGGCCTTGATGAAGGACTGATGTATGAATACCGTGTATATGCTGAGAATATTGCAGGAATTGGTAAATGCAGCAAGGCATGTGAGCCAGTTGCTGCAAGAGACCCTTGTGATCCTCCTGGTCAACCAGAAGTTACAAATATTACCAGAAAGTCAGTTTCACTTAAATGGGCTAAACCCCGATATGATGGTGGGGCTAAAATCACAGGTTACCTTATTGAGCGCAGAGAACTGCCAGATGGCCGGTGGTTGAAGTGTAACTTTACCAATGTACAAGAAACTTATTTTGAGGTAACTGAACTTACAGAAGATCAACGTTATGAATTCCGTGTTTTTGCAAGGAATGCTGCTGACTCCATTAGTGAGCCATCTGAATCAACTGGACCCATTACAGTAAAAGACGATGTTGAGGCCCCAAGAATTATGATGGATGTCAAATTTCGTGACATTATCGTGGTCAAAGCTGGGGAAGTCCTTAAAATCAATGCAGACATTTCAGGACGACCTCTACCTATAATATCCTGGTCAAAGGATGGCAAGGAGATTGAAGAAAGAGCAAAGACTGAAATTGTTTCAACAGACTGCACAACTTCATTAACAGTTAAGGACTGTGTGAGACGAGACACTGGTCAGTATGTGTTAACTCTCAAAAATGTTGCAGGAACTCGGTCTACGGCTGTTAACTGCAAAGTCCTTGATAGACCTGGGCCACCAGCAGGACCTCTAGAAATAAATGGCCTAACTGCTGAGAAATGTTCACTTTCCTGGGGACCTCCACAAGAAGATGGTGGTGCAAATATTGACTATTATATTGTAGAAAAACGTGAGACAAGCCGACTTGCATGGACAATTTGTGAAGAAGAATTAAAAACAACATCTTGTAAAGTAACCAAATTACTTAGAGGTAACGAATATATATTTAGAGTCATTGGTGTTAATAAATATGGTGCAGGTGAGCCCCTGGAGAGTGTGGCTGTAAAGGCACTTGACCCCTTTACGGTGCCCAGTCCACCCACATCTTTGGAGATCACATCTGTGACCAAAGATTTCATGACCTTATGCTGGTCAAGACCCGAGAACGATGGGGGTAATGATATCTCTGGATACATAATTGAACGTCGGGAGAAAAACAGCTTACGATGGGTACGTGTAAACAAAAAACCAGTTTATGATCTGAGAGTAAAATCAGCAGGACTTCGGGAAGGATGTGAATATGAATATCGGGTCTATGCAGAAAATGCTGCTGGTCTGAGCCTTCCAAGTGAAACATCACCCTTGGTTCGAGCAGAAGATCCAGTCTTCTTACCCTCTCCTCCGTCTAAACCTAAAATCGTGGACTCAGGAAAAACAAATATAACTATTAGCTGGGTTAAGCCTTTGTTTGATGGAGGGGCCCCAGTTACTGGATACACAGTAGAATATAAGAAATCTGATGAAACTGAGTGGTTAGTTGCCATCCAGAGCTTACGAGGCACTGAATATACAGTAAGTGGTTTAACAACAGGGACTGAATATGTCTTTAGAGTAAGATCAATAAATAAGGTTGGTGCTAGTGATCCAAGTGACAGCTCAGATCCTCAGGTAGCAAAGGAAAGAGAAGAGGAACCTATATTTGACCTTGACAGTGAAATGAAGAAGACTTTGATCGTCAAGGCTGGTGCCTCATTTACCATGACTGTGCCTTTCCGAGGAAGACCAGTACCTAGTGTAATATGGACTAAGCCAGATACTGATCTCCATAATAGAGCTTGTATTGATTCTACAGACACCCGCACATCGCTTAGTATTGAAAATGCCAACAGAAATGACTCTGGAAAATACACGTTAACAATTCAGAATACTTTGAATGCTGCTTCATTGACCTTAGCCGTCAAAGTTCTTGATACCCCCGGGCCACCAACTAACATTAATGTTAAAGATGTAACCAAGGAATCCGCAGTGTTATCATGGGATGTTCCTGAAAATGATGGTGGTGCCCCTGTGAAAAATTACCATATAGAAAAACGAGAGGCCAGTAAGAAATCATGGGTCACCGTGACTAACAACTGCAATCGACTTTCCTATAAAGTGTCCAACCTACAAGAGGGAGCCGTTTACTACTTCAGAGTCTCTGGAGAAAATGAGTTTGGTGTTGGCGTACCCTCTGAGACCAAGGAAGGAGTAAAAATCACAGGTGAGAGCACATGTGAAGGAATAATTTGAATCACCCTAAATAGTTTTTGTTTTAGTCTGAAGATCATGCATTTAGTTTATAAAAAATAGATAATTCCATACAGGATTTCTGCTAAAATTTCCAAATTTCTGAATTTCTAATTATATGAAAAATTTCACAGCTGCAACTATATAATTTTTAAGAATACATCTAGGATGTTTAATTTAAATATAGTTTTTATATTAAGTACATAGTAACCATCATAACACAGTTTGGATATAAGTTAAAATATTCCTTATAACCTAGTCTCTAGGGTTTTTGCTTTTTTTTTTTTTAATTTGTACTGAAGACTATTTGTAAGTAAATAAACCACTTATCATTTAAGTATGAAAGTGGCCATGTTTAGTTATCCTTAGCTATCTGGGACAAAGTTAGCCATACTCAAATTAGTGGTGATAATAATAATAGTTGACACCCATGGAGTTGCTTAAAATTTTCAAAGCACTTTATGTACATGACCTCATTTGGACTTCATTACTCTATGAGGTAAGTGCTATAGGTGTTGTTATCCTCATCTATCAGATGAGGAAATTGAGGCTCACAGAGATGTGGTGAATTCCCATATTTATGTAGTCAGTAAAAATTAAGTCAAGATTAAAGCTCAGGTCTTCTCTTCTTCATGTCTAGTATATGATTAATAAATGTTTATCTATTCAAGTAATACCTTTGGTAACTTTCATGACATACATTTAAGGAGAAAATTATGCTTTGGCTTTGATCTTTCCTTTTTATTTTTTTTCCTTTCTTAGAAAAACCAAGCCCACCTGAAAAACTTGGAGTGGCAAGTGTTTCTAAAGACAGTGTTTCCCTGATATGGCTTAAGCCAGAGCATGATGGTGGAAGCAGAATTGTACACTATATTGTTGAAGCTTTAGAAAAAGGACAGAAGAATTGGATTAAATGTGCAATTGTAAAAACCACTCATCACACTGTTTCCAGTCTGAGAGAAAACTCAGAATACTTCTTCAGAGTGTTTGCTGAAAATCAAGCTGGTAGAAGTGATCCAAGAGAGCTTCTACTTCCTGTTCTTGTAAAAGACCAACTAGGTAAGCCCAGTCATGTTAAACTAAACTTTGAAACCTTCTGCATTGATTTAAATTCATTTTCTCAACTAATTTTTCATTTGGTCTCCTCAAATTTTATGTTTCAGAACCACCTGAGGTTGATATGACTAACTTCCCAAGTCATACTGTCTATGTCAGGGCAGGTTCCAACCTTAAGGTTGACATTCCAATTTCTGGAAAACCACTTCCCAAAGTGACATTATCCAAAGATGGTGTCCCACTAAAAGCAACCATGAGATTTAATACTGAAATTACTGCTGAAAACCTCACCATTAATCTCAAAGAAAGTGTTGCTGCTGATGCTGGAAGGTATGAGATCACTGCTTCCAATGCCAGTGGAACAACAAAAGCATTTATTAACATAATTGTGCTGGACAGACCTGGCCCTCCATCAGGCCCTGTTGTTATCAGTGATGTAACCGAAGATAGTGTGGTTCTCAAGTGGGAGCCACCAAAGTATGACGGTGGAAGTCAAGTGACCAACTATATTGTCCTTAAGAGAGAAACAAATACCGCAGTATGGACTGAAGTTTCTACAACTGTGGCAAGAACCATGATGAAAATCATGAAACTGACAACAGGAGAAGAGTATCAGTTCCGCATCAAAGCTGAAAACCGCTTTGGCATCAGTGATCACACAGATTCAGCTTATGTGACTGTCAAACTCCCATACAGTAAGTTATTATTACAACTTTACATGTTTCCTATATCCCTACAATTTATTTTATCCAAAATGTTTGAAAAGTTTTGTTATTAATCCTTGGGATATTTCTCCATCCACTTAGCAACACCTGGACCACCTTCTACACCGTGGGTCACAAATGTCACCCAAGAGAGCATCACTGTTGGTTGGCATGAGCCAGTGTCCAATGGAGGCAGTGCAGTAATTGGATACCATCTAGAAATGAAGGACAGAAACAGTATTTTATGGCAGAAGGTTAATAAGATGGTCATTCGCACAACTCACTTCAAAGTCAGTACAATCAGTGCTGGACTTATTTATGAATTCAGGGTATATGCAGAAAACGCTGCTGGCATTGGCAAAGCAAGTCATCCTTCTGACCCAGTTCTTGCCATTGATGCCTGTGGTAAGTATTTGTAAGATAGAGTCTGCCTGGTAGAATTACCCATTGGAAATATTCCTGTACTGCATATCTGGTGTACAAGTGAAACTAATCTTGTATTGATTTCCACAGAACCTCCAAGAAATGTCCGTGTCACAGATATTTCAAAAACTTCTGTCAACCTTTTGTGGCAGAAACCAGCTTTTGATGGTGGAAGCAAGATAACAGGCTACATTGTTGAGAAACGTGATCTTCCAGATGGCCGGTGGACCAAAGCCAGCTTCACCAATGTCATTGAGACTCACTTCGTTGTATCTGGCTTAACTCAGAATGCTCAGTATGAATTCCGTGTTTTTGCTAAGAATGCTGTCGGCTCCATTAGCAATCCCTCTGAAATTGTAGGTCCCATTACATGCGTTGACACTTATGGTAAGAATTTTCATCATTTAGAAGAATTTTTTTTCTGAACATATATAATATATATAATATGTCTAAAAAGCAGTTTGATTTTCACTGAAACTATTTTACATACAAGTTCATAAAGCATACTTTACTACTTCGTTTTAATTTTCAAATAGAATGACTTGATATTTTCACTATCAAAATTTAAACATCTTGACTAAATTCCTAGAACCAAGTCCTACAATCATGCCTGAATAGATGAGGAATATTGCTTTCTGAGGTAAATTAAAATGACTTCTTTTATTAGTCATACAATCTCAGATTTAGAGTTTGTGACCTCAGAGCCTGTCAAATTCAACCTCTTAATTTTAAAGATGAGGAAACTGGAACTCAAAACTATTAAGTCAGTTTCCCAGGGTATCTGAGGCAGGATTTGAACCCAGGTTCAAATTTAAAGAATTACATCCTTTAAAATGGGATAAAATAGGGGCAGCTAGGTTTCACAGTGGATAGGGCTCCAGCCTTGGAGTCAGGAGGACCTGAGTTCAAATCCAGACTCAGACACTTGACACTTATTAGCCGTGTGACCCTGGGCAAGTCACTTAATCCCAATTGCCTCACCGAAAAGCAAATATAATATAAAATAAAATAAAATGGCCCTGTCAGCTGACTGTTTTTGCACACTCACTGGTTGCAAAATTGAATGCTGACAAGGTTCAAGTGCTCTGTCATATTTATTCCAAAATATGAGAAGGAAATTTATTGCTATAAATTTGGGCAAACATATCATCTGCTTATTATATGGAATCAGACCTTTAGAGCCAGAAGCCATTTTAGAGTTCATCTAGCCTAATTCATTCATTTTAAAGATGACAGATATACCTAAGGAATCCACTGATGTGAAGTGATCAGCCCAAGGTCATACAGTGAGGTAGAGCAGACCAGGAAGAGAACCCAGGCTTTTTAACTTCTAATCCTTCTCCACCCTTAAAGTACTGCCTAATTCTTTATATTCTAATGATCTAGGGGTTGTTCTCTGCCTTTGGGCTAAAAACTCCTTGAGGACCAGGGCTGTTTGATTTTGCAACCCCTGTGAGGTTATTAAACACTAATTAGGTGCTTAACAAACACTTGCTGATTGATCCGATTGTAGACGTGTTGATCAGGAATGATTAACTTATTTCAGAATATGATGAAGGCCCATCACAATCCTATTGCAATGAAGTTGCCAGACCCCGTCAACTTGGCATAGTGCCTATAAATGCTTAGTTCTGTGGTTAATAAACCTAATTCATCTGAGGCAAGCAGCTCTTCTTTGTCCAAAATTTAGACACAGGTAACCTGGGGATATATTACTAAGATCCTTCTGCCTCTTTGTTTTTGCTTTTGGTTTTTTTTCAAGGAAGAAGGAACCATATAAATAGGAGGTAGTTTGCCAGTAAAAGAAGAAAATAGAAGCAGAAAAGAAAGGAAAAGGGTCCAAGTCAAAGGGCAGAAATTGTTCAGTGACAGGATCAAATGTTGTACTATGTCCTCTTTCATTGTGAGCTCAGTTCCTGTTGTAGGACCTCACTATTCTTACCTCTACTTCACCAGATTGTAAAGTCATAAAATCATGGGTTTATAATTGGAAAGAATTCTAGAGGTGCTCTAGCCCAACTCCATTCATTTTACAAATGAGGAAACTGGGTCCCAGAGAAATTAAGTACTCAAGGTCACATAGATAGCAAGGAATAGGGGTGGGATTTAAATCAAGGCCCCGATTTAAAACCAGTTTTCTTTCCTCTATACTTCACTCCCTCTAAAAGAACTCAGTGTCTATGCAGTAGGTATAGTGTCATTGCAGGTACAAAGAATAGTCATATGAAGTCTAGGTTTCTGTATTATATAACAGAATAGTACTTCATCAATTTTAATTTTTCAAATTTTATTTATTTTTAAGGAATAAAACAACCATTTCTTTAAAAATAAAATAAATAAAATAGTATTAAAAAAAAAGATGATTGCACATGAAACTACAAATCTGTTATGTACAACTTGCTATTCCTTTTGAATATATAATTTCTTTTTTCTTCCTTCCCCCCCCAACCTGCCCCCAAAGATAGCTACCATTAGACACAAATATGTATATGTATGTAAAATCACAAACCCAGGAACTATATAAACAAAACTATAAAAACTTTTTATACAAATAAAATCAGATTTAAATAAATGGCAAAATGTTAATTGTTCATGGATAGTCAGGGCCAATATAATGTAAATGCCATAATATAAATGACAATTTCACCTAAACTAATTCATACGTTCAATGTTGTCCCAATTTTAATTTTCTAGAAACTATTAGAAATAAAAGAAAAATAAGGCCTTACAATACCCACTGGTTTAGTTACTAAAATGTTATGTAATGAAGACTAAAAAGTTTGCCTTCAAATTTGTTGAAGTAACATATGTGTGTGTATATATACCCAAGCTCACATGTATATATATATATATTTTTTCTTATCTATTTACTTTCAGGTGGACCTGCAATTGACTTGCCTTTAGAATATACAGAAGTTGTCAAATATAGAGCTGGAACATCTGTGAAGCTCAGAGCTGGAATCTCTGGCAAACCTGAGCCTACTATTGAATGGTACAAAGATGACAAAGAGTTACAAACAAATGCACTATTATCTATTGAAAACACAACAGACCTTGCATCTATCCTCATCAGAGATGCCAGTCGAATCAATAGTGGACACTATGAATTAAAGCTAAGGAATGCCATGGGTTCTGCATCAGCCAGCATCAGAGTGCAGATACTAGGTAGGAGCTAGATACCAGTTTCTGTCATTCTTTACCTTCCCACATATGAGCAATTATAAACTAGGTTACATATCTTTCAAAACCTTACATATGTACATCTCTTTTTGATTAATAGACAAACCAGGGCCTCCAGGTGGACCAATTGAATTTAAGACTGTCACTGCTGAAAAGATCACCCTCCTTTGGCGGCCTCCAGAAGATAATGGTGGTGCCAAAATAACTCATTACGTTGTAGAGAAACGTGAAACAAGCCGGGTGGTATGGTCTGTAGTGTCTGAAAATCTGGAAGAGTGCATTATTACCACTACCAAACTCATCAAAGGAAATGAATATATCTTTCGGGTCCGAGGTGTGAACAAGTATGGAATTGGTGATCCTCTGGAGTCTGAGCCAGTTGTAGCTAAGAATGCATTTGGTAAGACAGTGAAAAAAGATAACTGAAATAAAATGCATGGCTTATAAATGAGTAGCACATATTTTACTTTATTAGTTTCCCTTCCCTTTCCAAATATCATGACTCATTCTTGAATAGAGTATAACATAGTTTAAAAAAAAAACTCAACCCACATGATTGGGTAGGACTAAAAAATTGTTGAGTGATGGAGTTGTTTTAGCTATATCACTTCTAAAAAGTACATTTTTCTCTTTCTTTAAATAGTTACACCTGGGCCACCCAGTGTACCAGAAGTGACTAAGATTACCAAGAATTCAATGACCGTTGTCTGGAATCGACCAGTTGTGGATGGTGGTAGTGAAGTAAGTGGCTACTTCCTTGAAAAACGTGATAAGAAGAGTCTAGGCTGGTTCAAAGTACTTAAAGAAACTATCCGGGACACCAGACAGAAAGTGACAGGACTTACTGAAAATACCGAATATCACTTCCGAGTTTGTGCTGTAAATGCAGCTGGTCAAGGTCCATTCTCTGAACCATCTGATTTCTACAAAGCTGCAGATCCTGTTGGTAAGGAAATACACATAAACTATCTCCACGTAAATAAATCTCTTCTTTGTTATAAGTGGTTCTTAACATGTGATAAGATCTTGAAACTCATTATGATGGTTCATTACAGATCCACCAGGTCCACCAGCCAAGCTGAGAGTAGTAGATTCAACAAAATCCTCAATTACTCTTAGCTGGAGTAAACCTGTTTATGATGGAGGCAGTGCTGTTACCGGGTATATTGTGGAGATGAGAGAAGGTGACAGTGAAGAATGGACTATTGTCAGTACTAAGGGAGAAGTAAGAACAACAGAGTATGTTGTACCTCTTCTGAAACCTGGAGTCAATTACTATTTCCGTGTATCTGCCCTAAACTGTGCTGGACAAGGAGAACCTATTGAAATGACAGAGCCTGTACAACCCAAAGACATACTTGGTAGGTACTTTACATATTGTTCATATCCTCTTAATGCACGCACGCACACACACACATACACACATACACGCACACCACTTATTTCTTATTTTATCATAAGTAGGTTTTTCTTAATTCCTCTAAAAATTCTGAATATTGAATATCCTTTTTTCCATTATTATTCTACAGAGGAACCAGAGATTGACTTAGATGTGGCTCTTAGAACTTCTATCATTGCAAAAGCTGGTGAAGATGTACAAATCTTGATTCCATTTAAAGGGAGACCTCCACCCACTGTCACTTGGAGAAAAGAAGAAAAGAATCTTGGCAGTGATGCCAGGTACAACATTCAGAACACTGACTCCTCTTCATTACTCATCATCCCTCAAGTTACAAGAAATGATACAGGAAAATATGTCCTAACAATAGAAAATGGAATTGGGGAGCCAAAGTCTTCAACTGTGAGTGTTAAAGTACTTGACACACCAGCTGCCTGCCAGAAATTACAAGTGAAACATGTTTCCCGGGGCACTGTCACCCTGTTTTGGGACCCTCCTCTCATCGATGGTGGCTCTCCCATAATAAATTATGTCATTGAAAAGAGAGATGCCACCAAAAGAACTTGGTCCGTTGTTTCACACAAATGCTCCCATACATCCTTTAAGGTAACAGACTTGTCAGAGAAGACTCCCTATTTCTTCAGAGTCCTTGCAGAAAATGAAAATGGACTAGGGGAGCCCTGTGAAACTACAGAGCCAGTGAAAGCTGCTGAAGTGCCAGCTCCCATACGGGATCTTTCAATGAAGGATTCAACAAAGACATCAGTTACCTTGCAGTGGTCCAAACCTGATTTTGATGGTGGAAGTGTCATCACAGAATATGTTGTTGAGAGGAAAGGCAAAGGTGAACAAACATGGTCACGTGCCGGCATAAGTAAGACATGTGAAATTGTAGTGGACAACCTTAAAGAACTATCAGTCCTAGAATTCAGAGTTTCTGCAAAGAATGAGAAAGGACTGAGTGATAGTGTTGTAATTGGACCAATTACTGTGAAAGAACTTGTCATTCCACCTGAAGTTGACCTCTCAGAAATCCCTGGAGCGCAAATCAGAGTAAGAATTGGTCATAATGTACACCTTGAATTGCCCTACAAAGGAAAACCAAAACCATCTATCAGTTGGCTGAAGGACAGTATGCCACTAAAGGAAAGCGAACAGGTCCGTTTCAGTAAAACAGAAAACAAAATAACTTTGAACATCAAAAATGTGCAAAAAGTGCATGGTGGGAAATATACCATCATTCTAGATAATGCAGTATGCAGAAACTCATTTCCCATTACGATCATCACACTTGGCCCCCCATCAAAGCCCAAAGGACCCATTCGATTTGACGAGATTAAAGCTGACAGTGTTATCATGTCATGGGATGTTCCTGAAGATGATGGAGGAGGAGAAATCACTTGTTACAGCATTGAGAAACGAGAAGCTTCACAAACTAACTGGAAAATGGTGTGTTCTAGTGTTGCTAGGACAACTTTTAAAGTTCCTAACTTAGTTAAAGATGCTGAATACCAGTTCAGAGTTAGAGCAGAAAATCGTTACGGAGTAAGCCTGCCACTCGTCTCAACAATTATTGTGGCAAAACATCAGTTCAGGGTACCTGGCCCACCAGGAAAGCCTGTTGTATACAACATAACCTCTGATGGCATGTCAATCACTTGGGATGCACCACCATACGATGGTGGGTCAGAAGTTACTGGATTCTATGTTGAGAAGAAAGAAAGAAATAGCATCCTGTGGCAGAGAGTTAACACAACTTCAATCTCTGGAAGAGAATACAGAGTTACTGGACTTCTTGAGGGCCTAGATTACCAGTTCCGTGTGTATGCTGAAAATTCTGCTGGTCTAAGCCCACCTAGTGACCCAAGCAAATTTACCCTAGCAGTATCTCCAGTAGGTAAGTGACTGAATATTATGCATTTTTTTTCATTTGGTAGCTGTTTGTTAGTAATAGAAATAGCTTGATTATTTAAACAACTTGCAACCCAAATATCTTGCCTCTCCATCTATAACCTCATGTCCATTGTTTTTAAGGCCATATGGCTATTCCTTAGCCATACAAAGAAGCGGGGATGATACAAAAAAAAAAAACAGATTAATATTATTAAAATCAATCAAATATTAAAATCAATTAATTATTAAAATCACGTAGAGGTGACAGCTAGGTGGCAGAGTGGATATAGTGCTAGAACTGGAATTTGGGGAGATCTGTGTTTGAATTTGGCCTTAGACACTTAGGTGTTATATAAGCCTAAGCAAGTCATCTAACCTCCTTTAGCCTTAGTTTCTTCATCTGCAAAATGGGGATAATAACAGTAACTACCTGATAGAATTATATTGACAGACAACAAATGCAAAGTTCTTCACAAACTTTAAAGTCCCATACAAATGACTGCTATCATATTAACTAAATCTATTAATATGGCTAATAAGTAATTATTTATAAGAATAATTCCATATTTAATTTTCATGAAAATCTTTTTAGACCCACCTGGCACACCTGACAGCATTGACGTCACCCGGGAAACTATCACACTTAAGTGGAATCCACCATTGCGTGATGGAGGCAGTAAGATCGTCGCCTACAGTATCGAGAAACGCCAAGGAAACGATCATTGGCTTAGATGCAACTTTACTGATGTCAGTGAATGTCAGTACACAGTCACAGGACTTAGTCCAGGAGACCGACATGAGTTCAGAATAATTGCAAGAAATGCTGTTGGGACAATCAGCCCCCCTTCACAATCTTCAGGCTACATTATGACAAGAGATGAGAATGGTAAGCACTTTAGTTACTGATTTTAGTTATGTTATGTCGTGTTAGTTTATCTATCAAATAGGGATGCTATTGCTATCTCCTCCCCATCTTCAAATGCTGCTATGAGGCAAATTGTATTTTTTATCCTCATAGGTAGATGCAAATTTTAAAAAACATAACCCTGTTAATTTCACTGTAGCTTCCTATAGATAGTATGTAGGTAAAAATGGACGAGCTTTTAGTATTATGATTTCAGCCATCCTTTATATTAACAACTTTACAAGAAATAAGACTTCATGGAGCTAACAGTTTTCTTTCCCCATTATTATTTGACTGAAGTTATGGAAGCATACTACTACCACAGTCACTGGTATATTTGACCCTAGCTTATGTTTATTTCCAGAAACATATTTAAACGTATATAGGTACTACAAAAAAGATTATTTTAATTCAAAATGTAAATTATCTTCAAAACCTTAGCCAGCAGCCTCTAAAAATTTAATTTTTATTTATACACAGCAAATGACAAAATAGTAATGAAGAAAGATTGATAAAATGCAAATGATCGTTTTTACTTTACTAGTTAGCCCCATTTTCAAAACACTTCTGTAGTACTATTGTGCCCTTAGGTTGGTTTTTTTTTCGGTTTTATAATCTAGTACTATTCCAGTGAATGATATTTTGGTGAAATAAACCAAAAGAAGGAGCTAATTTTTACTTTTCTCTTTTATAGTTCCTCCAACAATAGAATTTGGTCCTGAGTACTTCAGCGGCCTTGTTATCAAGGCTGGAGAGAGCCTAAGAATCAAGGCTTTAATACAGGGTCGGCCAGTGCCTCGGGTAACTTGGTTTAAAGATGGAGAAGAGATTGAAAAGAAAATGCATGTGGAAATAACTGATGTCCTCGGGTCCAGCAGTCTCTTTGTCAGGGATGCCAATCGCGAACATCGTGGTGTATACACTGTTGAAGCCAAAAACATATCAGGCTCCACAAAAGAAAACCTTACTGTGAAAGTACAAGGTACTTATAAAAGCACATTCTTAATTTTGTAACTCACGTTGTGCAATTTGTATTTTGGAATGCCTATTTCTATTCCAAGTGTAAAAAGCAAAAGGTAACTCTAACTCTAATAACTTTTCTCCCTTTATAGATACACCAGGAAAAGTAGTTGGGCCAATAAGATTCACTAATATAACTGGAGAGAAGATGACACTCTGGTGGGATGCTCCCCTGAATGACGGATGTTCTCCTGTAACTCACTACATGATTGAAAAACGAGAAACCAGCAGGCTTGCATGGGCACTCATCGAGGATAAGTGTGAAGCCCAAAGTTACACTGCAGTTAAATTAATAAATGGCAATGAATATCAATTCCGTGTTTCTGCTGTCAATAAAATTGGTGTTGGCAGGCCACTTGATTCTGACCCGGTGGTGGCCCAAATACAATACAGTAAGTTTTCTCTTTTTTACTTAAGACCGAGACGTGAAACAGCAATCTATTTTTCTAGCAAATGTGTCTAACTGATTTTTCATTCTGTAGCTGTTCCAGATGCACCTGGTATTCCAGAGCCTAGCAACATAACTGGCAACAGCATTACACTCACGTGGGCCAGGCCAGAATCAGATGGTGGTAATGATATACAGCACTACATTCTTGAAAGGCGAGAAAAGAAGAGCATGCGTTGGGTAAAAGTTATCAGCAAACGCCCGATTACTGAAACCAGACACAAAGTTACCGGACTGACTGAAGGCAATGAATATGAATTCCATGTCATGGCTGAAAATGCTGCAGGGGTAGGACCTTCTAGTGGCATTTCAAGATTGATTAAATGCAGAGAGCCAGTGAGCCCACCAGGGCCTCCCACAGTGGTCAAAGTGACAGACACATCAAAGACAACTGTAAGCTTAGAATGGGGCAAACCAGTTTTTGATGGTGGGATGGAAATAATCGGCTACATCATTGAAATGTGCAAAGCAGACTTAGGAGACTGGCAGAAGGTCAATGCTGAAGCATGTGTCAAAACTAGATATACTGTCACCGATTTGCAAGCAGGTGAAAATTACAAATTCCGAGTTAGTGCTGTTAATGGCGCTGGCAAAGGAGAAAGCTGTGAGGTGTCTGGTACAATTCAAGCAGTTGACAGACTAACCCCACCTGAACTTGATATTGATGCAAACTTCAAGCAAACTCATATTGTTAGAGCAGGGGCCAGTATTCGTCTGTTCATTGCCTACAGTGGCCGACCTACTCCTACCGCAGTATGGAGTAAACCAGATTCTAACCTTAGTATTCGAGCTGACATTCATACAACAGACTCCTTCAGCACCCTCACTGTGGAGAACTGCAATAGAAATGATGCTGGTAAATATACCTTCTCTTTGGAAAACAACAGCGGAAGTAAGTCTATAACATTCACTGTCAAGGTACTAGACTCTCCTGGGCCACCTGGTCCTATTACCTTCAAGGATGTAACCAGAGGGTCTGTTACATTAATGTGGGATGCACCCATCCTTGATGGTGGGGCCCGAATCCATCATTATGTGGTGGAGAAACGAGAAGCAAGTCGTCGTAGCTGGCAAGTAGTCAGTGAAAAATGCACTCGCCAGATCTTCAAGGTCACTGACCTCTTAGAAGGAGTCCCCCACTACTTCCGCGTTTCTGCAGAAAATGAGTATGGCATTGGTGAACCATATGAAACGCCAGAACCAATTGTCGCCACAGAAGAACCTGCTCCACCTAAGAGACTTGATATCGTTGATACAAGCAAATCCTCAGCAGTGTTAGCTTGGCTTAAACCTGATCATGACGGAGGAAGCCGGATCACCAGTTACCTTCTTGAAATGAGACAGAAGGGCTCTGATTTCTGGGTTGAAGCTGGTCACACAAAGCAGCTTACATTTACAGTGGAACACCTGGTAGAAAACACTGAATATGAATTCCGTGTGAAAGCCAAGAACGATGCAGGCTACAGTGAACCCCGGGAAGCCTTCTGTTCTGTCATCATCAAGGAGCCTCAGATTGAACCAACTGCTGATCTCAGTGGAATTACTAATCAGATCATAACTTGCAAAGCTGGAAGCTCTTTTACCATTGACATACCAATCAGTGGTCGCCCAGCCCCCAAAGTAACATGGAAACTTGAAGAGATGAGACTTAAGGAGACTGACAGAATGAGTATCAAGACAACAAAAGACAGAACCACACTTAGTGTTAAAGAGAGCATGAGAGGTGACTCTGGACGTTACTATTTGACTCTTGAGAATACCGCAGGGGTAAAAACCTTTACAGTTACCGTCATTGTCATTGGAAGGCCAGGTCCAGTTACTGGCCCAATTGAAGTCTCCTCTGTCTCTGCTGAGTCATGCATCCTGTCATGGACTGAACCTAAGGATGATGGTGGCACTGAAATCACTAATTACATAGTTGAAAAACGTGAGTCTGGGACAACAGCTTGGCAGCTTGTAAATTCCAGTGTCAAACGTACCCAGATTAAAGTAACCCACCTCACAAAATACAAGGAATACTCTTTCCGTGTCAGTTCAGAAAACAGATTTGGTGTCAGCAAACCTCTGGAATCAGCACCAATAGTTGCTGAACATCCATTTGGTAAGGGAAACCAATGCAATTTTTCAAAATGTGAATGTTAACCACAGGTTTTTTTTTCTCTGAACTGAGTTCCAAACCTAACTATTTTTTCTGTATTGTTTTTATATAGTCCCTCCAAGTGCACCTACCAGGCCTGAGGTCTACTTTGTGTCTGCAAATGCCATGTCTATCCGTTGGGAAGAACCATACCATGATGGTGGCAGCAAAATCATTGGATACTGGGTTGAAAAGAAAGAACGTAACACCATTCTTTGGGTGAAGGAAAACAAAGTACCTTGCTTAGAATGCAACTTCAAAGTAACTGGCTTGGTGGAAGGTCTGGAATATCAGTTCAGAACTTATGCACTAAATGCAGCAGGTGTTAGCAAAGCTAGTGAAGCTTCAAGACCCATGGTAGCTCAAAACCCAGTTGGTAAGTGTCACATTGGAAGGGTCTTTGGGATTTTTTTAAATTTTTTTTTTTAGGAGTCACAGAGCAACATTTAACCTTATTTTCATACCTCTTCCAGATCCACCAGGAAGACCAGAGGTAACAGATGTCACTAGGTCTACAGTGTCACTCATCTGGTCTGCACCAGTTTACGATGGAGGAAGCAAGGTTATAGGCTACATTGTTGAACGGAAGCCAGTTAGTGAAGTAGGAGATGGTCGCTGGCTAAAGTGCAACTACACCATTGTATCTGAGAATTTCTTCACTGTGACAGCTCTAAGTGAAGGCGACACCTACGAATTCCGCGTATTAGCCAAGAATGCAGCTGGCGTCATTAGTAAAGGGTCAGAATCCACGGGTCCTGTCACTTGCAGAGATGAATATTGTAAGAAAAAGTCAAGTGCCTTCTTTAAGTTATCACAACTTGAGTTACAAGTTGTCAAATACTTACTTGGATCTGTTTTATTTTTTGACAGCACCACCCAAAGCTGAACTGGATGCTAGATTGCAGGGAGATATTGTAACTATCAGAGCTGGATCTGATCTTGTTCTCGATGCAGCAGTTGGTGGCAAACCTGAGCCCAAAATTATCTGGACCAAAGGAGACAAAGAATTAGATCTCTGTGAAAAGGTCTCTTTGCAGTATACCAGAAAACGAGCCACTGCTATCATCAAATTCTGTGATCGAAGTGATAGTGGAAAATATGCATTAACTGTGAAGAATGCCAGCGGAACCAAAACTGTGTCTGTCATGGTCAAAGTACTTGGTAAGTGTTTCCCAGTTCAATATACATACTCTTTTATTATACTGAAATTTCCATTGTGGAATATTCTTTCCAGTAGAATATAAGTTCCTTAAGGGCAGGAATTATCTCAGTTTTGTCTTTGTATCCCCACTGAGGAGCACAATGCCTGGCATAGAGTAGGCTCTTAATACATGCTTGTTGATTAATTCATTGTATGTCGCTGGGCCTTTTTTTTTCTTCCAGATTCTCCTGGTCCATGTGGAAACCTCACGGTCAGCAGAGTAACGGAAGAGAAATGCACTCTAGCTTGGACCCTCCCTCAAGAAGATGGAGGTGCAGAAATAACTCACTACATTGTGGAAAGACGTGAAACAAGCAGACTCAACTGGGTTATCGTTGAGGGAGAATGTCCAACTTTATCACATGTGGTCACCAGACTCATCAAGAACAACGAATACATATTCCGTGTGAGGGCAGTCAACAAATATGGCCCAGGTGTACCTGCTGAAACAGAACCCATTGTTGCTAGAAAGTCATTCAGTGAGTATTAATTTTTTTTTTTTGGTCATCATTCAGGACTTTCTGGGGGAAGGTGGCAGGCAGCAGTCATGGAAATACCACTGTATTTCATGCAAAACTAATTGCTTCTTTTTCATAAAATCATGAACAGCTATTCCATCACCACCTGGTATGCCTGAAGAAATGGGTGCTGGCAAAGAACATGTCATCATTCAGTGGCAAAAGCCAGAATCTGACGGTGGCAATGAGATCAACAACTACCTCGTTGATAAGCGTGAAAAGAAGAGTCTGCGCTGGACACGGGTCAATAAAGATTATACTGTTTACGACACCAGACTTAAAGTGACTGGCTTAATGGAAGGCTGTGAATACCAGTTCCGGGTCACAGCAGTAAATGCTGCTGGCAACAGTGAACCTAGTGAAGCTTCCAACTTCATCTTATGCAAGGAACCTTCATGTAAGTTCCAAGAAGTACCTATTAGTTCCTGTTAATCAAGGCATTCACTGTTTCAGAGAACCTATAGAAAGTAATGTTACCCAAAAAGGTGTGAATTCATTTAGGACTGCTTTAAACATTGCCCATGTTAAATAACTATAAATTTCAATTAGCCTGCTACTTAATGAGTCAAAAGATTGATAATATTTCTAAGAACAGTTGCAGTTTTCCTCTCTGTGAGAAATCCAGGATACCCTTGCCATGTATTTAGCATAGTATAGCCAAGTAGGGAATGAAAACTATGTTCTGGAAAGCATCCTGCAAATGAATAATCTTGTTATTGTAATGGCAATTCTTTTTTTTTATTTAACTGTGAAGAGGAAAAAAGAAAAGGTCCCCTTAAGGGGCTTTAAGCAAGCTGAAGGATACCATTAATAAAATTATATGCAAAATCTTTTTCACACTAGTAAGGCAAAAGCAACAACCCAGCTATCAATGACTGAAATGGAAACAAAATCCTTATTCTTAGTGTGAGGCCACATTCTTCTTACCGTCTTTGGAGGCAGGAAGGTTAAGTAGCAGTTGAACCCTGAGATAAAACTGCTGTTTTGTTTTTCCAAATGGGGAGGAAGTGATAGAGAAAGAAATAATTTGCTAATTGTTTGACAACTTGCTAAAAAAAAATGAGTTTGCTAACTGAAAAAAAAAAAAGCCTTAAAGATCTAAGCATTAGAGCTGAGCAATTTGATTTTCTGTAAGGAAAAGGAAAAAATAGATAAATGTCATGGAAAGTTAATTCTGAAATTCATTGAGCCAAAGACAATAAATAGGTGCTTTCCTCAGTTGAGGCAAGCAACTAAAGAAAAACCTAATTGAAGGATGTGGGGGATTTGTGGGTGCCCTAACACCCAGAAGCTACTAGAGTAAGTTACTGAAATAGGCAGTAGGGAATGATGGACAAAGCTAAGGCAGTAAGGTATTTCCAATGCAGTATTTTTAAGTTAAATAAATGGCCTAAAAACTGTGCCCTTTTAAGCATTTCCTTCCCCCTTTTCTGCTACGTTGCCACCCTAATTATAGAAGCAGTAAAGGATAATGTAAGACTGAGGACCATTTTCTTCTTTTTGCTCTTTTGAACTGTGATGGCCAAAGAATCCGTCTCCAAAAAGCCTCACTACTTCCTGGTGATGAGCCTTTTTGTCCTTAGACTGGTGTTTGGGAAGCAGAAAATGTCACCATGACCAAACAATCCAGAGCTTGTACTCCACTGTCACATGTAGCTTTTGAGAACCTTGCATCACCTTCATGCCCTGATGAGGCATGACCCTTTAAAAACTCACATAACCATCCAATACCAAACTAAAAATGACCAAAGGATATAGCTATAAAAATATAGAGCGCTATAAGTACTGAAGCACACAGATATCTGACATCATGAATTACAAATCCCAAGGGTTCATATAACACCTCTGCTCTTTTCTTCCAAAGATACTCCTGGACCACCTTCTGCTCCGAGAGTTGTAGACACAACCAAATTCAGCATTAGCCTGGCATGGACGAAACCAATGTATGACGGTGGTGCTGACATCATAGGCTATGTCCTTGAAATGAAAGAAAAAGAAACTGATCAGTGGTACAGAGTGCATACAAATGCCACTCTAAGAAATCCTGAATTCACCGTCCCAGATCTTAAAACTGGCCAGAAATATTGCTTCAGAGTTGCTGCTGTAAATGCAAATGGCATGAGTGAATACAGTGAATCAACTGCTGAAATTGAACCTGTAGAAAGACTAGGTATTTATAATATAACTCTTCAATAGAATTATTTGTTCTCCAAGTGGTTTGCAAATTAATTCATTTTGGTATTTGTCTTCCAGAAATTCCAGATCTTGAGCTTGCTGCTGATCTGAAGAAAACTGTTACTGTGAGAGCTGGGGCTTCTTTGTGGCTCATGGTATCTGTATCAGGAAGGCCATCTCCTGTTATTACATGGAGCAAAAAGGGCATTGATCTTGCAAGCCGAGCAATTATTGACACCACTGAAAGCTACACTTTGCTTATTGTTGACAAAGTTAACCGGTACGATGCTGGAAAATATACCATTGAAGCAGAAAATCAATCTGGCAAAAAATCAGCAACAGTCCTTGTTAAAGTGTATGGTAAGCATTTTTCCTAAACTTAACTGATCTCTGAATATTTTTAATGTTGTCTTGAAGGATGCCTCTGGCCCACTTACCCTCTTTATATAAAAAACAAAAAAGAAAGATAAAATAATGAAGGACCATACATCATACTAGATCAAAAAAATCAATCAACCAAACATGCAAATAGAAAGTAATATGCCTTTGTTAATGTTTTCAGATACACCTGGCCCATGTCCTTCTGTGAAAGTTAAGGAAGTGTCAAGAGATTCTGTGACCATTACTTGGGAGATCCCCACTATTGATGGTGGTGCTCCAGTAACCAACTATATTATTGAGAAACGCCAGGCTGCCATGAGAGCATTCAAAACAGTAACTACCAAATGCAGCAAGACACTTTACAGAATTTCTGGACTTGTAGAAGGAACCATGTACTACTTCAGAGTACTTCCAGAGAATATTTATGGCATTGGCGAGCCCTGTGAAACATCTGATGCTGTCCTGGTCTCAGAAGTCCCCTTGGTGCCTCAAAAGCTGGAAGTGGTGGATGTCACCAAGTCCAGTGTTTCTCTTGCCTGGGAGAAACCCCTCTATGATGGTGGTAGCAGGCTTACTGGATATGTTCTTGAGGCCTGTAAAGCTGGTACCGAAAGATGGATGAAAGTTGTAACCTTGAAACCCACTGTCTTAGAGCACACTGTTATCTCACTCAATGAAGGTGAACAGTACTTATTTAGAGTGAGGGCACAGAATGAGAAAGGTGTGTCAGAACCGAGAGAGATTGTCACCGCAGTAACTGTTCAAGACCTACGAGGTACGTGCTAGAAAATCTAACAAGATTTAAAAGAAGAAATTGTTCAAAAGATAGTTTTTTTAAATATTCTCAGCATGAATGCTTTTGGACGTTTGCTAAATTTTCCTAAACTTTTCTTTCTCCATAGTATTGCCTACAATTGATCTTTCTACAATGCCTCAAAAGACTATTCATGTCCCAGCTGGCAGACCTGTAGAGCTGGTTATACCAATTGCTGGTCGTCCACCTCCAGCTGTATCCTGGTTCTTGGCTGGCTCCAAAGTGAAAGAATCAGAGCGCGTCACTGTTGAAACCCATAGTAAAGTAGCCAAGTTAACAATCCGTGAGACCACTATAAAGGACACTGGAGAATACACACTTGAACTGAAGAATGTGACTGGAACTACTTCAGAAACCATTAAAGTTATCATTCTTGGTAAGTTCGCATGATAAAAATAAAAGTATTTTTACTTTCTCTACTGCTAAAGCTGTCAGGATTCAGTAACCCAACTTTACTTTGAAGTGAGATGGAATTTGTTTTACTTTTTCAGACAAACCTGGACCACCAACTGGGCCAATCAAAATTGATGAAATTGATGCTACTTCGGTCACCATTTCCTGGGAGCCACCTGAATTGGATGGTGGTGCTCCACTGAGTGGTTATGTGGTAGAACAGCGGGATGCCCATCGACCAGGCTGGCTGCCAGTTTCTGAATCCGTGACTAGAACAACTTTTAAGTTTACCAGACTCACTGAAGGAAATGAATATGTGTTCCGTGTAGCTGCTACAAACCGATTTGGAATTGGCTCTTACCTACAGTCTGAGGTCATAGAATGCTGTAGCAGCATCAGTAAGTCCTTCCTCCCCACCCTCTCCACCTTCCATTCCCCACCCAAAGCTATAGAAGAAAAAATGAGGAATCTATTATCCCTAGAAAATTAATAAAGACAGGTTGTATAATTAAGTCCAAGCATTTATAAAGATTTGAGGGATTTGGCCTGTGTCTAGTAAGGTTTTATGTTACTGCTCATATCAGAAATAAATTTTAGAGCTTATAGGGATCTCACAAATCATCTAGTCCAATTTCTAATTTAAAAGAAAACAAAAGGCCACTAAGGATCAGTGGGTGACTTGCCTAAGGTCACACAGCCAGATAGTAGCTGAAATGGGACTAGAATACATATCTCATGGATCATGGGATTATGTTCATCTCAAAGGATGAGAGAAAAGAAGCATCCAGTCAGCAGACATTTGTTAAGCACTTACTATGGGCCAGATATTATGCTAAGTGCTATGCAAAGACAAAAACCACAATTTCTACCTTCAAGGGATCTGTAATGTAAGGAATTCTAATGGAGTAAACAACATTCAAGCAACTGTGGTCATACAAGCAATATATAGTGTAAGTTGGAAGTAGTCTCAGAAGGAAGGACCAGCAAGCAGGGGTCAGGGGAGACGGGAGGAAGCAGACAAAGCCTCTTGAAGAAGGTGAGATATGAGGTTAGCCTTGATGGAAGCCAGGAGCTTCAGGAAAAGTATATATAGCAAATCTCTTGGAAACACCATCACAAGACAGTCTTTTGTACCACTTGTGGTGCTAACTTGGAAGCTAGCGCCTATGGACTCATGAATGTTGTTGTGATTATTTTTCAATGCATATGTATTGTCAACTTTTTGTTTACCTGTGTTTCTTACAACAGGGATTCCAGGACCTCCAGAAACATTACAGATTTTTGATGTCTCTCGTGATGGCATGACACTAACTTGGTACCCACCTGAGGATGATGGTGGTTCCCAGGTGACCGGTTATATTGTAGAACGTAAAGAAGTCAGAGCAGATCGATGGGTCCGTGTCAATAAAGTAGCAGTGACTATGACACGTTATCGTTCCACTGGCCTCATTGAAGGACTAGAATATGAACACCGTATTACTGCTGTTAATGCCAGAGGCACTGGGAAACCAAGTCGTCCTTCCAAACCTGTTGTTGCCATGGATCCAATTGGTAAGTAATCTTGGGGTCAAAGTATCATAGATCTAGAGCTGGAAGGAACCTCAGAAACCATTTGGTCTAATACCCTCACCTGGAAGATGACAGAAATGAAATATAGAGAGATTAAGTGACTTGCCCAAGGTTCCATAAGTAGTAAAGTATGAGATGTGGTATTTGAACCTGTGTGCCCAGACTCTAGAGTCAGTGCTTTTTCTACTGCATCAAAAGGGAAAACCAACAGATTTGTTTTAACAGATAAAATAAGCTTTCTCAATATGAATAATCATTACTATTTCATGTTTCAACAGCTCTTGGGATGTGTTTGTTAGGTAGTAGCTAGGTTTTTGTTTTCGTTTTGAAATTTCAGGACCCTTCTGTGCTCTATTTTGACATCTTTTTTTTTTCTTCAGCTCCTCCAGGAAAACCCCAGAACCCAAGAGTTACTGACACCACAAGAACATCAGTCTCCCTTGCCTGGAGTGTTCCTGAAGATGAAGGAGGATCTAAAGTCACTGGCTACTTGATTGAAATGCAGAAGGTCGATCAGCACGAATGGACCAAATGTAATACCACCCCAACAAAGATCCGGGAATATACACTAACACATCTACCTCAGGGTGCAGAATACAGATTCCGTGTCTTGGCCTGTAATGCTGGTGGACCTGGAGAGCCTGCTGAAGTACCAGGAACAGTGAAAGTCACTGAAATGCTCGGTAAGAAGTGTGATCAGACACTTCCTTGTATGACGACCTCATAACTTTTTCATGAATGTGATAATGCTAATTTTTTTTTCCTTTCAGAATATCCTGATTACGAACTTGATGAAAGATACCAGGAAGGTGTCTTTGTAAGACAAGGTGGAGTCATCAGGCTCACCATACCAATAAAAGGAAAACCATTCCCAATATGCAAGTGGACTAAGGAGGGCCAAGACATTAGTAAGAGGGCTATGATTGCAACCTCCGACACACACACTGAACTTGTGATTAAAGAAGCAGACAGGGATGATTCTGGAAACTACGACTTGGTTCTAGAAAACAAGTGTGGCAAGAAGGCAGTTTACATCAAGGTCAGGGTGATTGGAAGTCCAAATACTCCGGAAGGTCCACTTGAATATGATGACATACAAGCTCGTTCTGTAAGAGTAAGCTGGAGACCTCCAGCTGATGATGGCGGTGCTGATGTCCTCGGGTACATTGTTGAGAGGCGAGAAGTACCTAAAGCTGCCTGGTATACCATTGATTCCAGAGTTAGAGGCACATCTCTTGTGGTAAAAGGCCTAAAAGAAAATGTAGAGTATCACTTCCGTGTGTCAGCAGAAAACCAGTTTGGTATCAGCAAGCCCCTGAAATCTGAAGAACCAGTCACACCAAAAACACCACTGAGTAAGTCCACATTTGTTTTTCTATCTTTAAAAAATAAGCTATTATTTTATCTTATTATATTATTATCATATCATATTATTATTATATTCTCTTATCAAATAAGATATTTGTAAAGCACTTAGCTCAGTGCCTAGCATATAGTGGGCACTATATAAATACTTATTTCCTTCCTTCCCATGTCCCTCTCTCTCTGCCCTTCCTCCTCCCCCACTTCAGGAATTGTAGCCATGTTCATACCATTTTTAACAAAATGTTTGTTTTGATGCTTGTAGACCCTCCAGAACCTCCCAGCAATCCTCCAGAAGTGCTGGATGTAACTAAGAGTTCCATTAGCTTGTCCTGGTCACGACCCAAAGATGATGGTGGCTCTCGGGTCACCGGGTACTATATTGAACGGAAAGAAACCTCTACTGACAAGTGGGTTCGGCATAACAAGACTCAGATCACTACCACGATGTACACAGTCACAGGCCTGGTTCCTGATGCCGAATATCAATTCCGTATCATTGCACAGAATGATGTTGGCTTAAGTGAAACCAGTCCTGCTTCTGAACCAGTTATTTGCAAAGATCCTTTCGGTAAGAAAATGGTCACATTTCTGAAAAAAAAAATTGCCTCATCTTTTTCTTTTGGCAAATAAATTTGACTTCTTTTTCAAACATTTTTAAATATTTTCAGATAAACCAAGCCAACCTGGAGAGATTGAGATCCTATCTCTATCCAAAGACAGTGTTACTCTTCAGTGGGAGAAACCTGAATGTGATGGTGGTAAAGAAATCCTTGGATACTGGGTAGAATACCGGCAATCTGGAGACAGTGCATGGAAGAAGAGCAACAAGGACCGCATTAAGGACAGGCAGTTCACAATTGGTGGCTTATTGGAAGCCACTGAATATGAATTCCGGGTTTTTGCTGAAAATGAGACTGGAATCAGCAGACCTCGACGAACTGCCATGTCTGTGAAGACTAAACTGACATGTATGTATCCCTAAACTGTAGACGCTTAGAACTGAAAAGATTTAGCATAGTATCTCAGGTACAATAAGCACTTAATGAAGGTTTGTTGTTGTTAATGTAGAAGTCATCTACCTGAAGCCCTAACCAATGTATGCATCTTCTGCGTTACATAATGTTTTACTAGCTAAATCAAATGCCAAGGGCAATTGTTTCCCTATATACAGGTGAATGGTAATTCTGGCATGAGGTTTTGTGGGACATTAGCAGCTCTGTAGATCATCCAACTAATATTTATTAAATATGTGAGAAAAATACTCATTGCTATGCATGTGTGTATGTGTGTGCATAAGCACGCAAACACACACACACACACACACACACACACACACACACACACACACATACACACACACACACACACACACACACACACCAGCAGAGAACCTTTACATAGGGCCATTCCAAACACACAGTCCCAATAGGGGCTGCTAGGGGCAGTGTTATTGATCACGTGGCTGCGGTGTTAATACAAAGGCCACTATCCCACTCTTTAGCAAAGGTTCTGATGTATCAGTTTTAAAGAAAGAGGTCAGATATTCCCCCAGCCTCCTGATGAACAAAATTTAATTCTAAGCAAGGAAGAAAGACCTGGAGCTTTTAGACAGAACCAGTTGAGAAGCATACATAATTAGTTTCATTATATTTATGAAGAGAAAGGTCAATCTGACCTTGTTTTTGTCACCATGAATGATGATTCAGATTCTAAGAATATTTTTTTCAATGGAGCTCTACAAATACAATAACCTCTGTAAAACCAAAAATATGCTTAAAGCTAAAATAAGAACCCCTGTAAAACCTAAAAAAGGCTTAAAACTAAGATAATAATAATAATAGCTAGCATTTCTATAGCACCTAGTACATGCTAGGCACTGTGCTAAGTGCTTAACAATTATCTCATTTGATAGTTACAACCCTGGGAGGTAGATGCTATTATTATCCTCATTTTATAGTTGAACAAACTGAGGCAAATAGTAGTTAAGAGACTTGCCCAAGGTCACACAGCTTGCTAGTATCTGAGGCTGGATTTGAATTCCTCTCCAGAACCTCTTCCAAGCTACAGGCCCAGTGTTCTATGAACTGTGTTAGCTAGTATTCTCTAAAAACTTACCTAAAAAAATTGTTAGGTAAATAATGATATCTTAAATGTGTAAGTATTTATGGATCAACTAACCCCAGGTTCAGAGGAATGAAAGATGAGTAGATTCCTTAGTAATAGAAAAATATGTACTTAATAATATGCTTTTTTCCCATTTCAGCTGGAGAGGCACCAGGAGTACGAAAAGAAATGGCAGATGTCACCACTAAATTGGGTGAAGCAGCTCAGCTATCCTGCCAGATTGTTGGAAGGCCCCTTCCAGATATTAAATGGTATCGCTTTGGCAAAGAGCTAGTACAAAGCCGAAAATACAAAATGTCATCCGACGGGCGCACTCATACTCTCACTGTAATGACAGAGGAACAAGAGGATGAAGGTGTCTACACCTGCACAGCTACCAATGAAGTCGGAGAGGTAGAAACCAGCAGCAAGCTACTCTTGCAAGCAACTCCTCAGTTCCACCCTGGTTACCCCCTGAAGGAGAAATACTATGCAGCGGTAGGGTCTACTCTCCGTCTGCATGTTATGTACATTGGTCGCCCTGTACCTGCCATTACTTGGTTCCATGACAAGAAACCTTTGAAAAATTCAGAGACCGTTACCATTGAGAATACTGAGCACTATACTCATCTAATCATCAAGAATGTCCAGCGTAAGACCCATGCTGGGAAGTACAAAGTACAGCTGAGCAACATTTTTGGAACAGTTGATGCTATCCTTGATGTGGAAATACAAGGTATTGTATTTTCTTTTTTTTTCCCCTTCAGGAAAAGAGTGTGTGGATCTTTTTTTTTGGTGAAGGTTTTATAATTATTTATCTTGTTTTGTTATTAACAGATAAGCCAGACAAGCCTACAGGGCCAATTGTGATTGAAGCACTACTTAAGAACTCTGCAGTAATCAGCTGGAAACCTCCTACAGATGATGGAGGGTCATGGATAACCAATTATGTGGTTGAGAAATGTGAGGCAAAGGAGGGTGCTGAGTGGCAGCTGGTATCTTCAGCCATTTCAGTAACGAGCTGCAGAATTGTTAACCTCACAGAAAATGCTGGCTATTATTTCCGAGTATCTGCTCAGAACACCTATGGCATTAGTGAACCTCTAGAGGTCTCATCAATTGTTGTTATTAAGACTCCATTTGGTAAGCAAGGCACAATTTCTACATCTCCATAAACTCCCATCTTTGCACACCATACCATCATTCTACCTATTGTAATGGAAAAGCTTACTTCAGAAAAGTGATTATGATAGAAATTAGGCTAATGATCTCTTTGTAAAGTCTAAATTCAGCAACAAAAGGGAAAGGAGTGTGTGTTTTGTATCCCTTATTCAAACACTAGAATTTCTTTTTCTTTTCAATAAGGTTCTTGGAATAAGTTGTCAATTTAATTTTTTTCTGAAAAAAGTATTTTTACACAATGTCCCAACCTAGGATATAAAACAGAAACTACTACAAAGCAGGATTTTGTGGTGTTCAACAATAAGTATACCTGTCTCAATTCATGATTCAAATCTTTTGTTTTTATCCAGAAAAGCCTGGTGCTCCTGGCAAACCAACTATAACTGCTCTTACAAAAGATTCCTGTGTTGTGGCTTGGAAGCCACCTTCAAGTGATGGTGGGGCAAAGATTAGAAATTACTACCTTGAGAAGCGTGAGAAGAAACAAAATAAATGGATTGCCGTGACAACAGATGAAATTCGAGAAACTGTCTTTTCTGTACAAAACCTTATTGAAGGTCTTGAATATGAGTTCCGTGTGAAATGTGAAAACCTAGGTGGTGAAAGTGAATGGAGTGAAACATCAGAACCCATCACTCCTAAATCTGATGTTCCAATACAGGCACCACACTTTAAGGATGAACTGAGAAATCTGAATGTCAGATATAAGAGCAATGCAACATTGGTCTGCAAAGTCACTGGTCATCCTAAGCCTGTCGTCAAATGGTATCGCCAAGGCAAAGAAATCCTTGCTGATGGAGAAAAGTATAGAATTCAAGAATTTAAGGGTGGATACCACCAACTCATCATAACAAATGTAACAGACGATGATGCCACTGTCTACCAAGTCAGAGCTACTAACCAAGGGGGATCTGTGTCAGGCACAGCCTCCTTAGATGTTGAAGGTAATAACGCAAATAAACACAAGCTTGATGTTAGAGAAAACATTCATATTCTGGTTTTGCTCTATTTAAACATATGTTTGCTAATAACTAAAAATGTTATTGTTCCTAAAATAATTTTTTTTGTTGTTCTTGTTTCTTCTGGTGCAGTTCCCGCAAAGATACACTTGCCTAAAAATCTTGAAGGCATGGGAGCTGTTCATGCTCTCCGGGGAGAGGTCATCAGCATTAAGATTCCCTTCAGTGGCAAACCAGACCCAGTGATCACCTGGCAGAAAGGACAGGATCTCATTGACAACAATGGCCATTACCAAGTTATTGTCACCAGATCATTCACATCCCTTGTCTTCTCCAATGGAGTGGAGAGAAAAGATGCTGGCTTCTATGTCGTCTGTGCTAAAAACCGATTTGGAATTGATCAGAAGACAGTCGAACTGGATGTGGCCGATGTTCCTGATCCCCCTAGGGGAGTCAAAGTGAGTGATGTCTCAAGAGACTCAGTCAACTTAACTTGGACTGAACCAGCTTCTGATGGTGGTAGCAAAATCACCAACTACATCATTGAAAAATGTGCCACTACAGCAGAGAGATGGCTCCGTGTGGGTCAAGCTCGGGAAACACGGTATACTGTGATTAACTTATTTGGTAAGACTAGCTACCAGTTCCGTGTAATAGCTGAAAATAAATTTGGTCTCAGCAAACCTTCAGAACCTACAGAACCAACCATAACCAAGGAAGATAAGACTAGAGTAATGAACTATGATGAAGAGGTGGATGAAACCCGAGAAGTTAGCAAAACTAAGGCTTCTCACTCCTCAACCAAGGAACTGTATGACAGATACATGATTGCTGAAGATCTGGGGCGTGGACAGTTTGGAATTGTCCACCGCTGTGTTGAAACTTCTTCTAAGAAGACATACATGGCCAAGTTTGTCAAAGTTAAAGGAACTGACCAGGTTTTGGTAAAGAAAGAAATTTCTATTCTGAACATTGCTAGGCACAGGAATATTTTATATCTCCACGAATCATTTGAAAGCATGGAAGAATTGGTTATGATCTTTGAATTTATTTCAGGGCTTGATATCTTTGAAAGAATTAACACCAGTGCTTTTGAACTCAATGAAAGAGAAGTTGTAAGTTATGTTCGCCAGGTCTGTGAAGCCCTTGAATTCCTACACCGTCACAATATTGGGCACTTTGACATTAGGCCAGACAATATCATTTACCAAACAAGAAGAAGCTCTGTCATTAAAATCATTGAATTTGGTCAAGCCAGGCAGTTAAAGCCAGGGGACAACTTTAGGCTTATGTTCACTGCTCCTGAATATTATGCACCTGAAGTACATCAACATGATGTTGTCAGTACAGCCACGGATATGTGGTCCCTGGGAACTCTGGTGTATGTTCTGTTGAGTGGTATGAATCCTTTCCTAGCTGAAACCAACCAACAGATGATTGAAAATATCATGAATGCCGAGTATAGCTTTGATGAAGAAGCCTTCAAGGACATCAGCATTGAAGCCATGGACTTTGTCGATCGGCTCTTGGTGAAAGAAAGAAAATCTCGCATGACAGCTTCTGAGGCACTCCAGCATCCATGGCTAAAGCAGAGGATAGAAAACGTGAGCACTAAAGTCATCAGAACACTAAAACACAGGCGTTACTACCACACCTTGATAAAGAAAGACCTGAACATGGTTGTATCAGCAGCCCGAATCTCCTGTGGTGGGGCAATTAGATCTCAGAAAGGAGTGAGTGTTGCTAAAGTTAAAGTTGCATCAATTGAAATTGGCCCTATTTCTGGGCAAATAATGCATGCTGCTGGAGAAGAAGGTGGGTATGTAAAATATCAATGCAGCATCGAAAATTACGATGCATCCACTCAAGTGACCTGGTACTTTGGCATCAGACAGCTGGAGAACAGTGAAAAATATGAAATTACCTACCAAGATGGACAAGCCACCCTGTATGTCAAAGACATTACTAAAGCAGATGATGGTACCTACAGATGCAAGGTGGTCAATGACTATGGAGAAGACAGTTCCTATGCAGAGCTCTTTGTCAAGGGTGTGAGAGAATCTTATGACTATTACTGTCGTAGAACTGTAAAGAGAATTAAAAGGAGGACAGATGCTATGAGACTCCTGGAGAGGCCGCCAGAATTTACTCTGCCTCTCTACAACCGGACTGCCTACATTGGTGAAAATGTCAGATTTGGTGTGACCATAACAGTTCATCCAGAACCCCGGGTGACATGGTATAAATCAGGACAGAAAATCAAACCAGATGATGATGACAAGAAGTACACATTTGAGACTGATAAGGGTCTTTACCAACTAACAATCAACAATGTAACTATAGATGATGATGCTGAATATTCTGTGGTAGCACGGAACAAGTATGGTGAAGACAGCTGTAAAGCTAAGCTGACAGTGACTCCACACCCACCAGCGGCAGATACTACCCTAAGACCAATGTTCAAACGATTATTGGCAAATGCAGAATGTCAAGAAGGCCAGAGTGTCTGCTTTGAAATTAGAGTTTCTGGAATCCCACCACCAACTTTAAAATGGGAGAAAGATGGTCAGCCTCTGTCCCTCGGTCCCAACATTGAAATTGTCCATGAAGGCTTGGACTATTATGCTTTGCATATCCGAGATACACTGCCAGATGACACAGGTTATTATAGAGTCACTGCCACCAACTCTGCTGGCTCTACAAGCTGCCAGGCTCACCTACAAGTAGAACGCCTGAAGTACGTCAAGAAAGAATATAAGACTGAAGAAGAACGTGAAAGACACGTACAAAAACAAATTGATAAGACGCTAAGAATGGCTGAAATCCTCTCTGGTACTGATTCTGTGCCACTGACCCAAGTAGCACAGGAGGCACTACGGGAAGCTGCCATCCTCTACAAACCCGCTGTCAGCACCAAGACCGTAAAAGGTGAATTTGAACTCCAGACAGAAGAAAAGAAGGAAGAAAAACGACTCCGTATGCCTTACGAAGTACCAGAGCCACGCAGGTATAAACGCACCACCGTCGAGGAAGACCAACACATTAAGCAGTTTGTGCCAATGTCTGACATGAAATGGTACAAGAAACTACGTGACCAGTTTGAGATGCCTGGGAAGATGGATAGAATTTCACAGAAAAGGCCCAAACGTATCCGCCTCTCAAGATGGGAACAGTTCTACGTGATGCCTCTTCCACGCATTACAGACCAATACAGACCTAAATGGCGTATACCCAAACTATCCCAAGATGATCTTGAGATAGTGAGACCAGCCCGCCGTCGGACACCATCTCCTGATTATGACTATTATTATCGACCCAGAAGGAGGTCTCTTGGTGACCTTTCAGATGAGGAACTACTCCTTCCAATTGATGATTACTTAGCCATGAAAAGGACTGAAGAAGAAAGGCTGCGTCTTGAAGAAGAACTTGAACTTGGCTTCTCTGCTTCCCCACCAAGTCGGAGTCCTCCCCAGTTTGAGCTATCTAGTCTACGTTATTCTTCACCAACTGCTCATGTCAAGGTAGATGAAACAAGAAAAGATTTCAGATATTCAACTTATCACATCCCGTCTAAAGTGGAAACTGGCACAAGTTACATGGAATTACGTGAACGCCATGCCAGAGCTGCATACAGACCTTCTAGGCAGCGGCAAAGAATCATGGCTGAGAAAGAGGATGAGGAATTGCTCCGTCCAGTTACGACAACCCAGCGGCTCTCAGAATATAAAAGTGAACTTGACCACATGGCCAAGGAAGAAAAATCTAGAAAGAAAAGCAGAAGAGAAAGAGAAATAACTGAAATAACAGAAATTGAAGAAGAAATTGAAATTTCAAAACATGCGCAAAGAGAGGCATCTTCATCTGTCTCTAGGCTACTAGGAAGACGACGATCTCTTTCTCCAACTTATATCGAATTAATGAGGCCAGTATCTGAATTAATCCGGCCACGTACACAACCAGCTGAAGAATATGAAACTGAAAGAAGATCCCCAACACCAGAGAGGACTCGGCCACGTTCTCCCAGCCCAGTGTCAAGTGAAAGATCACTCTCAAGATTTGAGAGAACTGCTAGATTTGACATATTTTCCAGGTATGAGTCTATGAAGGCTGCATTAAAGACTCAGAAGACATCAGAACGAAAGTATGAAGTTCTGAGCCAACAGCCTTTCACTCTGGACCATGCTCCTCGAATCACACTGAGAATGCGTTCACATCGTGTACCATGTGGGCAAAATACCCGCTTCATCTTAAATGTTCAGTCTAAGCCAACTGCTGAAATTAAATGGTACCATAATGGTGTAGAACTCCAGGAGAGCAACAAGATTCACTATACCAATACAAGTGGGGTTCTGACCTTGGAAATTCTGGACTGCCATATTGATGACAGTGGGACATATCGTGCTGTGTGCACTAATTACAAAGGAGAAGCTTCTGACTATGCAACATTAGATGTTACTGGAGGGGATTATACCACCTATACTTCCCGACGCAAAGATGAGGAAGTACCAAGATCAGTTTTTCCTGAACTGACCAGAACAGAGGCATATGCTGTTTCATCATTTAAGAAGAAATCTGAGATGGAAGCTTCCTCATCTGTTAGGGAAGTCAAATCACAAATGACAGAGACCAGGGAAACTCTCACATCACATGAACATTATGCTTTGGCTGAAATGAAAGCCACCGCATCTGAAGAAAGGTCAGTGGAGGAGAAAACTACACATAGAAAGATTAAGACAACTTTGGCAGCAAGGATTCTAACCAAACCACGGTCCATAACTGTACATGAGGGTGAATCTGTGAGATTTTCTTGTGACACTGACGGTGAACCAGTACCAACAGTTACATGGCTCCGTGCAGGTCAGGTAATCAGTTCCTCTGGCCGTCACCACGTCACAACCACAAAGTACCATTCTACCTTTGAGATTTCTTTGGTCCAGGCTTCAGATGAAGGCAGCTACACTGTGGTGGTAGAAAACACTGAAGGAAAACAGGAAGCACAATTTACTCTGACTATTCAAAAGGCCAGGGTCCCTGAAAAGACAGTTACATCACCACCAAGAGTCAAGTCCCCCGAGCCTCATGCAAAATCTCCAGAAGCAGTGAAGTCACCCAAGAGAGTGAAATCTCCAGAGCCAGTTACTTCTCACCCAAAAACCACAGCACCGACAGAAACCAAACCCACACCAATTGAGAAAGTACAGCTAGCAGTCACTGCTCCTCCCAAGATAGTTCAACCACTCAAAGTGGAAGCTTCTAAAGACATTGCAAAGCTCACATGTGCAGTTGAAAGCAGTGTTTTAAGTGCCAAAGAGGTAGCATGGTACAAAGATGGCAAGAAATTAAAGGAAAATGGCCATTTCCAATTTCATTATTCAGCAGATGGCACTTATGAACTCAAAATCCAAAACCTCACTGAAGCTGATCAAGGAGACTATGTCTGTGAAATTTCTGGTGAAGGTGGGGCTTCTAAGACTAGTTTCCAGTTTGGTGGCCAAGACTTTAAGAGTATTCATGACCAGCTGTCCAGAACTCTTGAGACCAAGACATCAGTTGAAAAAACTGCTGAACTGACAGAGACCAAGAAATCAATCCAAAAAACTGCAGAGTCTACAGAGACCAAGAAATCAGTTGAGAAAACTGCTGAGTTGACAGAAATTAAGAAATCGGCTCAGAAATTGTCTGAGCCAACAGAAACCAAGAAAACTGAAAAGAAAGCTGCTGAACCAGTTCCTTCAAAGCCAGTAATTGTTACTGGGCTGCAAGATATGGCCATATCTTCAAATACTGTTGCCAAGTTTTCAATTAAAGCCACAGGAGAGCCTTGGCCCTCTGTTACCTGGACTAAGGATGGAAAGGTAAAATTCCCTTAACCTTTATATGTTGTCTAAAAATTCTATCCCCAAATTAGTTCACAACTTTAAAATCAAATGACTTATATCCTGCAGGCTCTTGTACAGGGAGGAAAATACAAACTATTTGAAGACAAAGGAGGATTCTACTTAGAAATACGTGAGACCAGTACTTCAGACAGTGGACTCTTTACGTGTACAATAACAAATTCAGCTGGATCTGTTTCCTCTAGCTGCAAATTAATAATAAAGGGTACGTTCACTTTCTGTTGATGTTTTTTGAAAAACTATACAAAAGGAACCAATATGTAAACGTTTACTTTTTTTTTAATAGCTTTTAAAAAATTGGCCTCAAACAAGAACTGACTTCCAAATCCCAGGATCCTGTTTCTGTAAAGGCCTAGCCACAAGGTTTTTGCTATAATCATTGGCATCATCAAAAGTATTAAATTCCTATCTGCACATGGTGTTCTGTTATGAACAATACAGCACAAAGAAGATGCCACAAAGCTTCCCAAAATGTACAATGTAATCACTGAGTCAAGAACATTGTGTGCTAGCCCCAATTACTGGTTTTCTAGAGTACTGCCAAAAGTTCCCTTGAGGGCTTTCAGTTTACTTACTTGAATCTTTCCTTTTGATGTACAAAAGAAGGGATTCTTAATTTTTTTTATGTGACGTGGACTTCAGTAGAAGTCTGGTGAAGCCTATGTACCCCTTCTCAAAATAATGTTTTTAAATGCATAAAGTAAAATACATAGGAGTATAAGTAAAACCAATTATATTGAACTATAGTTATTAAAATATTTTTTGAAAGTTCACATATCCCAGGTTACAGAACCCTTTGCACTAAAACCATCACTTAAAATAGTTCATTTCCTGTATGTCCTCTTTGAAAGGCATGTTTATTGAGTGATTAGAATCACATTTACACTGAATTCTCCATTAAATTAATCTGCATGAGCATCAATGAGTTTAGACCCAGAGAGACCTAGGTGCTATTTTCTACCCTCAATTTTGCAAGTTTTCTTGACACAAGAATAAAAAGTAAGATCTGTTTCCAATTACAATGTAATACCAACATAGAGAATTTTCTTTTCTAGATACTAAAGATGAGGAAAAGAAAACTTCAATACAAAAGACCTCAGAAATGACTTCTCAGAAAAAAGCAGTTGCCCAAGAAGAAGTAGCCAAAAAGGCCATGGTTTCTGAAGAAATCCAAAAATCAGAAACAATATCTCATGAGAAGTCATCCCTCAAGGAGGAATTTTCAAAAGCACTCATTTCTGAAGATATCAAGAAATCAGCTGCAGTCTCGCTGGAAAAATCAGTTGTCCATGAGGAAATTGTGAAAAAGACCCAGGCATCAGAAGAAATCAAAGGTCATGCTGAAATTAAAGCATTTTCCACTCAGATGAGCATATCTGAAGGTCAGAAAACCACTCTAAAAGCTAATATTGCTGATGCCTCTGAAGTCAAGTGGGTATTGAATGGAGTGGAGCTTACTAACTCAGAAGATTACAGATATGGGGTGTCTGGCAACGATCACACCTTAACCATCAAGAAAGCCAGCCACAGAGATGAAGGAATACTTACCTGTATAGGTAAAACCAGCCAAGGGATCATCAAATGCCAGTTTGATATGACACTGTGTCAAGAGCGCTTAGATGCCCCTGCCTTCATCACACAGCCCAAGTCGCAAAATGTGAATGAAGGACAAAATGTCCTCTTTTCTTGTGAAATCAGTGGAGATCCAACACCTGAAATCGAATGGTTTAAAAACAACATGCCAGTAAGTTCTTTAAGGAAAATCTATTTTTGAGAATAAAAACCATCTTTATTTCCTCAGGATCTTTATAAAACATGTCTTTTCTTTTTCAGATTTCTATATCTTCAAATGTCAGAGTAAGCCGCTCCAAAAATGCATATTCTCTTGAAATTCGAAATGCAGCAATAACTGACAGTGGAAAATACACAGTCAAAGCCAAAAATTTCCATGGACAATGTTCTGCCACAGCATCCTTAACAGTGCTCCGTAAGTGTTGTTGGTTTGGGGGTTTTTTTTGTGGTTTTTTTTTTTTGTCAATGTCTTTTGATTTATTAATATCTTTTTACCACATGCATACAGAAGAGTACATATGCTCTAAGCTTGGTTGGTGGATGAGACATGTAAGAGGCACAGACATTCTGCAATGATTCATGCATTTAATCAAACATTTTTTTTAACCTAAACAAAGTTTTATGTGTCACATTTCAAAACAGAGTTTCCAGAGGTCCTATAATGCCTACTGCAAGAATGTATGATAAATGATTTTCTTTATCATTAATCAATTTTTCCCCCTAGTGATCCCTGGTATACTTGCACGTAATGTAACGCTAACCATTTAAGGATTCCTTTTTCTCTGGCTTAGAGGGATTGGGCTAGCTTTTGATGGGGCTCAGTGTTTCTGCTTACGCTTCAATGACGGCAAAGTCCTTTTTGTTTTTCTATTTCTGTAAGTCAGTGTCTGATGTCACCAATTAACAGGATGCCATTTATGTTTCATTGTCTTTGCTATGCTCCACAGCTCTAGTTGAAGAACCTCCAAAAGAGGTAGTATTGAGGACAAGTGATGATACAAGCATGCAAGGAATTTTCTCTTCACAATCAGTTCAAATGTCTGCCTCTAAGCAAGAGGCATCCTTCAGCAGTTTCAGCAGTAGCAGCACTAGCAGCATGACTGAAATGAAATTTGCAAGCATGTCTGCCCAAAGCATGTCTTCCATGAAAGAGTCTTTTGTAGAGATGAGTTCCAGCAGTTCTATGGGAAAATCTAGTATGACACAACTGGAAAGTTCAACTAGTAGAATGCTTAAAGCAGGTATAAGAGGTGAGCAATAAAATTACTGGTAGAGGTAGAAAAATCTAGTACCCTAGAATAATATTTGGTAGAAAGATCATCACTACTTTTATCCAAAATGAACATAAACCTTTTTGTTCTTCCATTAAAGGAAGTCCACCTAAAATCGAAGCTCTTCCATCTGACATCAGCATTGATGAGGGCAAGGTTTTAACACTAGCCTGTGCTTTTACGGGAGAACCCACTCCTGAAATAACATGGTCCTATGGTGGAAGAAGAATTCAAAATCAGGAACAACAAGGCAGGTTCCATATTGAAACTACTGAGGACCTGACAACTCTGATTATCATGGATGTGCAAAAGAAGGATGGTGGACTTTATACCCTAAGATTAGGGAATGAATTTGGATCTGACTCTGCTACTGTGAATATAAATATTCGATCAATTTAGAGAGCCTAGGCTCTTCTATTTACACCTGACTTTTTGCAAGTAATTCACACATGGACTAAGTATAACTGCTTCACATGGACTAAACTTTCTGATCTGTAAATATAAAAAGTATTTTTTTATCGATCTAAATGAGACAAAGGCCAAAGCTATAGATGACTTGCTGTCATTATTATTGACTTAAGAACGGTATACATTTCTAATTGACATGTACATACTGTATATAGCCGAAGTAACGGTTATCAAGTTTTGTACCATTTATTTAGTGACATTTTACAATGCAACTTATGGAACTAACTGTTGGTAGGAGAAAGTTTCTCATGAAACGAATACCCTGCTCAACATTTAACTAATCTTTGTGCCTCAACAAAGTGTTGATGTCTAAGAATGCCTCAGTGGGTAGAGAGATTCCCCACTGAAGATGCCCTTATACCTAAGAGATAATGCTGTTCATGTAACCTAATACATGCATAAATATTTACTGAATCAGAAATGTAAGGCATTGGTGATGTTTGCAAATACCCTCCTGTAAACTTCATCTGAATGTCTCACATTCCTTCTGATTATGTCACATTCAGAATTTTCATTTGACTTACCTATTGGTCAGAACAAAGTGTAAGCGGCCAACACTTTGTTCACCCCTCTGCACTGCTTCTAGCGTGAGGACTGCCTGGATAGCTTGAAAAAGTAACATCTCCTGGCCATTCCCTCATTTAAACAAGATGTTCAGGTTTTCCAATGCAGAAGCAGTGTCCACTCCTGGAGGTTCCTAGAGTGCAATAATTGTGTTCGTGTGGTAGTATTAGAATTATCTTACATCTAAAATTTGGGCAACTAAGCAATGAACCACAGCAAAGAAAACAAAATACCAACACAGCAAGCTGTTGTTAAACCAATAAGCAATGCCCTCAACTTCAATTTGATATAGTTCTTATCAATTAGAAATAAATGATCGTTAATTGTAATTGAACCTCCTGGAGCTTTAAAGTAGCATTGAAATAAAAGCATGTTATCTGCACCTCAGAATGTGTGACTGTTATTTGCTTTTTTTTTTTTTTAACAGTTTGCTAGCTGGGGGGGAAGGGTGAGGGATAGGGGAAACTCAATTCACATGAATAAATTAAACCACGAATAAGGCAAAACATCTCATTTGCCTCAACAAAATTCACCTTAATCAGTTATGAGAAGTACACACTCTAACTGGGTGCGATGTACTTGAGGAAGGAAAATAAAGCCTAGGTAATACAGTTCACATTGACTTATATACAGAAATAAATTTGTCTTGAAAATTGATCAGAGTAATGCAGTTTTACAGGACCTGACAGTCTGATTATTTTTCTCTTGAAATACCTAATACCCTACACAGACAATTACTGGATTGATAAACTGAATGGTCTGATTAATACAGAAAAACAACTGGCCAGTTTTTCTTCCACTAACAAGCTGTTTGAGAATTGACCAAATGCACACCAATCAAAAAACATTTATTAAGTGCCTATTTGCCAGGCACTGTGCTGAGCACTGAGGATCCAAAGAAAGTCCAAAATCATCCCCAGCTCTCAAAGAGCTCATAGTGCACATGGAAACAGCTATGCACAAACAAGCTATGTGAAGGATAAACTGGAAATATTCAACAGAGGGAAGACACTGGCATTAAGTGAGAATTGGGAAAGATTTCCTGTAGAAGGAGGGATTTTAGCTGGGATTTGAAGGAAGCTAGGGAAACCAGTAGGCTGAGATGAGAGAGATTAATCTGTACATTCAAGTACACACAGGCAAAAATGCTTAGATTTGAATAGCTCACTTTCAATGATCCATTTGCTCTAAATAAGAGAACACAGAAGTTCATCGGTAGTGGTAAATGATCGTGAAGACCTTTACTAACTGACCACTTGGCTGCTTGGGAGGAAGCAAGCATTAAAATTTTATCATAGTTTATTCAATCCATAAAGTCAACCACTTAGCTAAAGTGATTTCAGTCTTTCTTTAGCAGACTCATAATGAACAAAGCCAAAGCAATCCTTGATTATCTAGAGGAAGGTTATAAACATACATTCATTCCACAATATGACTATCTATTCAACAAGTGCCTACAGTGGAGCAAGGCTACAGGAATCAGATCCAGTTCTAGCCTACAAGGAATCTAGTAGGGGAAATAAGGCATTAAGTGCCTACTAAATAAACGCACGATGCTAATAACTACAAGATAATACATGCTATGGGCCAGAAGAGAGGTACAGATATTTGCAAGAGTACAAAAGGAGGGAGGAATTTCTTCTGCAAGGCCTAATAACAGCAAGATTCCACGGAAATAATTTTTGAGTAGGATTTTAAAGGACAGGTAGGATTTCAACAGGCAGAAATGCCAGGCAGTGGCTTAAGCCCTTAGCAGAGGTATGAAAGGATAATACATCTTTGGTAAAAGTGGCTAGCTATGGTACACAAAGATGTTACATAGGGTAGTAATGGAGTAAAACAAAAGACAGTTTGGGCCGAATGGCTAAAGAGTTCGTAACTTAGTTGAGAATGGAGGAACCATGAAGATGGGGGGAGGGGAGGAAGAAACGGAGATATACCCAGAGCATTGCTTTAGAAAGATTAATCTAGGGGGAGCACATGAAACATGGAAGGGAAAACATCTGAAGACAGAGAAATCGGGAAACAAATGCCAGCGAGGTGACCACACAGAATGCTGGTACTGGAATTAGGAAGACCACATCTAGTTACTATGTGACGGTGGGTAAGTCATTTCACTCACCTGAGCCTCAGTTTCCTCACTGTAAAATGAAGAAGTTGCACTAGAGGACCTCCGAGGATCCTTCTAGAGCTAAATCAAAGATTTAAAGATCTAAAGCGTGTTAGTCACAAGAACAAACCCTAAAATCTGAAATATTTTTAGAAAGAAATGTATTCTGTCATTTGGAGAGAGAAAGAGAGGAAGAGGGAAGAGAGGAAATGGGAAAGGAAGAGACAGAGACAAGTCTTGGTGAGGTTACGTTACACAGAGTTCAAACAAGGGCCAGGGGCCATTTGCCTCATTGGTCTTATATAAGCAGTAAATTGTTGCCTCAGTCATTTCAGTCGTGGCCAACTCTCCATGACCCCATTAGGGGTTTGCTTGGCAAAGATACTGCAGTGTTTGCTTTTCCTTCTCCCATTCATTTTTACACATGAGGGAACCAAGGTGAACAGGGTTAAGTGACTTGCCCTGGGTCACACAACTAGTTAAGTGTCTGAGGCCTCTACCCATGTGCCTCCCTGCTGCCCCATTAAAAGTGAAGGCTCCAGAATAATAAAAGGAACTTTGAGAGGAAGGAGAACAAAGCAGGGGCTGTCACAAAACAAAACAAAGGGTGTGACTCAGTATACCACAAATAGGATGTCAGAAGTGGAACTTAAAAGAAGCTCTACTTCTCAGGAAGCCAGTTTCCCCAGAAGACAGTATTGGGTCGCTGAGAGTGAACTGCTCCCACAAAGTGTTTGGGGGATGCTTTTATTTCTCCCTGGGTGCCCCTAGCCTCGGAGTAAGTTGGCTGTATATACTGGCTACCCTGGCCCTCACAGCAGCTATGCCCATATTATCTCTCCAATCCTCAGTACCATAGTTTAAAAACATACTGGCTTGTAGACAGAAGACCTGGGTTCAAATTATTCATCCTACCCAGCCTTGGTTTCCTCATCTGTGAAATGGATATAGGAGGTGGCTCTATGGATAGAGAACTGCCAGGAGTCAAGAAGACCTGAGTTCAAATTTGACTTCAGATAATTACTAGCTATATGACCCAGGGCAAGTCATTTAACCTCTGTTAACCTTAATTCACCTGAGAAGGAAATGGCAAACACTCCAGTATCTTTGCCAAGAAAACCCTGTGGACTGTACCTTCCCTGTGTATAGTCACAAATGAACAACAATAAAATGAAGATAATATACTTCACCTTAGCCTCCAGGGATGGAGAAATACACTATCTTGGATGTCCTCAGAGTACCCTGAAGCCATAAAGTGCTATATAAGTATAAACTCCTATTTTCTATCCGATAGAGGAACGGTTTGGGATGCAAGATGTCAGATGTTAACAGAAGGGCCTGGGGGAATACTGTCATTTTGATGGAAAAGATTTGGTGCCTCAAGGTCTAGAGGGACCCCCAACCTGGAGCTCTCTCCCTCCTTATCTTTCCCTCCTGGCTTCCCTCAAGTGTTAAATAAACTCCCACCTTCTGCAAGAAGTCTTTCCCAGTCCTCCTCAATGACAGCACCTTCCTTCTGCAGCTATCTCAAATTCACCCTGTATATCTCTTATTTGCATGTTGTCTACCCTATTAGACTGTGAGGTCCTTGAAAGCTGGGAGATGTTTTTTGCCTTTCTTTGTATCCCTGAGGCTTAGTACAGCGCCCAGCACATAGTAGGTCCTCAATAAAGGCTGCTTGACCTTACTACTGACCGATGCCTTCTTCATCTTCCCACCACTGAGTCTCCCAGAAATGAAAAGGGAAAATGGCAGGTTGGGTACTCTTAAACCACAAGTTGTACCACAGGTAGGTTTCAAAGATGACTCTAGGACCAGGGAAGGAGGGAAACCATGGTGGATAGGAGAGAGAAGAGACATCCTTTTCCTGGGATAGAAAGGCAAGAGAAAGGGTTTCCTCACCCTCCCTGCCTGGCCTGAATGCCAGGAAAATCAAGAGGTAGGGAATTGAAATTTGAAAAAAGAGAGCCTTTACTGTGCTTAGGAGTGTAAGTTTGGGGCAGATCAGCCTATCAACAAACATTTATTAAATGCCTACTGTGTGCCAGCACTGCTTGGGAAAAGACAAAAAAAAAAGAGGCAAAAGCCCTGGTAGAGCTTACAAGATCAAGTTTAAATAAGATCAGGACTCTCCCAAGAAAGCAAAAACTATCCTTAATACAGTCAGAGGGTGGCAGCGGATCACTGGACCAGGAGTGGCTGAGTTGAAAAGGACCCCTGAGGCTTTGCGGTCTAATTCACACCAAAGCAATAACTCCTTCTATGATATCCCAAAACACCGTTTAAGGATCTCACTGAGGGCATACCCAAGACTGCCAGAGGGAGCCCACGACAATTACCCCCTGCTCCTTGAGGGCAGGGACTTGTTTTTCTGGGTTTGGGATTTTTTGCCTGTCTCTGTACTCCCCAGGACTGCCCACTATGTGTGGCATGTATTAGGTGCATAATAAATGCTTCTGATTGATCTATAAGCTCTATTGTTGGAAAGTTTTTCCTTGTATCAAGTCTAAATCTGCCTCTCTGTAACTTCCAAACAAGGCTTTTCATATGCTGGGTTAGAGGTGGTTTCTAGAGCTGGGGAGCATGCGAAAATTTGTTTTTCCAAAGAGCCCCTTCCAAAGAAGAGAATCTCCAAGGAAAGATCATTTATTCTGTACTGCAGGTAGAGGGTGAGGAGTAAGAAAAAGAAGAGGAGGGAGGAATGAGAAAAAGAAAAGTGGCAGTACTTGGCCTTCCTATCACAAAAGTCTTCCTTATATAGCTGTATCCCCATTTTTCTCACCTGGAATACCATAGGGAAAATTATACCAACTCAACTACTACAGCTAGCCAGCCTACGTGACCCTAACTTCACTGTCCTTGTCAAATTGCCTTTTCCAGGCCTTATTTTAGCCAGAAAGAAAAATACTGAGAGAGAAACACAAGTCTCAATACTCAAGAACCTCCCAGAAAAATTGTCACTTGTAGGCAGTAAAATGATGCCTTCAGACTCTGAAAAACAGCCACCTTGAATCAGACAGTGAGAAACAGAGACATTTCCTTTAAGGCTCATAATTAAAGTGACTGATTTTCTATATTTGGGGGCTATGGATTAAATAATATTCACACCAACATCTTTTCTTATATCACAATTTTAATGTGTATCCAGTGAAGTCTTTGACTAAAATGCATAAAGAGTGAGCCTGCATTAAAAAATAAAAGCTGAGTTGTTACTCCTTTTTGAGTCATAACAAATGTTATGACTGTTTTATTTGTGACACAGCAGATTTATCAAATA